TACCTCGAAAGGATGGAAGGCTGAGTCAACCTTGAGCCTGGCGAGATTTGAACTTGCAGTAATTACAGGCAGCTGGCAACTAAGTGCTACTTTAACAGCACTTAGTCCACTGTGCCACCAAGGCTCTTATCTATCCTATCTATCTATCTATCTATCTATCTATCTATCTATCTATCTATCTTTCATCTATCTATCTATCTATCTTTCATCTATCTATCTATCTATCTATCTATCTATCTATCTGTCTGTCTGTCTATCTATCTATCTATCATCTATCTATCTATCTTCTATCTATCTATCTATCTATCTATCTATCTATCTATCTATCTATCTATCTAATCTCTCTGTCTACCTTTCTATTTCTACTTCATGTTTCCTGTTTCCTATATCTGTCTATCTGTCATATATTCCTATGTCTGCCTGCCTGCCTGCCTGCCTGCCTGCCTGCCTGCCTGCCTGCCTGCCTGCCTGCCTATCTATCTATCTATCTATCTATCTATCTATCTATCTATCTATCTATCAGTTCGATTTATTTGCCGCCCTTCTCCAGAGACTCAGGGCGTCTTACAATGCATTAAGCAATGGGGGGGCTAAGCAGGTAAGGCTTTCGTCCCCCCCTAAGCGGTGTTCTTTTTTATACAAAGTCAGCTTATTGCCCCCACAATCCAGGTCCTCATTTTACCTACCTCGAAAGGATGGAAGGCTGAGTCAACCTTGAGCCTGGCGAGATTTGAACTTGCAGTAATTACAGGCAGCTGGCAACTAAGTGCTACTTTAACAGCACTTAGTCCACTGCGCCACCAAGGCTCTTATCTATCCTATCTATCTATCTATCTATCTATCTATCTATCTATCTTTCATCTATCTATCTATCTATCTATCTATCTATCTATCTATCTATCTTTCATCTATCTATCTATCTATCTATCTATCTATCTATCTATCTTTCATCTATCTATCTATCTATCTTTTATCTATCTATCTTTTATCTATCTATCTATCTATCTATCTATCTATCTATCTATCTAATCTCTGTCTACCTTTCTATTTCTACTTCATGTTTCCTGTTTCCTATATCTATTTCTATTATTTCTATTTCTGTCTATCTACCTCACCAAAATGGCATGCATCAATGAGATAAAACAACAACAACAACTGACAGTCGGATAGACAGACATCCCCTCCCTTCCCCTCCCCTCTCCCCTCTCCCCTCCCATCTGCTGAAGCACACGCTGATTGTGAGCTGCGGATGTCAGCCAGGTGGTCCCACTTCTGCTTTTCCTTAGAATCCATCTATAAGAAAGGCACGGTGAAGGCCTCCACCCACTGGACGCTTTTCGGGAAGAACCTCTACTACATCTCGATCGGTAGGAAGACCTGGTACGACGCTCAGAACTTCTGCCTCTCCAGAGATTCCAACATGGTCTCCATCTTAAATGACGAAGAGCAGGTTTCACTCCTTTTTTTTCCCTTTTCTGACCGACTTCTAGAGTTTCTTAAGCAGCTGCTTCATCCCTACTCAAAAACTTCAGGTTGTTTTTTTTGCATTCTTGTCCGTTCTTCTATGTCTCCAGGCAAACATTTTGCAAGGACTGATTCAGCCCTTCCTCTCTCTGGAGGGGTACGGTCAGGCTCGATGTCAGGAGAGACACGCCAGTCCCATCAGAACAGGCTACCTACCTTTCCTTTTCTGGAGGAAAGGATGATGGGGGGGCGGGTCATCACCTGTGTAAGGGGTGGACCTAGATCCGGAAAATTGAAATTGAAAACCCGATATGGCCCTATATACCGTAGAATTCAATAGGGTTATTGCCCTGGGATAGAAGCTGTTTTTCAGCCTATTTGTCCTTGTTTTTATTGACCTGTACCGTCCGCCAGATGGTAATAGTTCAAAAAAAAAAAAAAAAAAAAGGGTGAGATCCAGGATGAGATGGTTCTTTAAGAATGTTTTGAACTATAAAAACTAATGTTTTTCACAGAGAAGGAGAGAGAGAAAGAAAGAATTCGTCGGGCCCTTAAAACCTATTTCTTTCAGTTAGCCGGGCTGGCCTGATTTTATATTGGTTTTTTAAAATTGATACTGATTTTAATTGAAATGTTTTAAATTATGGGCCAAACTTTATTTAATTATTTTAAAACTATTTTAACTTTTGTGTACAAACGTTTTATTTTTGGCTGCTCACCGCCCTGAGTCCGATAGGAGAAGGGCGGTATAGAAATTTAAATAATAAATAATAAATAAATAAATAAATAGATACGATTTCAAAAGGTCCTGCTGCTTGCTCCTGCTGGGTATACAAGAACAGATTCCTTCTCATTAATATTCAGGGTGTACCGATGCCACCTATAAAGGATTGTAGGAATGTCCAGCAACATTGCTTCTTGCACTTCTATATGTTTACTGCTAGAAGGCAGGGAGTTATCGGTAATTAAACTCAAAGCTTCTATCCCAAGTTATTCCCAAAGCTTGAAGGCAACTGTTCCCTTGGGCCGAGAAATAAGGGTGGGTGGGGAGGAAGCTACGAAGTCCTTACCTTCAACATTTTAATGGAAAGTGTGTCTTACCTGCATGCCACAAAGAGTCCATTTTTCTTAGCCACGGAACGGGCTTCCTTTGGCAAAGGAACATGAGCAGTTTTTTTTTTTTAAAATTTGATTTATATGCCGCCCTTCTCCGGAGACTCAGGGCGGCTTACAGTGCGTTAAGCAATAGCCGTCATACTTTTTGTATATATTTATACAAAGTCAGCTTATTGCCCGCACAATCTGGGTCCTCAATTTACCCACCTTAGAAAGGATGGAAGGCTGAGTCAACCTTGAGCCTGGTGAGATTCGAACTTGCAGTAATTGCAGGCAGCAGATGTTAATCACAATGCTATCAGTCTGCTGAGCCACTAGGCCCTTGATTGTTAATTGTACAGTAAGTGTTTTGTCAAACACGGCATTCCCACCCTGTGACACTGCTCCTTCTCCAGTGGTGGGATAATTTTTTTTTACTACTGGTTCTGTGGGCGTGGCTTGGTGGGCGTGGCAGGGGAAGGATACTGTAAAATCTCCATTCCCAGGGGAAGGTTACTGCAAAATCCCCATTTCCTTCCCATCAGCTGGGACTCGGGAGGCAGAGAATAGATGGGGATGGGGGCCAGTCAGAGGTGGTATTTACCGGTTCTCCGAACTGTTGAAAATTTCCGCTACCGTTCTCCAGAACTGGTCAGAACCTGCTGGATTCCACCTCTGTCCTTCTCTTCTTTTTTGGCAGAAGTTCATCTCTTCGCAGTTCAACGAGTCTGTCTGGATTGGTCTGAGTGATGAAAATGACGAAGGCAGCTGGCAATGGTCGGATGGATCCAGATTAACAATACAGTGAGTCTGTGACCCACGGACTCCCCCACCCGCCAGCTAAAAGATCCTGCGGCTGATCACTAAATCTGCGTCAGGCATGACCCACGCGTGAAGAGTTCAGACTAGCTACTTTATTGTTCTGTTGGAGGAATGCGGGGGCTCACGAGGTTAGGACGCTGGGCTGCCACGCGGCAGGCTCGTGTTTGAGACCCAGTTGCTACTCTGGTATGGGGCGAGCTCTTGCCACATACTCCAGCTCCTGCCAAGCCAGCAGTTCAAAAGAGTAGATAGATGGGTACCATTTCAGTGGTAAAAGAGCCCCCAACTGAACGTCCATTGGTCAACAGTGATGTCAATCCAGAAGTGCTTTGGTGCTGTTGACACAACAGTAGTAGTAGTAGTAGTAGTAGTAGTAGTAGTAGTAGTAGTAGTAATTGTTTATTGTCTATTTCTCAGGCATCTTCTCAGTCTGCTGACACTTGATCAGGTTCAACAGCATTCTAGGAGGGTTGGGCCTTGCCGTTTGTGTCTATGTAGTGATTCCAGACTGATTCCTCACTTGACTCCTCCTCCTAGCTGGCATAGTCTCTCTCCAACAATTGATGGAGATGAAACAGTTTTGTGGGCTCTTTTGGTGGCCCTGTTCAGTAAGGATTCTTGCCAGTGTCAGTCTGAGCTACCATACCGAAAAGATTAAAAGATTACAGGTAGTCCTTGACTTAACAACAAGTTCATTTAGTGACAGTTTGAAGGTACAACAGGACTGAAAAATGTGACTTATGACCATTTTTCATGCTTAAAGCCATGCAGCATCCCCATGGTCACATGATCAAAGTTTCCTTGGCATCTGGCTCGTATCTATGACGGTCGCAGTGTCCCGGGGTCATGTGATTCCCTTTGGCAACCTTCTGACCAGCGAAGTCAACGGGGAAGCCAGATTCACTTACTGACTATGTTACTAACTGAACAACCGCAGGGATTCACTTAACAACTGGACAAGGAAACATGGGGCAATGTTCCCTTAACCAACCGTCTCACTTAGCAAAGGAAATTTTAGGCTGGATTGTGATCATAAGCCGAGGACTACCTGTATTGGAATGGATTCTTTGTTCTTCTGCCTGGATTTCAGGATTCTTTTGTTTTACATAAAAGTGGGGGAAATGTTGTTTCTTCGCTTTACGATCACATCCTTCCCCTGGTCCAGGTACTCCCGTGGTCGCCAATCTTTCCGGCTTTGCGGATCGGTGGGAGAGGAGAGGAAATCCAGGAAATGGTTCTGTGTGACTGGCATTTGCACGCTCAACTCCGTTTGTGTGAGGTGTGGGCACTGGTGTGTGCGCCCACATGAACGAAGCTTCACCTGGGCACGTGAGTGCTCGCAGCTCATGCAAATGGAGCTGCACAGGTGCACTCGCCCACCACTTGGGCGGTCCAGTTTCAAACAGGACACGGCCCAGTACCGGGGTTTGATGCAGTGGTGAAATCTAAAATTTGTTACTACCGGTTCTGTGGGCGTGGCTTGGTGGCGGGTGGGGTGGGGGTAATGTGACTGGGTGGGCGTGGCCAATTTTTTTTTTTACTTTTAAAACCATTTTTTCAAAAGGCTCTGAGGATCCCAGCTGAGTTGCCTGATCGGCAGAGGCCTTTTTTTCTTTTAAATGCCTCTGCCGATCAGGCAACTCAGCTGGGATCGTCAGTGGCATTGAAAAGAAAAAAAGCTTCTGCCAATCAGGAAACTCAGCTGGGATCGTCAGAGGCTTTTAAAAGAAAAAAAGCCTCTGCCAATCAGGAAACTCAGCTGGGATCGTCAGAGGCTTTGAAAAGAAAAAAAGCCTCTGCCAATCAGGAAACTCAGCTGGGATCGTCAGAGGCATTGAAAAGGAAAAAAGCCTCTGCCAATCAGGAAACTCAGCTGGGATCGTCAGAGGCATTGAAAAGGAAAAAAGCTTCTGCCAATCAGGAAACTCAGCTGGGATCGTCAGAGGCATTGAAAAGAAAACAAGCCTCTGCCAATCAGGCAACTCAGCTTGGATCGTCAGACGATCCCAGCTGAGCTGCACAATCATCAGAGGCTTTTTTTTTACTTTTAAAAGCATTTTTTCGGCCGAAGAGGTTGTAGAAAAAATGCTTTTAATTTTTTTTAAAAAAAGCCTCTGATGATTGCGCAGCTCAGCTGGGCATGGGGGGTGGCAGGGATTTTTGCTACCTGTTCTCCGAACCACCCGCTGTTGTGACCCCGACTCCTGAGCCTGTCCTAACAGAGGAAGAGGACTCAGAAGGTGATGGGGAGGAACTGACAAGGCCTCCCGCTCCAGGATCCTCCTCTCTGGCAATGCCTCAGGTTCCATCCGAAATTCCAGAGGAACAGCCTGGGATGTGCCAGGAGGAAGGCATATCGGAGCACCAATTGATAGGGAGCGAGGAGGATGAATCCTGGCTTGATCCCAGGCAGCGTCGGAGGGAGAAGCGTGCGCAGCAACGGAAGAGGCGTGGGAGGGCCAGAGATTGAGCTGAGTCACGGAGCCACGCCCTACCAGGAATAAAAGTGGGTGGGATTGCTCTTCAGGCTTTGTGACGGACAAAGTTAAAAACCTGAGAGTCACTTTGTGATCTCTGAAATTCAGCTTGGATATATTTTGGACTGAACATTAACTAAACTCTTGTCTCATGGATAATTTTTTGTTCCTGGAACGGACTGAAGATAAGTCCTCTTCTGCGTTATGGGAGTGAAAACGGTCTTGGCAGGCATTCGGCAGTTTGCTGCCAAAACCTTGGTCTGCCAGGAATTCTAATCTGTTTACCTAATAAAATATTGGCAGGCGTGCTTGGTATTACGATTGCCTGTGTGAGGAAGGGGGACAGAACACTTGCCTCCATCGCTGTCAAATCATCCGAACCGGGAGCATTTCACCCCTGGTTTGATGTCCTCTGTTTTACCTGTCATGCCCTTGTCAGAGCCTGAATCTGTGGAGCAGGACGAGTGGGTGCTGGAGCCGAGGGAGATCGAGGGGGCGGCTTCGTTGACTTCAAAGGAATGTGTGGAGCAGGCCGAGGGCTCCTCAGGATTGGGACAGTTTGTTATCAGGGAGGAATGAGGGCAAGCAGTGGACATGAGGCGTGGCAGAGCTCAGGCGATGAGCAAGGACCATGCCCTCCTGATCCCCGAGCACGGAGAGAAGGCAGCGCAGGCCGATCCAACGACTCGGGAGGAGAGTGCCCCGCCCCTCTTCACAAGGCACACCTGGGGACTGAGATTTAAGGAGACGCATTTGTTGGGGAGGGGCATTTGTTGGGAACAAACGTTGAATCGGTAGAGTTTGGTGTGACATTTGGTACAGACCTTTGGAGTGCTTGCTTCTTCCTGACTTTGTGGACTCAGTGCCTTGTTCCTTTGCTTTGCTGGACTGGGCGCAGCCAGAGGCTGCCGTGTGTGTGTGTGTGTGTGTGTGTGTGTGTGTGTGTGTGTGTGTGTGTGTGTGCACACTTTGCTCTGGGACATGCCAAGAACGTGGGAGCAGATATCTGGGAGGACATTTGGAGCATTAAAGGGGAGTTTGAACTCTCAGCTGGCTGTGTGACCTTCGTGCCTTGTCCCGGGTCATCACACTACCTACGCATTAAGCTTTGACTTCTCATTGAACGGGTGAGGATAGGACTTACGGTAACCTTTCCTTCTCCTGCACCCACCAGGTTCTGGGATGTTGGCAGTCCTACTATCCTGAAGAAGAATGGAGAAGTGGACCGAGATTGTGCTTTCATTAACCCTTCTGCCGGTCTATTTAGCTGGAAGGATGACAATTGCCATGCACTTAAACAGTGGGCTTGTAAGGAGATCATAGTGATGGAAGATATAGAATATTTAAGCCAACCCTAATACTTGAAGCCACCTTAGATGTGAACACAGTTTTGTTTTTCTCCATCTGAAACAGTAAAATAATGAAAATACTCTTCTTGTCCTCGTGTCCTGGAAGGAAGGAAAAGCCATAAGGTGGATATCATATATAAGCTCTGCAACCAAGGCCAGACCTTGTTCAATTGCCTCCTGAGCACTGCTCATGTTTTCAAGATACGCTGCCCAAAATGACCCAAACTGGTCCCAATTCATAGCACATACTGGCTATGTTTCGGGTTCCTCCAGCTAGACCAGTGTTTCTCCACCTTGGAAGCTTGAAGATGGGTGGACTTCAACTCCCAGAATCCCCCAGCCAGCAGCGCTGGCTGGGGGATTCTGGGAGTTGAAGTCCACCCATCTTCAAGCTTCCAAGGTGGAGAAACACTGAGCTAGACTGACTAACTTATGGGTCACAGGTGGATCGAATCAATGTATTCATTTAATGCTGAGCATCATCTAGATGCGAGCCCAAGCTTTTCTGTCCAAGCCAAGGATGGAGATGCACCTTTTGTGCATTGTTGTAGGCATCTCAGCAGCTTCTAGGCATCTGCGTGCCTTCTTCTAGGCATCACTTGGACCTTCACATCTCCAATCACCTGCAGACGGAAGGCTCTTCTCCTTCAAGAGACCACGTTTGTGACATCTCAGTACACACGGGAGCGTTTTCCATTCTGCGAAGCATGGCCAGTGTGTCTACACAATCCTTTGATGTGAACTTTTCAGCAGAAAAAAGGGGAGGGGACCCAAAGGTGCCCCACCGTGGTCTTTCGAATTGACGTTCAGGCTCCGGATTGCTGGTTCTATTGGAACCTAATAGTAGGTGAGGAAAAGGCAGGTAGGAGAGAATGGGGGAGCGCATGGGAGGCGGCCTAGGCACCGCTGGCTAGAGAGAAAATGCAACCTGGCTAGCAGAAGTGGTGGAGGACATGCCACCAGCTGGCTTCCCTTGCTTCTAGGTGCCAGGATACTCAAGGTGGTAAACCTACTCATCAATGCCAATTCAGTTCTCAGTGCTGTAGAGAGAAGGTAGATGACACAGTAGACCGTCAAACTCCTAAGAAGTCTCTTTCCTTTCATTGAGTCAGCCAATCCCTGGGTTCCCAGCTGAGGACAATAAGCAGATGGGACATCCGGTGGGACACACCTGGAGGACCTCTGGAAGAGCCATACCAAGCGTGAAATGAAGCCTTTCTGAAGGCCCTCATGGGATCCAGTTTGGTGGTGGTGCAGGGAAGAAAAAGTCAGCCTGCCACTTGTGTGGCCTGGTTCTGAACAGGCCACGGCCCACTACCGGCCCGTGGCCCTGCGACCCCTGGCCTAAACCAATGCCACAACTGGTCCCATTCTTTTGTAGAACTCGAGAAAGTGGATGGGTTTAGGAAGGCGTGTGGGACATCCAACCTTTATTCTTCCTGGCCAATTACATTGGTCATGATGGTTAAGGCAAGCGATCGATCATTTACCATTGGTGAGTGGTACCTAAAGGAGCCAATGGGTTTTATAACTATTGAAGAAATGGCATTTTCTGGCTTTGAATTCTTCCTGGGAGGTGTGGAGTAGGGAAGGGACACGTTGGCTGTATTCCCATTTCTGGAGCACCTCAAAAGCTCACTTGACATTGCCTTTATCTCTTCCCTAGCTGAGGCTTAAATTCTGGTATTTAACCTATCTTTTCCTTCCTTCCTTCCTTCCCTCCTCCCTCCCTCCCTCCCTCCTTCCTTCCTTTCTTCCCTCTCCTCCCTCCCTCCTCCCTCCCTCTCTCTTTCCTTCCTTCCTCCATCCCTCCCTCCCTCCTTCCTTCCTTCCTTCCCTCCCTCCCCCCTCCCTCCCTCCCTCCCTCCTTCCTTCTTTCCTTCCTTCCTTCCCTCCCTCCCCCTCCCTCCCTCCCTCCTTCCTTCCTTCCTTCCTTCCTTCCTTCCTTCCTTCCTTCCTTCCTTCCCTCCCTCCCTCTCTCCCTCCTTCCTTCTTTCCTTCCTTCCTTCCTTCCTTCCTTCCTTCCCTCCCTCCCTCCCCCCTCCCTCCCTCCCTCCCTCCTTCCTTCCTTCCTTCCTTCCTTTTATTTGCCACCCATGTTATATCCAACGACTCTCAGCAGCTTACAATATAAAACCACCCAAAAAAACTTAAAATCATCTGTTATAAAAACACAGCAAATAAAACCATTAAACAAAATCAAGGAGACAAGATGGGAAGAAAAGGAGCCGGACACACCGGGGGACGAGGGGGGGGGCGGAGGCATTGAATTTTAATTAACTCCCTCCAGTAGAGAAACTCCCCCATTGGGTCCACTTCTTAAGAGCATCAGCAGTGACCCAGCCAGTGTCTGTATTTGTAGTCCCAACTGTCCAACGGAAACGGCTTATTTGGTGAATCCGAGAAGTTGAGAACATCCTTTGTGGATCAGACACTACTATATGAGGGGTTTGTAGGCTGGTTGTAGCTCGATGTGTCTATTGATGGACTCTGTCCCTATTTTGCACAGACGCTTCCTGGGGAGGGGGCTCAGCCCACTTTCCCCAACCTGCATGTTATAGAATGCTGTAAAATGCACATACTCACACAGCACCAGATTTGGGAAGTGACCCTGGCCTTCGGTTGAAAAAAGGCACCCCTCCCTGCCAGAGCTCATTCGGATGCCCACCAACACCAATGGGGACCACACCCAAGAGGGCCTCTGTTAGAATCGAATAGAATTTTTTATTGGCCAAGTGTGATTGGACACACAAGGAATTTGTCTTCGTGCATACGCTCTCGGTGTACATAAAAGAAACATTCGTCAAGAATCATAAGGTACAACACTTAATGATAGTCATAGGAAACAGTCAATATAAATCGTAAGGATACAAGCAACAAAATTACAGTCACAAGTGGGAGGAGATGGGTGGTGGGAACGATGAGAAGATGAATAGTAGTGCAGACTTAGTGAATAGTTTGACAGTGTTGAGGGAATTATTTGTTTAGCAGAGTGATGGCGTTAGGGGAAAAACTGTCCTTGTGTCTAGTTGTTCTGGTGTGCAGTGCTCTGTAGCGTCGTTTTGAGGGTAGGAGTTGAAACAGTTTATGTCCAGGATGTGAGGGGTCTGTAGATATTTTCACCGCCCTCTTTTTGACTCGTGCAGTGTACAGGTCCTCCATGGAAGACAGGTTGGTAGCCATTGTTTTTTCTGCAGTTCTAATGATCCTCTGAAGTCCGTGTCTGTCTTGTTGGGTTGCAGAGCCAAACCAGACAGTTATGGAGGTGCAGATGACAAACTCATGTCAGACTCAGACAGACTCAGATGTTGACCTTCTGTTGGGAAAAGCCCAGCCAGGCAAAGCGGGAGGGATCAAATGGGGAGCTAGCCTAGAGTCCTTGCGCAGTCACAAGAGACTTCAGCCTGATCATCCGGAGGTTCCATGGAAACTAGTCTGTTTGTTCCCAACGGAAGGCAGATTCTCTGGGCCGATTCCTGTACTGTAGGTGGGACACAATAAAGCGGTCAACTGGATCCTGTCACACGTGGATCGGGTTACTTGGTGCCTGACAAGGGATGCCTGTGCCCACGCCAGAGGAGCCATGAGCCAAGCGGTGGCCTCCATTTCTCAGGGCACGGCCCCCGTGATGTCACAATGCCACTTTCCCTTCCAGCTGCTGGTCTGCTGGCGGCTGTGAACCTGGCAGCCGACTAGCAGGCGGTTTGAACCTTGGAGGATGAGGAAAAGGAGAGAGGCGCTTAAAGTGACGACAGAAGGCAAGGAGGAAACAGTGAGGAGGAATTTTGTAGGAGTTGAAAACCGGCTCAAAAGATGAGCAAGGGAAGACCTTGAGTGGGATCCAGAGTCTCCTAAAGGGAGTCCCAAGCAAAAGGTATGTTATGGACGGCCGTCTGTCAGGGAACGGAGGAGCAGACTTCTGGACTGGGCAGAGGGTTGGACTAGATCAGTGTTTCTCAACCTTGGAAGCTTGAAGATGGGTGGACTTCAGCTCCCAGAATCCCCCAGCCAGCTGGGGGATTCTGGGAGTTGAAGTCCACCCATCTTCAAGCTACCAAGGTTGAGAAACACTGGACTAGATGATCTCCAAGGCTCCCTACTGCCTTGCCATTCAACCCAGACTCATCTCTGATGTTGATCCCTGGGTGTTGAGGGAGCTCTCTTTTCAGAGGTTAAAAGTCTGAAGGTGTTTCTTAAACGTTTCCAAAGAGTTTTAGCAAAACCCTGAAGATTTCCTGCTTGCAAACGGTTGTGTTTGCGTTGTTTTGGAGGTGTTGCTGCCCCAACCGCCACCCCAACCCCCTCCCCCAAAAGCCCTCCTGTCTTCAGAGGACCAAATGCAGGAGGAGCCTGATTTATCCACTTTTTTTGTTTAATTAAACAAATGCATACAGCTGTCCAAATGACCGCTGGGCGAAATATTCCTCTGATTGAGTGCGACTTTAGTTCTGAGCGATGGGGGTCTTTATTTATTCATTTATTTTAATTTTATTAGTCATATTTCTATGCTGCCCACTCTCTGAGGACTCTGGGCGGCTTACACCAAAGACAGTATACTAAATAGCATATTGCCCCCTAACAATCTGGGTCCTCATTTTACCCATCTCGAAGAATGGAAGGCTGAGTCAACCTTGAGCCGGTGAGATTTGATCCGCTGATCTGCTGAACTAGCAGTCAGCTGAAGTAGCTGCAATACTGCACTCTAACCACTGCGCCACCTCGGCTCTTCACGGCCTTTCTCTCCTCTCTGCTTCCTGCCCTGAAGCCATGGGACCCAGGCCGGCCAAAAGCCAAGTTTCGATCATAGCTCCTGGAGGCGAGAAGAAAACCCAGATGAATCCCTTCAGCCACGTTTCCTCCACTGTCCTGTGGATTCTTCTCGCCATCTCGGCCACCATCTGCCTTGTGGTCCTGATGATAGTGAGCTACCTGTGTAAGTGCTGCTTGACCCGTTGACGTGTCCTTCTGCCTTACGTTGGCCACAGGCTGGTGGAAGGTGGGAGGGGCTCCACCCACATCCGTCTCGTGCAGGGTTCAAGGGATGTGTGGATAGAAAATTGGGGGGTGGGTGGGGGGGCTGCCCCCTCCCTTTGTTCAACATGGGGTGGTTTTTCTCAGCCCCATGTGAGGGTCTCCAGAGATGTGGAAGACGAGCATTGACCTGTGACTGGCCACTGAGATGCCACCATCCTTCCATGTTCGGTCACCGGACGAGACCCACCTGTGCCCAATTCTCATCCCCCTTTTTATTTATTTATTTATTTATTTTTAATTTGATTTATATGCCGCCCTTCTCCGGAGACTCAGGGCGGCTTACAATGTGCTAAGCAATAGCCTTCATACTTTTGTATATTTATACAAAGTCAGCTTATTGCCCCCCACAATCTGGGTCCTCAATTTACCTACCTTAGAAAGGATGGAAGGCTGAGTCAACCTTGAGCCTTGGCGAGATTCGAACCTGCAGTAATTGCAGGCAGCTGGTCTTAATAACAGGGTGTTTTAGACCACTGTACTACCAAGGCTCTTACACATCCCCCTACACAGAGAGAAAAAGGGAGCAAATGGCAAGTCAAGTACCGAACGTGCAAAGGGGATCCAATTTAAGCTCCAATCTTGTAGTAGGCTTGATTTCAGATCCCCCTTGTAGTCATATCCGTGTGCAGATTCCCATAGATTTTGCTGGCTTCCCAGGAAAGTCTCACCTCTCGGCGACAAGGTTCATGAGAAGCCGCTGAAGGCAAGGCACTGTTGGGCACTAGTCAAATGTTTCTCTAGTGCAACAGAAATGGACAGAGACAGAATGTCAGCCAAAAGGAAGAAAATAACGGGTGGTTTTTTGTCTTTTTTTTGTCATTCCACTGACCACATAATGTTGACTTACAGGATTATTCTCCAGCTTTGCTCTGAATAACATTCCCATTGTGTCCTGTTCAACATTTCAACGTCCTTAGAGGCTTTTAGGGGCCTTTAAGGCCACACACCCCCCACCGTCCCCGAGCTATGGGACTGCCCAGAAGTGCATTTCTGCTCCTACCCCTCTTTTCATGTAGATTTGTTTTTTCCTTGGTGACTGATGTCCCAGAGCTAGAATAACGCAGGTTTTGGAGGGTCCTGGGCTGCTCCCCTCTTTCTCTCCCAACCTCTTTGCTTTTCCCATCCAAAGCTCTCACCAAAATCCAGAACTTGGCTCTCTGCACAACTCTCCCAGCTGTTCCCGAGGCTGGGTGGGTGGCAGTGGGGAGGTCTTTCAGGTGTCCCCTGGATGGGGCTGTCATGTCGATGTTTATTTAGGGTTACTAGCTGAGAGGTTGAATTGGGGCAGCCGGAAACCTCACCATCTCTGCTTTCCCAACCCCCTCAGATGCGGCCTTGGTCAACAAACCCCCCCATCCGCTCGAGGAGTCGATGAAGAAGCTGGGGATAACCATGGCAGTTGCCCTGAGAAGTGTGAAGCTCAAACACGAAAACCGTAAGTGGATTATTGTCGATCGTTGAGGATCAGCACCCCTCCCCCTGAGGAGGCTGTGATAGACTTTCCATCTCTCTCTCTCTCTCTCATCTATGATTTCTATTTATCTCTCAGTCTATCTTTCTAGCTCTCTCTCATTCTATCCACTGCTGTCTATCATCCATCCATCCATCCATCCATCCATCCATCCATCCATCCATCCATCTATCTCTATCTATCTATTTATCTATTTATCTATTTATCTATTTATCTATTTATCTATTTATCTATTTATCTATTTATCTATTTATCTATCTATCTATCTATCTATCTATCTATCTATCTATCTATCATCTATCATCTATCATCTATCTCCATCTGTCTGTCTGTCTGTCTGTCTATCTGTCTATCTATCTATCTATCTATCTATCTATCTATCCAGCTATCTATCCAGCTATCTATTCTTCCTTTTTCTGAGCTAAGAACTCCTCTTCCTTCGGTGTTCTCAACATGAGTAGCCCCCAAACCCCACAGGTTCCTGAGGATGTGCTGTGTAAGAAGCTGAAAAGGCATTTCCTTCTGGGTTGCTCACCCCAAATATCTGTGGGGCCATCTTGTTCCCTTCCCTTGACACAAAGCCAAATCTTTGCAATGGATAAAAGTCAACCCACTTTGCATTTCAAAGATTCTTTGGGACTTGAATAGCCAGGCGAGCTCTGGCTCTTCCGATTGCTACATTTCAGCATAATTGACTTCTTCTTCTGTATTTGATGTTATGCATTGAAATACATTTTTTTGAGGAAGGGTCCCCAGAGAGGTATATGGCACAACCATATACCGAAGATCCCCTGGTTTAGGGCAGCTCTCAGCAGGCAGCTTCCACCAGGGAATTCCAGGGTAGTCATTGATGGAAGCATCATTGCTCTTCAACCAGTCATGCCCAACAGCAGCACCTAACCGAACACGGCCGTGGTTAATAGAATAGAATAGAATAGAATTTGTTATTGGCCAAGTGTGATTGGACACACAAGGAATTTGTCTTGGTGCAAATGCTCTCAGTGTACATAAAAGAAAAGATACGTTCATCAAGAATCATAAGGTACAACACTTAATGATAGTCATAGGGTACAACTAAGCAATCAGGAAAAAATATAAATATAAATCGAAAGGATACAAGCAACAAAATTACAGTCATACAGTCATAAGTGGAAGGAGATGGGTGGTAGGAACGATGAGAAGATTAATAGTAGTGCAGGCTTAGTAAATAGTTTGACAGTGTTGTGGGAATTATTTGTTTAGCAGAGTGATGGCATTCGGGAAAAAACTGTCCTTGTGTCTAGTTGTTTTGGTGTGCAGTGCTCTATAGCGTCGTTTTGAGGGTAGGAGTTGAAACAGTTTATGTCCAGGATGCGAGGGGTCTGTAGATATTTTCACAGCCCTCTTTTTGACTCGTGCAGGATACAGGGCCTTGAATGGGAGAGAGGCAGGATTTCTCCAAATTCCCAGTCTGAATGGGGAGTGGGACACTCTCTCCGCTTCTATGCAGTGCCAAGTGTCCACTGACTCTAAAGGACGGAGGGGAGGGGCTTGGGATGTGTAAACCTTGGGGCCGTAGATCTGAAGGGCCAGATTTCTCCATGCTGCAGCAGACGGATTGAAGCTGCAAAAGCCTCCTTCGCCCTGCTTGTCTAAAGTCTGGCAGCCCCGGGCAGTTCGGGTTTTCTCTGTAAATGTGCCAGGACATTTTTGTCAGGGTGTCTACATTACGTACCGTTGTCATCCAAGAAAAAGGTTTTACTTCTGCTCTGTTGCTATTTAGCATTTTGCCAAAAACAACCTGTTCTCTCTCTCTCCTTCCTTATCATAATCATAATCATAAGTTTAGTTGTCAAGCATATATAAGATAACAGGTAAAAGTAGAAACATAATTTGAATACATGAAAAGAGTCAGTAAAAAGGAATATTAGGGACGGCAGGCACGCTGGTGCACTTATGCACACCCTTTACAGACCTCTTAGGAATGGGGTGAGGTCAGTGGTGGGATTCAGCCAGTTCCCACCTATTTGGGAGAACCAGTTGTTAACTTTCTAAGCAGTTAACTTAGTTAACTGGTTGTTGGAAGAAATCTCCTTTTGTTTTTTTCCACTTTACAGGGCTAATCCTGTAAGGAATTACAACATTCTGGTGTTGTTTCTAGCCTAATCTTTATTGCCCTGCTTACAGAAACTGCCTCTCTGGTTAACCCTTATTACATTGTAACAGCTAAGGTGAAGCGCCCATCGACATGAGTGACGTTGAGTTGGCCGCACCCACACAGTCACATGACCACCAAGCCACACCTACCCAGCTGGTCATTAGGGCAGAGAACCGGTTGTTAAATTATTTGAATCCCACCACTGGGTGAGGTCAACAGTAGACAGTCTAAGGTTAAAGTTTTGGGGGTTTGGGGAAGAAACCACAGAGTCAGGTAGTGCATTCCAGGCATTGACCACTCTGTTGCTGAAGTCGTATTTTCTGCAATTGAGTTTGGAACAGTTTACCTTGAGTTTGTATCTATTATTTGCTCTTGTATTGTTGTGGTTGAAGCTGAAGTAGTCATTGACAGGAAGGACATTGTGGCAGATAATTTTATGTACTACGCTTAGGTCAGACTGAAGTTGGTGTAGTTCTAAGTTGTCTAAGCCCAAAATTTGGAGTCTGATGGGATAAGGTATTTTATTGCGGTTAGAGGAATGGAGGACTCTTCTCGTAAAATATCTCTGGACTCTCTCGATTGTATTTATGTCCTTCCTTCCTTCCTTCTTTCCTTCCTTTCTCTCTCTCTCTCTCTGTCTTCTTTCTTTCTTTCTTTCTTTCTTTCTTTCTTTCTTTCTTTCTTTCTTTCTTTCTTTCTTTCTTTCTCCCCCCCTCTCTCTGTCTTCTTTCTTTCTTTCTTTCTTTTCTTTTCTTTTCTTTTCTTTTCTTTTCTTTTCTTTTCTTTTCTTTTCTTTCCTTTCTTTTTCTTTCTTTAAAAAAGATCTCTTAGCTTTATAGGGGTGCTTTGTGACAATTGGGCAGGATGTTATCCACATTATTTACGTAAAAAGCCTTCACTGCTTTGGAAATGGCACTCTGGGGTCCAGAAAGCTGGGATAGAAATACCCAGGGAAGGATGCGTGGAGAGTGAATAAACTTCTCTTTAACGCCGTTTAGCCCTGAAGGTTGCAGAAGAAGCGGTGAAGCTACCAGACCACATCAAGGACTCTGGAAAGGCCTTCAAGGACCAGAAAATAAAGTACCGTAAGTTGCAATATTTCCAACTATGGTCAGCAATGACTAACTGGATTTACAAGGTGTTACAAGGTGTGGAGCAGTGTTTCTCAACCTTGGAAGCTTGAAGATGGGTGGACTTCAACTCCCAGAATCCCCCAGCCAGCAACGCTGGCTGGGGGATTCTGGGAGTTGAAGTCCACCCATCTTCAAGCTTCCAAGGTTGAGAAACACTGTGTTAAGCTCTGCTCTTGTGGGTATTTTATTTCTGGCCAGGAAGTGCAGTGATCTTTTAGCTTTTGGATTGTCTCTTTTGAATGGTGTGTAAATGTGGTCCATCTCTATGTGCCCGTTGATGGCCGTTTTTGTCTGAGTGCCGCTGGCTGGGGGATTCTGGGAGTTGAAGTCCACCCATCTTCAAGCTTCCAAGGTTGAGAAACACTGGTGTCGAGGAAGGCCTTGAATAGACTTAAATATGGTCTATGCCTGGGATTAAACAGGGAACACATGAGCCAAGGAACTCCCCGTTTTTATATTCCTGTAATTGCAGGGGGGAAAAAATACACATTTTCCTTGAGGGAGCTTACTTCAAAGACTTCTCCCTAACTTTTATTGTGGTCAAAAGAACAAAAATGGTTTCTACGACAGCCTCATGAGACAGTTCATCTTTTCTTTCTTTCCTCGGGATAAGTACAGGTAGTCCTCGATTTACGGCAGCTTGTTTAGTGACCGTTTGAAGCTATAACAGCACTGGAAAAAAAAAAGCGACATATGACTCTTTTTCTCACCCACAACCATTGCCGCATCCCCCTTTTTGGTTATGTGGTCAAAATTTGGGCGCTTGGCAACTGACTCGTATTTATGACGGTTGGTGTCTCAGGGTCACAGGATCTCTTTTTGTGACCTTCTGACAAGCAGAGACAATGGGGAAGCCCGATTCACTTAACAACTGTATATGGGGAAGCCCGATTCACTTAACAACTGTATATGGGGAAGCCCGATTCACTTAACAACTGACTATAAATGTCATAAAATGGGGCAAAACTCACTTAACAAAATGTCTCACAGAGTGACACAAATGTTGGGCTCAATTGAGGTCATAAGTCGAGGGCTGCCTGCAACACCGGTCACTTTCTGTTTATGTGTAACCTGCTTTCTCCCAAGAATCCGAAAGCCGATGGCCTAGATAGCAATAGCAATAGCCCTTAGACTTATATACCGCTTCACAGTGCTTTCCAGCCCGCTCTAAGCAGTTCACAGAGTCGGCATCTTCTCCCCACAACAATCTGGGTCCTCGTTTGACCGACCTGGGAAGGATGAAAAGCTGAGTCAACGTTGAGCTGGGGAGAATCAAACTGCTGGCAGTGGAATGCAGAGCGAGCCTGCAATGCTGCATTCTCACCACTGCGCCACCATGGCGCTAAATCCCGAGTGGCCCCCTGTGGCACATCTTGCCCAGAGAAGCGGTTCTCAGCCAGGTAGTCGGCGCAACTCCTAAACTGAGACTCTACATAGGTGACAAGTTTGCCATCCTTTCCTTGCTCCGGTGCCTTAGAACTGGGAACTGCACCCTCTGGATCGCTCCCTATGTCCTCACAACGGTGGAAACCATCTGAAGTACTGGGGGAGGGGGGCTTTTGTTCACCCCCCCTCTTAATGCCTTGTACTTTTCTAAACCCCCCTCCCCTCCCCCGCTGTTTTATGCAGACTCCCTCTTCAAGAAAAGTCGAAAGTCTGGGACGGAGTGGCATCCTTTTGAGAATGGTCTCTACTACATATCCCGGGGGAAAAAGACCTGGTACGAGGCAGAGAACTTCTGCATGTCCAGAGAGGCCCACCTGACCTCCGTCCTAAGCTCCGAAGAGCAGGTGACACCCCTCCCCCAATTGTTCAGGCCTTAAAGAACCCCCAGAGTCTGCCTCATAAATGGGAGGACCTGAACATTGCATCGTTCTCACGGCTGAGGGCTTCCTTGGACCGGCTGGTTCCACAAATGCGTTTTATACTCAAGACGGCTTCTCAAGGGGATCCTGAAGGGTCCCTGCAACTGCAGGCCGAGAGGGCAAAGGCAAGGAGCTGCTCCCGGCTTCCCTGATGCCATATTTTTCCTTTCCTCTTGCAGAACTATGTGACTTCGCAGCTCACTCAGCCTGCGTGGATCGGCCTGACTGACGGAGGACGAGGAAGGTGGGAATGGACCGACGGCTCCAGATTAGTAGCCCAGTGAGTCTGCCAAGGCCCAGAGGGGATGTTGTCACCTGTCATCAGAGATGCAGGACCCTCATTCTTTGCTCGTCCCTTCAGAAGTCCCAGCGACACAACACGGCTCTTTCCTGCCCCATGATGGGGCAAGCTGCAGACTTCTCTTTCTGCGTCCGAAAGGTGCTTTTTCAAGAGGCAACTGGACTTTCTTGTTTTTCTTTGAAGATGTTTCGCTTCTCATTTAAGAAGCATCTTGAAAAAGCACCTTTGGGACAACCATGACCTGGTGCAGTGGTGGGTTTCTACCCAACCACCCACTCGGATGTCATCACGGACACTCTGTGCAGGCAGAGAAGCGCCACAAATTAAGTGAGCACGCAGGCACGCTCCCAGTTCCGAACCGGTAGCGAAAGTAAGTGGAACCCACTCCTGACCCGGTGGCTGAGAATCTCCATACAAACTCTCTTTCTGAGCCTCACGTAGGTTTCCTTGATCATGGCAACGTCCATGCTTGCCGGCCTTGCTCTGTGCTGCTCAGGTGGGGTTATGACACATAAACAATTGATGGTTCTCATGAATGAAAGTAAATATTAAGTGTCCCAGGATAATGTTGCAGGATCCAATCTGAGTTGGTGACACTGCAATGAACAAGGACGCACATTCAATTTCACAGCCATTACTATTGTTGGCTGAGCAGAGACAAAAGTAGCCAGAGAAATGATTGTAGCCTGGGAACTGGGCCCCTTATCGGTCAATAGGAGTGCTGATGTACCGTCAGCCTATCAGTTACTTAGAAGCACAATGCACAAGGAAACATCAATTAACAATTTAATAGCCAGCCATCAATACCCCAATTAACAACTAAAAGCTACACACAACCAGGAAGTATATCAATGCAACATGTAGAACAGCTCAGTGTACACATTCTGGGGCGAGAGAAGTTCCCTGAAGATGGGCTCCAGCATCTTGGAAGAATAAAACTTTGGTCCTGGTGACTGATTCCGATTGGATCCTGCAAGGATTGCTGTTCTTCCATTTTCAGATCCTGTGTAAAAGTCACACAGAAAGTTCTAGAAAGGTTTGCCTTGCCCTTTCTCTAACAAACTTGTCTTCTCCAAACAGGAGGTTGTGGAGAAATTCAAGGCCTGGCCTAACTCTCCTCTTTTAAATTTTTAATTCATGTGATTTTATAAATTGGGTGTTTTAATCTGTGTTTCGGCCAAAATATTTAATAATTTTAAGGGATTTTTTTTAATATTTGTATTATCTGTATTTTATCTTGGCTGTTCACTGCCCTGAGTCCTTCGGGAGTAGGGCGGTATAGAAATTTGATAAATAAATAAATAAATAAATAAATAAATAAATAAATAAATAAATAAATAAATAAATAAATAAATAAATAAATAAATAAATAAATACTTGGGAAACCCACCCATTTTGCATCCCCAAAAAATTATTTCAAGTCAAGGAAAATGAACGCCTGAGAGGGAGTCAGGGCGAGGCCACCGTGTCTCCAGAAATGGGATTGCAGAGGGACCCAGTCTCATTCCCAGAGAGGCAATGCAGGGACATTCTGTCCAAGGGCAGTTTCTGGGGACATCTGCAAAGGGGTCAAATAAATCAAAATGGCACTCATGTGCTCTTTTTGGCACGCGTCCATGTGGACATGCCGGAACCCTTAGTTGGGAAAGGGGGAAGAGAGAGAGAACTGACTGGGGTTTCAGCCACATGAGAAAAGGGAGATGTTTCTGAGTGATGGGCACTGCCTGCCCCTCATTTACAGTCACACCACTAGGGATGGCTGCCTATCCATGTCTTCAGTCTTTCTTGGGTGTAAAATGGGCCTCTTCTCTCCTCTCTCTCACCAAGGTTCTGGTCTCAGGGAGAGCCCGGCCACTCGGAGCCGGGCCTTGGAGACGGAGACCAAGGCTGCACAATTATCGTCCCGTCGTCTAAAGGACAGAACTGGAAGGACGTTGACTGCAATCAGCTGAATAGATGGGTTTGCAAAGGAACTCTGGAGGCTGAAGAGCACAAAATTCATCAAACACATTGACCAGAGCCAATGACGTGGACTCCGAAAATTTTCACTGGGGGAGGGGGGCAAACTCCACCAGCTATTCCCGATCACGAAGAGGCCGTGAATATACTCTTTTACCCAAGCGTAATTCGTCCAGTCAAGAGACGGGAGAGAGGCCGATCTTACGTGACCTTTTAGGGTCAAGATGCGGCCTTTTATCGGAGCCCAGGACAGTCCCAGCAGGGCAGCGTTCACGTGGATGTCGTAATTTTGGCCTTGAGGCTGATTCAAGCCCTGAAAAAGCCACAGAGTGAGTGGACGGGGACTCTTCTGGGTCAGCAATCAGCTGTTATCTCTGCCGAGATGATTTCCCCAAACAAGGCTGGGTGATCTGGCTCATCTGCCACCCCATTGGTTGCCAGGGTGGATTCCGCTGATCTGGCTGGATGACTGGGTGCCCCATTCCGCCATCATTGTTCTGTGTACCTCTCCCCCAAACCTCTGCACTCAAGGGAAGAGGACGACCACCCCAGATTGAAGGGGTGTGGCAATCTTCGATCGGGGAAAAGGATAACTGTGCCCCCCTTGCTAGAAGCCCCAAAGAAGCAGAAAGCTCAGTGCATCCTGACAATTAGAGGTGCACAATCAGGACACTTGAAAGGCTCAGAAGGTCAAGGTGTTAATATAGACTTCTTGCTTAGGAGAGTCCAAAGATTTTGTGTTGTTGCACCAATTTAACAACAACCACAATAAGAATAAAATAGGAGAAGACACTGCCAGGAAATCTCCAGCCACAGGCTGGAACAAGAGGTTGGAAAAGCAAGCTGGCGGAAGGAAGGATCCAATCACATCCGTCTCTTTCTCAAGAAAACTTCCTGGAGTCCCCCAGATGTCAAGCCCAGCTCTAAGAAAACGAACTCAGCTTTCTGACCTCAGCCCACCCAGAGACCCCATAATGCAGAACAAAGTTTGTGCACCTCTAGAGAAGACTGCAAGAGGAATGCTTTCCTTCCTTCCTTCCTTCCTTCCTTCCTTCCTTCCTTCCTTCCTTCCTTCCTTCCTTCCTTCCTTCCTTCCTTCCTCCTCCCTCCCTCCCTCCCTCCCTCCCTCCCTCCCTTCCTCCTTCCTTCCTTCCTTCCTTCCTTCCTTCTCCCCTCCCTCCCTAGCTACCTTTGTTGTCAAAGCAATTCTGGGTGGCAAGTAAAGTTCAAAACTAAGAATCACTGTGAAAAGAAAATATTAAAACATATCACAACAATCTAAAAAACGGTGTCTGAGAATTTCGAAACCCTACAAAACAACATCAAGCCTCCTGGCCTTTCACAGCTTCCTGACCCCCAATCCGTGGGGCAACTGCTAATCTCAGCATTTCCCCGAAGGCCAGCAGGGTGGAGCCTATCCTGATCTTGGTGGCCAGGTGGTCCAGAGGGTAGGTGCCCTGACTGAAAAGGCCCATTTCCTGGCTCCCACAGAGACCCTCCTTTAAATGCCGCTCCTACTGAATCTAATCGGGTGGACAGGGACCACCAGAGAGAGAAAAGGCTCTAGGTCCGTGATGGTGAATCTATGGCACTGTGCCATAAGTGGCATGCAGAGCCCTTTCTGCAGGCACGCCAGCCGTCGCCCCAGCCCAGCTCCACCGCGTGTGCACATGCTCCTCCCACCAGCCAGCTGGTCTTCGGGTCTCTGCCGCCCATGCATTGGGTCGGGGCCTTCCCTGATCTCCGCAGTTTCTCCCCTCAGTGCGCCCTAGCTTTCTCCTGCATTCCTGCCACCTGTGCCTTTCCCGATCTCCACAGGTTCCACCCTTCGCAGGTGCCTCTCTGTGGCAGGAATGGAGGAGAAAGCTAGGGCATGCTGGGGGGGGGAACTGCGGAGATCACGAGCCTCCCCGCACCCTGAAAAGCCTCCTGCACCAACCTGGGAGCCAAAATGGGTGAGGTGGGGGTGGGGCGCATGCACACGGGGGGGCGTGTGTGCAAGAAACACATGCGCGGGGGCACATGCATTGCATTTTGGGGATTGGGGCATGCGTGCATGCATTCGCGCGCCTGTGCGCTTTGGACACTCGGTACCAAAAAGGTTTAACCATCACTGCTCTAGGTATTTGGGCCTCAGGCTATCCTCAGGTGGGAGCAGGAAGTCCAGCCCTTGCCCCCTGCTTTACGGGGTCCAGCAGGGTTCAATGCTTTTTCCTCTTCCGTTCAACATTCACATGAAGCCACCGGGTGGGCTCACCCATCACCAAGGGGGAAGACATCATCGGTGTGCTGATGATACCCAGCTGTCTCTCTCGGTCCATGGTGACTTTAAGCCAGTGTTTCTCAACCTTGGAAGCTTGAAGATGGGCTGGCTGAGCTAGACTGGGGTCATTCGAATGGCTGAGGAAGTTTTCAAGCCCCCACCCATCTTCAAGCTTCCAAGGTTGAGAAACACTGCTTTAAGCAAACTGAAACTTGGCAAGGCGGCAAGGCTCTGGGCTTGGAGCTCTTCGATCGTAAGACTTTCTTATTTCATCAAGCCGGCCTGACCTAAGTCTTTCCCCTTTTTAAAGGAAAATTTTAAATTTGGTTTTAAATTATTGGGGTTTTAAATTTGTTCAGCCAAATTATTTAATTCGTTTTAGTTTATTTTAAATTTTGCATCGATGTGTTTTATTCGATGGCCGTTCACCGCCCTGCGTCCTTCGGGAGTAGGGCGGTATGCAAATTCAATAAAATAAAATAAAATAAATAAATAAATAAATAAATGAAGAATTGGCATGGTGTCAGGTTTCGTTGCTATCTTAAATAAACTTCCTTCTCAAACGCAAGGTCTCTAATGAATCTTTTTTTTTATTTATTTAGAATAGGAGAACGACATCCCTGAACTCTGTGTGCAGCCAAGACTGGCCCCTCCTTCCAAACCCCTCCCTTTCCGTTCTTCAACCCCAATGTCTCATTGGCCATCGTGCAGATCCATCTCTTCGTCCCAAGCACTTTCTTTTCACAGGAATTTCCCCCCTCCCTCTGTCACCCAGGTAACGCTATCTACTGAAGAGCAGGGAACTAGGTAAAAGTTCATCTCAGCATTAAAGCAAAGCTTCCCCCTCTTTCATTCATTCATGTCAGCGCTGAAGGAGATCCTAATTTGGAACACTGACACATGGTTTGCTTCAGGGTTCAATTCCAGACGCTGCTTGGCACCTTCAAACCCCTTCCTTGGCTTGGGGCCTGGTTACTTGTATCTGCTTGACCCACCAGATTGGGGAGGCAGAGTAGGTTATGGGTCTCCTCCATCGGGATCCTGGTCCACCTAGCCCGAGGAAGAAGAAGGGCCTTATCTGTGGTAGCTCCCTCCCTATCATCCCAATGGAGATAGAACTAGCCCCCCTCTCTCCTTGACAGTCTTCTAAATGGCCCTGGTTTTGCCAGCGGGCCTGGAGGTCGCAGGTTGATATGGACCCACCAGGTGGCTTGTTTGAACGTTGTCACCAGGAAGCGGAGGTTCATTGGTGCATTGCATTCGGGGTTTTATTCCTGCAAGTGTCTGGGGTCACTGTGAGTGAGGAGAGCGGCCATCTAAATTCCTTTAATAAATAAATAAAATAAATAACATTCTCCCAAGGTTTTTGAGGTCTCAGCCTGAGAAAGGAGGAGGAGGAGATGGTCCTGGAGATGTGTGGGAAAGGGTCAAACCTGGTTTTTAAAATTGAACCCAGAAGCTAACAGGAAGGCGGTGCCCTGGAGCGCTCTCGTCCCATGCTTAGGTCAGCAGGTTTGCCAACCGCCAGGCTGCGTTCTGCCCCAGCTACGGACCCCAAAGAACGCAGCACACACAAAGTCTGTACAAAACATAATTTACTACAGTAACTCAGTCTTTTTCAAACAAAGGCTGTTAATAAACTTTCTTAACAGCCTACAAGAAACCAAAGATAAAGTAATCACAATCTTACTATGGTTGGCAGAAAGCCCAGAAGCAATTTTGCAGAGAATCCAGACGTGAAGGAGAGTGAGCTAAAGTTGTTCCTTGCAAATTGCTTCAGTCGGCGTTCCTCCTTAAATAGGCTAAGGGAGTGGCCAATTAGCCCCAAGCCTTACTCTCGAGGAGACCTCCTCCTGAGGAGCCACTCCTGCCTTTTGGCAGCTCTTTGCGCCCGTGCATCGAGAAGAGGCTCCTCCTCTTCTTCCTCTTCACTTATGGGAGCTTCTGGAGGTTCTGAAGGCCCTGGCTGAATCCCCGCCTCTGGCACCACATCTTCTCCAGCCTCCTCATTGTCCGACTCCAGTGCCAGCTGCACAGGCTGCTGGCGCAGCACCACATCAGCCTCGTCGGAATCAGCTACAATCTGCACAGGCCACTGACGGGCCACAACAAGCTGTTGAACTGTGCCGTTGTGTTTTCCGTTCACAATTGTGCAGTTGTGAATCGTGTTGAAGTAGTGCAAGATAGGAAGTCATGTGGAGAGACCATCATCCTCAGGCTGTAGAATTCTGGACCAAATGAAGCTCCTAAATCGTCTTCAAGGACAGCCCCACATACAGTGACTACTGCAGTAGTCCAGTGGATATAAAGAAGCGGGGTGTGTGTGTGCACTTTTGAGTCAATCTTGACCCCTGGCAACTATGGGGCAAGTCCACATGGTTTTCTTGGCATTTGTCTTGCCTTCTGAATCTTCTTCCTAGGTTTGAGAGTTAGAGATTGGCCCAAAGCCACTCAAGCTGTCCGTCAGCACGTCAAGATGCATTTATCCTAGTGCTGACATAAGAAGGAGAACGCAGGCGTCTGCAACGGGACGGTTGCCTTTCACCTACTTATTTCCTCTGGAGATAATGTCCCCTAGGAGATGGATGGGAGGGGGGAAATTCTTTGAATTGGAGCAGTAGATTAGGGGTGAATGATTGGGAAGATGGCCAATGAATGCAGAGGAGTGGGGGAAGGAAGAGGAGGGGTTTTGGGGCAGCACGTCAGTGCCGGCTGCAATGAGTCGGTGTAAAAAGTGCTGTGCTTAATAAAATGGAAGTGTGTTTTATAAAAAAACTTCGTTTGCGATGCAATTTATTTGAAGACAGCCTGAAAACCTGACAGAGTCCTTGTGTCTAAGGCAGAACTGGAACTCTCTGTCTCCTGGTTCCTGGCTCAGGAAGAAGGTAGGGAACAGCTGAGCGCCCAGAGCTCCTGAGAATCTACTCGGCCTTTCCTTTGAAGAGGAGAACTTCTCTCACACAATAATATCCAGGGCCAGTCCAGAGATGTGAGCTACAGGATGCCAAGGGCTGCTTCTCCAGGGCTGCCCCCCTTGGCAGTGCCATCACAATCCCTCCACAGCTGTGCTTTGCTGAGGGCCCGCAGCAGCCAATCAGTGGGCGGCTTGAGTCACAGGGCAAGGTGTGCCTTCACCTGGGAAGAGAAAGCAAGCAAGCCAGGCCAGAGGAAGGAGGGACCACTCAATCCAGATGACAGCTTGAGCAGAAGTAACAAAAGAGCCAAGAACAACTCTGCCTAAGGAGATTCTCAGCGAGGAGGTACAGATTAGCCAAATGATGCCTTGTGGGTGGCCAACTGTCCCCCATCAGTGGGAGGACTGGCCAGGACAATCAAAACCTTGAATTGTGCCCAGAGGTCCAGTAGTAACCAGAGCATCTCATGAAGTGAAGATGTTACATAGACAATGCAAGAATTGGCTATCATAATTGCCTGGGTGGTTATTCCGGATCAACCCTTAGCAGAATAGGATACAATGCAGAACCCCTGAGAAGATGGAATGAGTGATACAAGAATCACAAAAAGTCACCCCTGGCGCACAAGATGGACCTCCCACCACCCTGGTGGCCACTGTAACCCCAAGGCTGTGCAGGCCTCCAACCTGCACATTTGGGGTTAAAATGGCAACCAGGGCTGGGATGCGGTCGTGTAGATTGTGCTGTATAAACAGCTTTTTCAGCCATGGAAAATCCAGTCCTGATTGCCACTGAAATCCAAAACCTACCTGGAAATGAAATTAGAAGCGTGGCAGGTTGCCACCAAATATTTACGAACCTGGGTTCTAATGTCCACAACCCAGATTTAATTACGTGTGGCATAACATACATGGACTTGCAAGGAATATTAACATCTTGCATGAATTTAAAAAAAGCAGTAAAATATGAATGTTAAAAAGACCTATAGTCAGATAGCAACAGCCCTTAGACTTATATACTGCTTCACAGGGCTTTACCGCCCTTTCCAAGTGGTTTACCGAGTCAGCCTCTTGCCCCCAACAATCCGGCTCCTCATTTTACCGATCTCAGAAGGAGGGAAGGCTGAGTCAACCTTGAGCCAGTCAGGATTGAACTGCAGACTGTGGGCAGTGAGTTAGCCTGCAATGCTGCATTCTAACCACTGAGCCACCACAGCACTTCTAGATATAGATAGATGATAGATAATATATAGAGATAGAGATGATAGACGATAGACGATATATGATAGACAGACAGATGATAAGAGATGATAGATGATAGCAATAACAATAACATTTAGACCAGTGATGATGAAACTTTTTGGCACCAAGTGTTCTGTCCCCCCACCTCACATAGGCAGACACACGAGCAAAAGATATCTACCAGTAATTTATTTTTACAAGCCGACCTGAATCCCTTTGGCAGATAAAAATTCTGGCAGCTACTTTCCGAATGCCTGCCAAGTTTCTTATCACCTCTAGAAACAGGAGTCAGCGTATCTGTAGTCCGTTGCTGGGGCAACCAAGAGTTCAAAGAGTAGTCAGAAGTCATTCACAAAGTCCAAGCCTTAAGTCCGAAAAATATCCCATCTGAAGCTCACGATATGCAGTTTTTGTCCATCACAGAGCCTGTAGAGCAGTGTTTCTCAACCTTGGAAGCTTGAAGATGGGTGGACTTCAACTCCCAAAATCCCCCAGCCAGCGCTGCTGGCTGGGGGATTCTGGGAGCTGAAGTCCACCCATCTTCAAGCTTCCAAGGTTGAGAAACACTGCTGTAGAGCAACCCCACCCACTTTTATCCCCTGTGGGGCATGGCGCAATGACTGAGCAATCTCTGGCCCTTCCCCACCTCTTCCTTTGCTGCGCACGCCTCTCCCTCCGACGCTGCCTGGGATCAATCCAAGATTGATCTTCATCGCTCCCTATTAGTGGGTGCCCCGACATGCCTTCCTCCTGGCCTTCAGCTGGAACCTGAGGCGTTGCCAGAGAGGAGGGTCCTGGAGAGGGAGGCCTTGTCAGTTCTTCCCCATCACTTTCAGAGTCATCTTCCTCCGTGAGGACAGGCTCGGGAGCTGGAGTCACAACACCAAGTGCCTCCCCGGAAAAGGAGTTGCCCAGGATGCATGTACAGGCCCAAAAATGAACTTCCGGTTTCTGGCATGCACTAGTCTTCCGGGTTATATTTCCCACCCCATCATATTATCTTTTATCTTATCTTATCTTAAATGGGGGAGGTAGGCATCTATTGATAGGGGAGAGTTGTTCATCATACAAATTGTTTATGTCCCTCCGGGATGCTGCAACTGTCATAAATAATGAGTCAGTTGCCAGGAGTCCAAATTTTGAACACCTGACCATGGGGATGCCACAATAGTTGTGTGAGAAACGGTCCCAAGTCACTTTTTCAGCGCCATTGTAACTTTGGTGGCTAAATGAATTGTGGTAAGTTGAGGACTCCCTGCATGGCACCCACGTTTAAGCAAAAAATGGCAAAGAAATGGTTGCTGGCATTTCTTTCCTCTTTCTCTCCAAGCCATGGCTCCTAAGAAACCGGCTGCTCCGCCACCCCCACCTCCACCTGATGAAGAGGAGATCGACTTGTTTCAAAACCCTATTAAGAAAGTCCCCGTCAAGTATTTGTGGTTGGGCATCCTAGTTCTCACAGTTGTCTGCCTGATCGTCTTATCAATAACAATTAAAACATGTAAGTTTAGTTCTTCTTGCTAAAGGACTTTTTCAGCGGGAGCCGAAGAAGCCGGGTGGCCTGACTTTCTTTTGCTGTCGAGGTTTCTTGCTGAACTGAGCAGGAGGCGAAGGGATGCTTGCTGAACTCTGACCCAGGCCTTACCTGTCAAGCAAGGAACAGGTATGGTACGATGTGAACAAAGAGGCAGGCTCTCTAAGTCACACGTTGATTCAGCGCTGGATAAAGGTGGGTCCTCGCAGAAGACTCTGGAAGAACCCTAAAAGCATTCTGAAGCAAGCATATATAGACTTATATACCGCTTTACAGTGCTTTTACACTTACCCTCTCTAAGCGGTTTACAGAGTCAGCCTAACAATCTGGGTCCTCATTTTACCCTCTTCGGAAGGAGGGAAGGCTGAGTCAACCTTGAGGCCTGGGGAGATTCGAACGGCCAAATTGCAGGCAGCCGGCAGGCAGCAGAAGCAGCCTGCAGTACTGCACTCTAACCACTGCGCCACTGTAGCTCATTTATAGGTTTCTTAGCCTTACTGAGTTACCTAATAGGAACACTGCTTCCAAGACAGCTGTCAATCTGAATAGAGCTGGAAGGGACCTTGGAGGTCTTCTAGTCCAATCCCCTACTCAAGCAGAAGACCCAATACTATTTCAGACAAGTGTTGGCGCACCTGGTGGCGAGCTGTTCCGCTGATTAATTGTTCTCACTGTTAGGAAGTTTCTCCTTAATTCTAGGTTGCTTCTCTTGATTAATTTACATCCATTGTTTCTTTTACTGCCTTCAGGTGCTTTCGGAAATAAGTTGACCCTCTCTTGTTTGGGGCAGCCCCACAAATACTGAAATACTGCTATCATACCCCCGCCCCCACCTTTCTTTTCTCTAGGCCTGTGATGGTGAACTTATGGCACGGGTGCTACAGCTGCCACACAGAGCCCTCTCTGCGGGCACATGAGCCGTCGCTGAGCTTAGCTCCACCGCGCATGGGTGCCTCCCGCCGGCCAGCTGATTTTCAGGATGGGGGCAGGGCGCAAGTGGGAGACGTGCGCACATGCACGGGGGGTCCACACGCACATGTGGGGAGAGTGCGGGGGTGTGTGGCACCCCACCCCCCGCGGCCCGTTTTTGATCCCAGGAGGCTGCAGGAGTTTCAAGTAGTTTTAACCCTAAATGAAATGAGTAAATTGACATTTGAAATTAGAGAAGAAGAAGATAAACAATATTATAAGATATGGGATTTATTTTACCAATGGCTAGATAATAAAACATGGAAATGAAATCTGAAATATAAAATGAATATTAGAATATAATATGTGAAAATATTAATTTTTTGGGGGGAATGATCATGCCATTGTTAAATAAATGACAAATGAGAATAACGATATAAAGTTATATATCAGGTTGATAATATGAGAAATTAGATAGTAAAATATGACTATGGGGAAGAAGCACAAGGAATTTGTAACCGATCAACCCGCTGCTTGAAATTGTAATGGATGAAGGATGTTTTATGTTTTGTTTGTTTAAATATAAAACATTTTTGCAAAAAAAAAAAGTAGTTTTAATCAAAATGCAGTTAAAACGCTATACAAGCCATCGAGAATATAAATACATATATACAACAGGAAAAAGAAATGCCTCACAGGAGCAAATAGAGGTAAATCCTAAAGAGGCAGGAAATGCTCTACAAGAGCCTGTAGTACAGTGGACTAAAGCACTGTTTTAATATCTGCTGCTTGCAATTACTGCTGGTTCGAATCTCTCCAAGGCTCAAGGTTGACTCAGCCTTCCATCCTTTCTAAGGTAGGTGAAATGAGGACCCAGATTGTGGGGGCAATAAGCTGACTTTGTATAAAATATATAAAAGGATGAAGGCTATTGCTTAACGCATTGTAAGCTGCCCTGAGTCTCCGGAGAAGGGCGGCATATAAATTAAAGCAAAAAAAAAAAAAAAAGCATCACAAAACAGTGGAGATGAATGCTAAAGAGAAAATAAAGCTGCATGCAAGGCAGACATAACACCTGTAACAGCAGGGAGGGCTACTAGGCCCAAAACGGGGCGGGGAGGTCATGCGCGCATGTTCGGGGAGTGTGGGGAGGGGTTGCATGCATATGAAGGGGGGGCTGCATTGCATTATGAGTGCAGGCATGCTTGTGTGTTGTTGCGTGTGTGCGCAAACACTTTCGGCATATGACAACAAAAAGGTTAGCCATCACTGCTAATTCTGGGAGGACTTCAACTCCCAGAATTCCCCAGCAGGGAATTCCCCAGCAGGAGTTGAAGTCCTCCAGGCTTAAAGTTGCCAAGGTTGGAGACCCCTCCTCTAGACTATCCAAACCCAAATCCTGCAACCGTTCTTCGTATGTTTTTGTGCCCAGGCCTTTAATTCTCTTAGTTGCTCTTCTCTGCACTCTTTCCAAAGTCTCAACATCTTTTTTGTAACGAGGGGACCAAAACTGGATGCAAGTATTCCAGGTGTTCTTCAAAAGCTCTTCAGAAGATGCTGGATTGGTGAAAGCTGATGGTGGAAGCACCAAGAGGGCATCTTCAGACCTTAACCTTTTATGTGTCTTAATCGTTTTAGACAACGCGCTGCTTTTAGCCGACTGGACCCCTTATGATGAGCCTATGAAAAAACTGAGGACGACTTTGTCCATCGGACTTAGGAATCGTAATGTCTTGTATTACCAAAATCGTAAGTGCAAAAGGTGATCCTGACTTGGGTCTGGCTAGTTTGGAAGCACAATCCTACTTTGATACCAAGGAAGAGGAAACGAGCCCCTTTTCCTAAAGACACATCCTGCCAAGTAACATCGTGGTTGGAAGGGGTCTAGGACAGAGAAGTCAAACTCCATTTCATTGATGGCCGGACCAGGGTTGTGTTTGACCTTGGGGGCCTGGGGTGGGTGTGGCTAGGGTAGGCATGGCCAACTTGACATCACTCACATCGGGTGTCCGTGGTGGCCCAAGAGCTCTGCCAGCAAAAGTGGACTCCCGAGCTCCATTTTTGGCTGTGACGGCCTCCTGTAACCCTCTGTCAGCAAAAAGGGTCCTCCGAGCTCCATTTTCACTGGCAGAGGCACCATGGGCTGGTCCTTCGCTGTTTCCAGGGTGGCCCCGTGGGACAGATCTAAGCACCCCAAATCCGGGCCCTGGGCCTTGAGTTTGACACCCCTGGTCTAGAACAACTGACTGTGGACAACTTGCCATGGGACAAGAGTTACATTAAGTGGCAACCCTGGTTGAGCTCTGAAACCTTAAGGAGCACCTGTGTGGGGAGTAATCTGAGGATTCAAGGGCTGTGAGTCCTTGGTGCTCTCTGAGCTTGGATCAGAGGTGGGTTTCAGCAGGTTCTGGCCAGTTCTGACGAACCGGTAGCGTAAATTTTGAGTAGTTCGGAGAACCGCTAGTAAAAATTCTGACTGGCCCCGTCCCCATCTATTCTCTGCCTCCCAAGTCCCAGCTGATCAGGAGGAAATGGGGATTTTGCAGTATCCTTCCCTGCCATGCCCACCAAGCCACACCCACAGATCCGGTAGTAAAAAAACCCGAAACCCACCACTGTCTTGGATGGATTTTTTGGAGAAATGTCATTACCCAACCAGCTAATATCTTTGGCACTAAAGACGATACCTAGTTGGGAAATGGAATACCTCTAGAAAACAATAACCAGAGCCCAGAGACCAACCCTGAGCTACAAATATTCTCTACTTTAGGTAATTCTAGGTCTGTTTGGCCAAACTGGGAAGTTGAAAAAAATAAATCTCAAAATGCTCGAATGTTCAAAAATAATCCCATCTTCCCAATCGTCACTGCACATTCCTAGATCTTAGGGGGTGGGAAGGGGAGAGGCATTTCCAATGCCTTTAAATCAGCCAGAGTTTCTCTATGTGAGTGTCTGTTCTGTGTGTGGAAGAGGAAATCAACTTCTAATTGCATCTGGTTTTAGCTCTGAAGGTCTCAGATTTAGTAGAGGGCATTCCGAAACATTTAAAAGACTCCGAAGCAACCTATCTGGCAGAGAAAAAGAAGTACCGTAAGTCTTTTGGTTTAAAAAGAGAACACTATCTCTTATTTGTTATCATTTTATCTCAGCAGATTAAAAAAGAACACCATAGATAATAGTGTGCCCTGTATTAAAGATTTATTAGTTTATTTTTTTTAATAAACTTAATATATAAAATATAATTCTTCTGGAAGAATGAAAATCTTCCTTTCCTTTCCTTTCCTTTCCTTTCCTTTCCTTTCCTTTCTTTCTTTTCCTTTTCCTTTTCCTTTTCCTTTTCCTTTTCCTTTCCTTTCCTTTTCCTTTCCTTTCCTTTCCTTTTCCTTTTCCTTTTCCTTTCCTTTTCCTTTTCCTTTTCCTTTTCATATTCCTTTCTTCTTTTCCTTTCCATTTTCCTTTCCTCCTCCTCCTCCTCTTCCCCTCCCCCTCCCCCTCCCCTCCCTCCTTCCCTCCCTCCCTTCCTTCCCCAGATTAAAAGCACTGAGCATTTTATCCTGGAATGGAAAATGAAATCCCTCTTCCTCGTTCACCTCCTTCTTTTTCCTTTCTTTTTCCTCCTTTCTCCTTGTCTTTCTCCACCCTTCTTCCACCACCTGCTCCAGAGTGGGCTTACAATCTCCTTGTTATAAAGTCTCTCGTTTGATTGACTTTGTCACTGTGAAGTGACGAGGGATAAACAAGGACAGCATGGACCTGCTTTCTTAGAAAAAACTGGGGGTGGGGAGAAGGGAATTAGAATGTCTGGAGTTTAAAATTCTCTCCCTTCCACGAAGCGTGGCTTTGTGATCTTTACTGAAACTTAGATCTGCTTTTGATAAATTAAGATTAGGGTCAGTTACATCTATACAGGTAATCCTCAACTTATAACCACAATTGAGCCCAACATTTCTGTTGTTAAGTGAGTCATTCGTTAAGTGAGTTTTGCCCCATTTTACAAGCTTTCTTGCACCAGTTGTTAAGTGAAACACTGAAGTTGTTCAACTGGGAACACGGTTGTTAAGTGAATCTGGCTTCCCCATGGACTTTGCTTGTCAGAAGGCTGCAAAAGGGGGTGTGTGTCACGTGACCCCCGAGATACAGCAACCGTCATAAATATGAATCAGTGGTCAAGCATCTGCATTTTGATCACACGACCGGAGGGATGCTGCAATGGTGTGCAAAATAGACATTAGTCCTTTCTTCAGTGCCCTTGCAACTTCAAATGGTCACTAAATGAGGGGCTGTTAAGTCGAGGACTACCTGTGCACACTGGTCAACTATATGAAATTAAAAAAAAAGAAGAAGTTAGGACTCCACTGTGAACTGCTTAGAGTCCACAGTGACTCAGTTGGGAAGAAGATTCATGAAGAAAGAAAAAATGGCAACTATGCAGAATTTCCACCATTGTTCATCACTTCTGATCAGAGTTCTGGACCGAAATATGAATCTTTGACTCCCGAACATATTGTACTATGGAACCACCACCTTCAAGCAGGATTTAAAAAACTAAACGTAAAACTAACCCTAATGGCCCACCTGGTTCAACCAGTGGCTAATCAGGTACCTTCAGGAAGGTTACAAATATGAGCCAGAAATCAGCTGCCTCCTTCTGATGTTGCTTCCCAGGAGTGGCAGTGACCAGGAGAGAGGCACCAGCCATCAAGAGTAGTGGTTCTTGTGTTTGGCTCCAACTGTTGTGGCCTGTTGACCGCTGGGCCCTCCAGCAGCCAAATCAGAGGAGGAGGAGGAGGAGGAGGAGGAGGCGTGGGAGTCGGGGTCAGTAACCTGAGAGCTCCGAGGGGGAAGAGGGAATGGAGGTGGCAGAGAGAGAGAGAGGGAGGTGGAGCCTGGGCCGTCCGTCAGCCGTCAGATGGAGAGTCAACAGCCCCCAGGTCTGGAGGTGGCTGATGAGGAAGAGGAGGAACAGCTGGGTCCAGTGCCTGACGTGCAGATGGGCAGAAGGCAGAGGAGAGGAGAGCAGTGGAAATCTATGGGACGGTCCTTGGAATGGAAGAGCCACTGCTGCTAGCAAAGCCCCACCCTATCTCTGGGGATAAAAGGCAGGGGGCCGAGATGAATAGATGCGGCAGACAACTATTCATCTCCTGGGCAGATGGACTTGTTAGCTTGCGGTGAGAGAGAAAGAGACTTTTTGCTGGGGCTGCTGGCGCTCCTAATAAAGGAATCATTGATTTAACTACAGAGGGTTTGTTGTGTTTGGGAGCTGGGTCAGGACACAGAATCTCCTGGGTCTTGTGAATTGCCCTCTTGCATGGGTCCTCTAGCTCCTGGGTCATTTGTTTAGGAGCCCATCCCTCAAAATGAGGAGTTTGGGGAAGTGACCAAGAGAAACTCTGCTCCTTGTTAACTCGTGATCAGGCCACAATTGAAGACGCAGTCCTCTGCGGTTGTAGGGTGCACCCCAGGGGCGCCTGAAATGTCTTGGGCTTCTGCTAAATGAGAAATAAGAGGATTTGGACTTTTGAGCCCCAACTGAATTCAGTTTTTAATGCGTTGAGGCTCCATACATGCAGTTAGAAGTAAAAACCAAAATCGCTCAATGCGGAATCTCCTAACGTGTTTTTCTCTTGGCATTAATTCCTTTTAGAGGTTTTATACAAAAAAGGAGTGAGATTTGGTAGCGACTGGAAGCTTTTTGGCTGGAATTTCTATTATGTTTCAAAAGCAAATGAAAGGAAAACGTGGCACGATGCCGAGTACTTCTGCAAGTCCAGAGATTCCCACTTGACCTCGGTCCTGAATGAGGAAGAACAGGTTTGGTATTTTCTTTTTCTTTTTCTTCTTCTCTTCCTTCTCATCTTTGGGGGCTTTCAAGACAGCAGCACTCCATCTTGGCTAAATGGTGGCATCTTCCTAACCTTGTTTGCTTTTAAAATTTCCATGCACAAGGGGTTTGTTTACCTTTTGCAAATGAGGTTGAACCTGCTCGTTTCTTCAGAAGAAATATTTTCATTCTTTGTAAATGTAGGAAAAAAAATATATCAAGACATACTAAGCTAGAAGGAAAAAGAGCAGTGAAAGAAAAGTTCAGAAGAAAAGAAAACAGAAAGATGAAGAAAATAACGAAGAAATGGCTTTGAAACCATCATCACACCAAGCATAGTTGGTGAGAATGCAGGATTGCAGACTAACTCACTGCTCACTCCAGGAGTTCGATTCTGAAAGGCTCAAGGTTGAGATCCTTCCAAATTTGGTAAAATGAGGACCCAAGATTGTTGAGGACAATAGGCTGACTCTAAAAACCGCTTAGAGTGGGCTGTAAGTCACTATGAAGAGGTATATAAGTGTGATTGCTATTCAAAAGGAGTCTTCAAATTTTGCACCAGCTTCCTTTGAAGGTATCATAAAGGCAACATACACGATTTCTTATCAGAGCTATTCACTGTCCAAATCCTTTTCTTTTTTTTTTATTGCAAAAGTTTTACAATTACATTTTCACCCCACTTTTCCCCCCCCAACCCACCCCTCCCTCCCCACCCTAACCCCCCCAAGCCCCCCCAACCCTCCCCCTCTGACTTCCACAGAATATAATCCCATCAAAATCCCCCCTTTTTATGAAAACTTGAACCCCTCAAGCCCCCTTATAATTTTTTCTCTCTTCACAATTCATACATTTCTATTTCTATATAACTTTCAGTGAAAAACAATTTGATACTTCCTAACTTGGTATTTTTTCTGCACATAATCTATCCATTTTTTCCATTCCCATTCATAAGTCTCTTGTGAGCGATCTTTTAAATATGCTGAAATCTTCGCCATCTCCGCAAAACTGGCCATCCTTTTCTTGAGGTGTATCCTCATCTTGTTGTCTTCCAAACTTTTAACTTCTATAATATGTGTCAGGTAAGTGTTGTTGTTGTTGTTTTCTCACTATTTCTAAAAAGATTAACTATTGAAATCGGTATCTTTTCTGAGATATTCATTATCAGTATCTCGATCCATTTTTTTAAAAAAATTGATTTATATGCCGCCCTTCTCCGGAGACTCAGGGCGGCTTACAATGCGTTAAGCAATAGCCTTCATCCTTTTGTATATTTATACAAAGTCAGCTTATTGCCCCCACAACTGGGTCCTCAATTTACCTGAAGGATTCTTTAACATGAGTAAACGTTATAGCCAATTTAGCCATAACTTTCTTTCTGTCTGGTCTTGTTAGTTGCCCCTAACATCCATTTGCAGCTTTCATCAAGTCTCAGTTCCTAATATGAGTTTATTTCACTCATTTCCCATGGGTATATTACCACCCCCCCAAATCTTACAGCAAAAAGAACCAGTATTCCAAATTTCTTTGGTCTCCCAATGGTTGCAGGAATTGGGTATGTCTAGTTTAGTGAAGGGGGGACCTGATAGCAGTCTTCCAGTATTTAAGGGGTGCCACAAAGAAGAAGGGGCCAACCTATTCTCCAAAGTACCTGAAGCAGGACAAGAAGCAAAGGATGGAAACCAATCAAGGAGAGAAGCAACCTAGAACTAAAAAGAAATTTCCGGACACTGAGAACAACCAACCAGTGGAACAGATTTTTTCCAGTAGTTGTGCTGAATCCCTAGAGATTTTCAAGAAGAGATTGGACAACCATTTGTCTGAAATGGTCTAGGATTTCCTGCTCTAGCAGGGGGTTGGACTAGAAGACCTCCAAGGTCCTTTCCAGCTCTGCTGATGTTCTATGTTCTAAATCAGGATCTTTTCTGTTTTTGCTTTTTGCCAGTTGTATATTATTTTGAACTCATATCGGTTTCAAATTCCTTAAATCTTAAGAAATGAAAACTCACCAAGTGTCAAATTAAGCTCACTGTTTTGAAGGTCTCATAAATGCCTAAAGTAGTTAAAATGGATGTTTCCAAATGTGATTAGGAGCAGCGTTTAGCTGACGTAGTGTCTTTATTAAAGGCTCTGCCACTGCTGAGAGCAAAGATGTTATTTCCCTCAGCTCTGGTGCTCAAATCCACAGGAAACTACTGTTTTACAGTCACCTCACACAAGGAACTGCTATTCATGATGCTTGTGTGTGATCTCTCATTCTTTCCTTCTCCGGAGTGTTTACAAAGAACTGTTCTTCTCACTGGCCCTTCATTCTTCATAGCTGTCTTCATTTCCCGTTGTTCACTTAGACATCTTCGGTCAGTCATAGCTTATCCCGGAGGTCTTGCATTTTCTCCTTTCTTGTGCAATTTGCAGCGCTTGTCTGCAAACTGTATTAACGGACCAGGACACTCTACGCAATGGGGCCTGAATGAGAAGATCAGAGGTGACAGGCCGAAATGGCTCCCATTCAGAATAAACTCTTTGACTCCCACCCCCCACTCAGAAGGCTGCTAACCGTGTTCTTGACATGTTTCCACTGAACAGGGGTGGGGCATAAAGGTGGAAGCCCCTGTGTCCCATCTTTAAAACCGTGATGTGACTTGCCTCACCACAGCACAGCCCAGAGCTGATTTTTCTTCAGGCAGAACGGAGTTCTTTGGCGAGCAACAGTGAACTGTTTGTTGTTAATTTTGGACACTGAGGCTACACAAACCCAACGTGAATCTCTTGAGTGTGGAATCCCATTTTGTGAAGCTGCCCCACTTTTTCTTTCCATTTTTGTGTCTTTGTAGAAGTACATCTCTTCAAAGCTCAACGAGTCTGCCTGGATTGGCCTAACGGATGAAAATGTGGAAGGCCACTGGGAGTGGTCGGATGGTTCCAGATTAATAATACAGTGAGTCTCCAGGAATATGATCATTTAAAGTCTACCCCTCAAGCCTTATGTCAAACCCGTAGCTTAATTAAATAAATTTCTTAATTTAGGCTCCAGGCAGCTCAGATTGGCATGGGTGCTACGGAGTATGATTAATGCTAACAGAGTTTATGCTAAATGTAAGAGTTTATGCATGCTTCCCGTTGTCACGTGATGCACTGTAGCCAGACGAAATCAACAATATTATGGCTTCATACAATGGCCTGCTTTCACATAACTTGCTGAGAAAATGGGCTGGATTTCCAGCAGACTGAACCATGAATGACCCAACCTCGCCTAATGTGTGAACCCAGTTCATTTGTGCCGATTCTTGCTCCAGTGCAGGCTATGCTTCAGAATGGGCAAAGGTTTGGATCTCAGCCTTATGCAATTGTCCTCTTCTCGTTTGCAAGCGAGCCCTCCAAATTTTGGGCAAAGAAGCACATATTGGCTTGATCTTGCATCTCCAGGGATTCTGCCAACCTTCACTGGGAAAGTGAACAACGGGGGGCAGCAGTGGGGAGAAGAGTGGCAAGTCCCTCGGACATCCTCCACTCCTTCTTTTCTCCACCTCCACTCTAAAATTGTCTTTCCTTTAAAGAACTTTGTACTCCTTTTGCTGCATGTAGAGATCCAACTGTCAGTCCTGCCCCAACTTGGTTCCTTAAGTAAGAATGACCCTCGACTCCATTCGGTGTGAAAGGTTTACTTTACTAAAGGCCAAGTGGATTACAGTATAGCAAAGCCAGAGCTGAAGTTTGCGTGCCAAATTTTCCCAGCTAACTTTCCCTATCCAGTTCCTTCCCTCTTGCTGGTCTCTTATTATCCAATTATATTTGAATTAATTGTTTTGGGAACTGTCTCTTCCATTCCCAGCCCTTTGATCTTGAGATGGTGTCTCTGGAAGCTACGATGAGTTGTTAGCTTTCCCCCCTCCCGATTGGCTCTCTACCCCCATAGTTCATGGCAGGCTGGCAGCCAGCGAATATGAAATTTGAGCATATGATGCAGTTAGGACACCAACCCTCCCTCTCTCTCTTCTTAGATACTGGGCCGATGGCAATCCCAATGGATTCATCAATGATGGAGAAGCAGATGAAGACTGCGCTGCCATAAAACCCTCAGGAAGTGATTTAAACTGGATTGATGCCAGTTGCCAAGAACTTAGAAGATGGATTTGTAAGGAGACTATAGAGTTTGAAAACACATAAAGTTCATCAACCATGTTAACTGGAACAGGATTAAATGTGAAGAAAAAGGAGAAGAAAGATGACTTTTAGAACCAAACTTCATTGGAATTCTATAGCAATCACAAAATAAACAGGCATCTCCAACTATTAGAGTCTCCAGTATGATATCTATAGAGGCGAGCCACGGGCACACACTCACACACACTATAACTGTTTTGAGATAGTGTGTGTGGAAATAATCTTTAGGCTGCATTTGAGCACAACAATCCAGCTTCTCTCTGTTCTTGTTTCTTGTTGCCAGTTCATAATTTCATCAAAGTCAAGAGACAGAAAAAAAAAAAATGGAAACCAGAATAGAGTCTCTGACAGATGCTTGCCTGAATGGTTTGCTATTTAACAGCAGTGCGCAGAAGAATAGTCCAAATTAAGTCCAAAGTTGCGAGATCTAGGGCAAAGTTGTCAACTAGTCCAGAGGTCAGAATTATACACGCACTATTCATACGAACATCATGCGGGAGATAGAATTCAGACTGTTGTTTCTATGAAATGTGAATGAAAGATCTGGGGGTCTTCCAGGACTCACAGCTACTGCTTGGTGAACAGGTGACAGCTGTGGCCAGGAAGTCTTGCCCAGTTCCATCTGGTGCACCAATTGTGCCCTTTCCTAGATCAGAAGATCCTTCAGAAAGTTACCAATTTCCTAGAAACCCATGGCTTGACTACTGCAAGATGTTCTACTTGGTGCTGGTCTGCTGCTTTTGGGACCCTGGAGCTCAGGTCTTGCTCAGACTGCTGCTACGATTACGCAGAAGGTTGAGTGGTGCATTGGGATTGCCTCCCCGCCACACCTCTGCCCGGATGCTGGGCCTACTGCACCTGCTGCTATTGGCCTCACAGGGCTCTTCCCCTCCTGGCCATGCTGCTCTCAGCATCCCTGCTGGGCTGCTCCTTCCTGGTGTGGGGCAACCTTTGGGGCGCAAAGGAGGAAGGAGCAATCTCCCCTCCCTCCTCTGTCTGTCCCACTGCAGGACTGCCACGGAGCTCCTGTCCAGCAAAGTGGTAACTCACGCAACCCACTTTCCAACGGTGTGTAGATCTGCAGTTTGACTGAATGGGTTTGCTTTGTTCTTGCATAAATCATCCCCAAGGAAAGGACGATCAGTAGGAAAATGGGAGAAGGGATTTTCCTGCCGATCCTCCTTTCCTTGAGGATGATTGATGCCAAAGCCATGTGCGTGTGTGCAGGGCTGGCGGAGCTGATGAGCAGAGGGGTGGGTGGGTGATCGGGTTTAGTGAGTAGGGTGGGGCAGGGAGGCAAAATTGTGAGCGCTCCATGGATCTTCTTGCCTGCCTCGTTCATCACGGTTTGATTTTGCTTGAGATGCGGGAGAGGGAGAAAAATCGGAAGTGCCTGCACAATAGGTGGGCAGAGTGAGGAAAACTCTTTCAGAAAGTGATCTGCAAGGGGGGAGGGGGATTTCCTGCTGATCCTCCTTTCCTTGGGGATGATTTTGGGTGAGCTACCGCTTTGGTGGGCAGGAGCTCCATGGCAGCCCTGCAGTGGGAAGATAGATGGAGGCGGGAGGGGAGATTGCCCCTTCCTCCTTTGTGCCCCCAAAATTGCCCCGCACCAAGCAGGAGCAATCTCCCCCTCCCTCCTCCATCTCGCTGCAGGGCCACCAAGGAGCTCTTGTCCGCCGAAGCTGCAGGGCAACCAAGAGCAACACAGCCAGGAGGGCAAAGAGTCCTTGCAAGGTCACCAACAGCAGGTTCAGCCGGGCAGAGACGGGAGGAGCAGCTTTCTGCCTTGTCGTAGCAGCAGCCTGCACAAGTCCCGGGCTCCAGGCCTGACGGAGCAGAAACTGTGATCGCCACCTGTTCCAGAGCCACAAGGTGAGCTGCAGAAGAGAGGGGCCCTTGGCTGCGAGCTTGCCTGGCGCTGCGGGCAGGGCCAGGACTGGCGAGAGTATATTGGAAATACCTCCAGGAGAGAAAGAAGGAGAGGCAGCTCCCGGCCTTTGCTGACTCAGACTAAGGGACCGAGCTTCCGTGAGGTGACTGGGGAAGGGAAGGAGCCGCCATGCCTCAGGGATTGCTGCCTGTGTTTGTGAGGGGACACGCAGTTGGGCTGCCTCCTGTGCTAGATACACCCACCCCTTCACTTGGGCTTATTTTTGGGGTAGGACTTATATTAGGCCCACTCCAAAAAAAATCAGGCTAGGGGTTATTTTCGGGGTAGGTCATATTTTTGGGGAAACATGGTATTTACCTTCCCTGGTCTGTAAAGCAAAGGAAAGCTGAAATAAGGTGATAAGCACAGTTGCAGTTTCACTTAGTGACCACTTAACCACCCAGGCTGACCTTGGGAGGAGGCTGAAGAAGCCGAGGAGTGGAGAGGGCAGGAGGGGATATCAACCCCAGTAATTAGGCAAGGCTAGAAATTCTGACATTGCGTTCCAGATCCTTCCCTTCTCTGTGCTCCTGTAGCACATAATTGTTGCTTTCTCTTGATTGCTTGCCCTAAAATGGATCTTTCCTTTGGAAATATGCTCAGTGCCTCCTCCTGCTTTGCTACATTCAGAAGCATATTGGCAGCCAGTGGGACATCTTAAGGACCGACATCAAGTGTTTATGGTAGTTAACACCTACTTAACAGAGCTGGAAGGGACCTTGGAGGTCTTCCAGTCCAACCCCCTGCTCAGGCAGGAAATCCTATACCATTTCAGACAAATGGTTGTCCAATCTCTTCTTTAAAAGTTCCAGTGTTGGAGCATATTCCATCGGACATTGGGATGACACTGAGCCCTGAACTGATGGAGGACCTTCCCCAATGCTGTCTTGCAGGGAGATCATAATGAGGAAAAGACCAAACTCTCTGGTGCCCCACAAATGAGTACCCATCAGCCGGACCTCCCCTCCCCCTACCACCCCCAACTGAAACCACCAGCAAGGACGGCATAGAAACACTCCTCAATTCCTGAAGCAACCAAGAAGGGGGCCACGGTCCATTTTTAAGAAACAGATGCCTAGAGATACGTCACCTTTTGCCATGGCCTGCTCGAAAGGATGGAGGGGGAGATGTGTCCCCAACTCCATCTCTATGTCTCTGCCAAATCAACCACAGACCAACACTTGGAGTTGTTAGAAACTCCCACTGAGGGGAGGGAAGAAGGTGAATGGACTGAACTTTTATTTCCTGCTCCAAAGCCTATATATGATGCTCATTTTGTCTGGAGGACTGACGACTGTTGTTTCTTCTTTTCAGGTACTGGATGGAGGGAGAACCAAGGAACTCTCGCAGTAATAAATGTGCAAGACTGGCGAATGCATGTAATACAAAATTGCAGTGTTGGTATACTGTACCTTGTTCGCTTCACGGAAGAGGCATTTGCAAGCAGAAACGAAAATAAGACATCCCTGATAATAAGCCCAATAGGGCTTTTGGGCACATGTGCTAAAATAAACTTCCTCCCGAAAATAAGTCCTCCCCAAAAATATTTAAACGCAGAGCTGGAAATTAGGTGAGATGTCTTGCTTCACATGCCCCAAATAAGATCTCCCTGAAAATAACACCAAGCGCTTATTTCGGGGTTCCCAAAAATATAAGACAGGGTCTTATTTTTGGGGAAACACGGTCTATGTCTCTCTGTCTCTCTCATCTATCAACTCTCTCTCTCACACACACATTTCTGTCCCTCCCATCAGCTGCTCTCTGCTGAATTTAGAAACTTTAGAGTGCCCCTTACTTCTTGATTTCTATGGAAGCATGATTAAAAATAGAAACCGGCCATGAAATAGAGGGTTTTTTTAAAAAAGAAAGAAATCCCAGAGCAAAAGGAGTGATTGCACTAAAGTTGCTTCATGTGTGGAATGCTGAGAGAGAGAATGTTAGGCAGCCAATTAAGCAAATGTTGAGTGGGAAGGTTCCGGAACGTTTGGCATCAAAGGGGAAGTGGGTGGCACCCGTCAGAGTGACGCTGCAGCAGGAAGGCGGAGAAATTGAGTTAAGCTAAATATCCCACCAGGTAACACCTACTTAACAGAATAACAGAGTTGGAAGGGACCTTGGAGGTCTTCTAGTCCCATCCACTGGTCAAGCAGGAATCCCTCTATCATTCTGACAAAATGGCTGCCCCGTCTCTTTTTAAAACTTCTGGAGGCAAACCATCCACTGGTGAACTGTTCTCACTGTCAGGAAGTTTCCCCTTAGTTCTAGGCTGGTTCTGTCCATTAGTTTGATCCATTACTTCTTGTCCTGCCTTCTAGACATACCCAATTCCTGCAACCAATCATACGTTTCAGCCTCTCCCATCCTCTCTACGTCTGACGAAGTTTTGGGGGACCAGTCTGCTTTGGTCTCACTATGGCCATCGTCTCCACTCGATATGAGACATGCTAATTCACCATTCCTCCCCCGGAAATCTCCAGTCATGGAATTTCTTGAATATGGGTCTAGCAGTCTCCCAGAGAACTGCTGGGAACATCTCAAAAAGAGATTTCCTTCTCTTGTTATGCCATCCATGTGCTGGCACTAGAAGTTGGAGGGAGAGACTTTCACTGTCAGCTCTTAGCTCATAGGGATCAGCTCAACTGCCTGGACCCATCCATCACGCACACACACAAATGCCCACACGCCCATGAGTGATCCGTTAGCGATGGATTTTGAAACCCGCCCCTGGATCATCTCCATGGGGGTCAGAGAATTGGGGACCCACCCTCCCATCCCTTTTCCTTGATCTCTTTGAGAATTTGCCTGGCAGGAGTTACAGGAGAAGTTGGGATCAATGGGAGGACTTTTTCCAACTATCAAATGGCTGTGAAAAACAGCTGTCAGGAACCAGATGAGTCCCAAGTAACATAGAGCTGCTGGCAAAGTGTACTTTCGTAGGACAGATGTTTATGGAGATTCTCAATCATCCAGGCCACAGATGCTTTTTCCAAAAGGCAACTGGACTTGCTTTGAAAGCCTTTTGCTACTCCTCCAAGGAGGTTAGAACCGAAGAAGCTTCTTGGATAAAAAGTGAAATATTTTCAAAGAAAAAAAAAAAAACCCAAGAAAGTCCAGTTGCCTTTTGGAAAAAGCACCTTTGGGACTTCTGCAGGACACGGTTTCTTCAGGGAGAAGGGATAAATCTCAACTTTTGGCTTAGGACCTGGTTATCTACGGGACCGCCTACTACCACCAGTAGCCTCCCACTGGCCAGTACGCTCTCATAGAGAGGGACTCCTCCGGGTGCCGTCAGCCAAACAGTGTCGACTGGCGGCCCCTAGGGGGAGAGCCTTCTCTGTGGGGGCACCTACCGTCTGGAATGAGCTCCCCCCGGAGATACGGAGGATCCCGGATCTGCGCACCTTCCGCCGCGCTGTGAAGACTTTTTTATTTCACCAGGCGGGCTTGGCCTAATCTTTTCCCTTTTTTAATATGTAAATTTTAATCTGTTTTTAAATTATTGGGGTGTTTTAATCTGTCTGGGCCAAAATGATTTAATTCGATTTTAATTTAAATTTTTTGTATCTATGTATTTTATTGTTTGGCTGTTCACCGCCCTGAGTCCTTCGGGAGTAGGGCGGTATACAAATCAAATAAACTAAACTAAACTAAACTAAACTAAACTTTGGAGCAAGTAAATAAATTCTGCTTCTGTGCAAGCCAGGGATGCAATGAAGACCTTGTAAGTTCAGAAAAGGAAGGCTTGAGAATGTGACCTTTCTCTGGCGCACTTCAATGTTTTCAAATATCTTGTCTTTGTGCAGAGGAAATAAAATGGTACAATGGAGGACAGTGACGAATCTGACGAAGATGTTGAAATCAAAGGTGGGTCGTTGCCCAACTTGTTGTTGCGTGAAGGAAGAATGAAGAGGGTGGGGGGAGAGGAAAGGAGAAACAATATCCCGGGTTTTCAGGCTTCAGTGAAGATCGAAATGAGGCTGATGTGTCTCAGAGTATTTACTCTGCTTTAATGTCACCTCTCTGAACATGTGCAGAGGGTTCCTGCTGGGAAACGAACAAGTGAAGGTCCTTGGAGCTCTCTGAGCTTGGTTGTTTTCTTGCATTATCCAACATCATCAGGGCTAGTATGGAGTGAGGTTTGCTCTCAATGTACCTACTAGTGACTTGCTGTCCAAACTGACAGGGAAATCCTCTAAAGCAGTGTTTCTCAACCTTGGAAGCTTGAAGATGGGTGGACTTCAACTCCCAGAATCCCCCAGCCAGCAGTTGAAATCCACCCATCTTCAAGGTTGAGAAACACTGTGTCAATCTCTGCTCTTGTGGGTATTTTATTTCTGGCCAAGAAGTGCTGTGATCTTTTAGCTTTTTGATTGTCTCTTTTGAATGGTGTGTAAATGTGGTTCATCTCTATGTGCCCGTTGATGGCCGTTTTGTCTGAGTGCCGCTGGCTGGGGGATTCTGGGAGTTGAAGTCCCCCCATCTTCAAGCTACCAAGGTTGAGAAACACTGCTCTAAAACATTGGTTCGCAACCTGTAGTCAGCAGATCCCTGGAGGTCCATGATGTCATCACGGGGTGTCTGCAAAGACTTGAAAAATATGTTATGATTTAAATCTTGAGTTTAAGTCTTGGGAGTCTGTAGCCACGAAAGGTATTTAAAGGGGGTCTGTGGTGAAGAAAAAGTTGAGAACCACTACTGTAGAATATAAATTGAGAACAAACTCGCTTCCTACTAGCACTGATGAGATTACCTACCTGGGTCATGAAATGCCTGCAAGAAAACAAGCGCAAAGTTCCAACAATTGTCCTCCCTCCTCCTCCTCCTCCTCCTCCTTCCTCCTCCTCCTCCTCCTCCTCCTCCTCCTCAGCTCCCCCCTCCCCCTCTCCTGCACTCTGCAAACCCCACTCCCTTCTAGCTATTACCTAGTTGGGTAATGAAACGTCTACAAGCAAAGTATTGAGCTCAGAGAGCACCAAGGACCCCAGAGTTCAACCCTGAGCTACAAATATTCTGTCCTATGTGACCCAAACCAGCAGACGATCTCAGCCAGCAGTTTCTTGTAGATGTTACGTAAAACAATTGCAGAAACAGAAAATACAAGTTCTGCATCACAGAATTTTGCCGAACAAAGGATCCCAATGCCGAGGAGACCTAACATGGCTTAGGACCTGGTTATCTACGGGACCGCCTGCTACCACCAATAGCCTCCCACCGGCCAGTATGCTCCCATAGAGAGGGGCTCTCCGGGTGCCGTCGGCCAAACAATGTCGGCTGGCGGCCCCTAGGGGGAGGGCCTTCTCTGTGGGGGCACCTACTATCTGGAACGAGCTCCCCCCGGAGATACGGAGGATCCCGGATCTGTGTACCTTCCGTCACGCGCTTAAGACTTTTTTATTTCATCAAGCTGGCCTGGCCTAAATCTTCTCCCCTTTTTAAATGTAAATTTTAATTTGTTTTTAAATTATGGGGTATTTTAAATTTGTTCAGCCAAATTATTTAATTCATTTTTATTCTATTTTAAATTTTTGTATTTATCCTGTGGCTGTTCACCGCCCTGAGTCCTTCGGGAGTAGGGCGGTATAGAAATTTAATAAAATAAATTAAAATATATGAATAAAATAAATACCATGTTCCTTCCAGGGGAAGGGGGGTGGGATTGCTTTCCCAGATGGAGGGACCCTGAACAACAGAACGGCAGTGATTCTTCTACACTTTGGGGTGGAGAAGTTGGAAATCTAAGGGATCTGAATCATAGAAACGTATTTATCATTCTACCTAATTTGCAAACCACTGATGAACCTGCCGTGGTGGCACAGTGGTTACAGTGCAGTACTGCAGGCTACTTCTGCTGACTGCCAGCTGCCTGCAATTTGGCAGTTCAAATCTCACCAGCTCAAGGTTGACTCAGCCTCCCATCCTTCCAAGGTCGGTCAAATGAGGACCCAAATTATTGGGGGCAAGAGGCTGACTCTGTAAACCACTGAGAGAGGGCTGCAAAGCACTAGGAAGCAGTATATATGTCTAAGTGCTATTGCTATTGCTAAACAGGTTTCAGGGAAGCGAGATATAGTACTGTGCAAAAGTTTTTGGCAGCTGTGGAAAAATGTTGTAAATTAAGAATGCTTTCAGAAATGTAAGTGTTAATAGCTTATTCTTATCAATTAAGAAAATGAAAAATAAATGAACAGAAGAGAAATCCAAATCAAATCAATTTTTTGGGGTGACCACCCTTTGCCTTCAAAACAGCATAAATTCTTGCATATTTTGTGGCCTGTCGGCCATTGGCCCCTCCAGCAGCCGAATCAGAGGAGGAGGAGGACGAGGAGGAGGAGGAGGAGGAAGAGGAGGAGGCGAGGGAGTGAGGGTCAGCATCAAGGCAAGAGAGAGCTCCGAGGGGGGGAGGAGGGAAGAGAGAGGGCAGAGAGAGAGAGAGAGAGAGAGAGAGAGAGAGAGAGAGAGAGAGAGAGAGAGGAGGAGCCTGGGCCGTCCGTCAACCCTCAGATGGAGAGTCAACAGCCCCCAGGTCTGGAGGTGGCTGATGAGGAGGAGGAGGAACAGCTGGGTCCAGTGCCTGATGTGCAGATGGGCAAAAGGCAGAGGAGAGGAGAGCAGTGGAAATCTATGGGACGGTCCTTGGGACGGAAGTGCCACTGCTGCTAGCGAAGCCCCACCCTATCTCTGGGGATAAAAGGCAGTGGGCAGAGATGAATAGGTATGGCAGACAACTATTCATCTCTCTGCCGGACAGACTTGTTAGCCTGCTGTGTGAGAGAGAGAGACACTTTTTGCCAGGGCTGCTGGCACTCCTAATAAAGGAATCATTTATTTAAGTACAGAGGATTTGTCGTGTTTGGGAGCAGGGAGAGAATAGCACACTTGCAGAAAGTCAGGGATCTGGTACGATTAGAGGTTGGTGTATGTCAGTTATGCCAAGTAAGGACGAAGGATCGTCAGTGTCATATGTAGGTTGAAACGTATATTTAATTTACAGCATTTTTGCACAACTGCCTAAACATTTCGCATATACCGTAAGCATTTGAGCAAATGAAAAAGTAAAGTTGTCAGGTTTTCCTTTTGTAACAAGGCAGCTGAGCAAAGGATTCTATTGTTGCTTGGAATGCAATTCCTGCAGCTTCTCACCCGGTAAAAACAAGCTTCCTCGTTACGGCCGCCTGCTTGATGAACCTTTAGGCAGAAATTGGGCTCCTGGGGATAGGATTCTTGGGTCATGCATTAGCCTGGGGCTGATTCCATTTGACATATTGGAGGTGAATTGGTTCTCTCTCTTTCTCTAGGTCCAGCTCCAGCGAAAGATGCAGCAGGTAAGTATGCATCCAAAAATCCATGCTGTAGGTCAGGTTTCGGGAGGTGGGGGGAAACCTCTTCTTAATTTAATTTAATTTAATTTATCGCATTTAAGGGCGGCTTCCAGCAAAAAGTTTCTGCTTAAAGAAACATAGAAAAGTGTCGTCAGAAAAAGACCTGGTGGTCTGTTGAGTCTGTTCTTTGACTTTGCTTGTTTTTTTTGTGTTCCTTTTAATTAATTCATTATTATTTTGTAATTGTTTTCATTTTTAAAAACTTTTCACTTTGTTGGATGGTGGGCCTGAGTTTATCTCAAGCACGTTTAAGCTCAATGATTTATCTGCAGAAGGCAACTAATAGTGCTTAAGCCTCCTTCTCTTCTCAAATCCCATTCCCTACCGGCACTGATGACGTTACCTAGTTGGGTGATGAAATCTCCACAAGAAAACTATTGAGCTCAGAGAGCATCAAGGACCCCACAGTTCAACCCTGAGCTACAAATATTCTCATCAGAACTGATGATGTTACCTAGCTGGGTAATGAGACATCTGCAAGAAAATAACTAAATTCAGGGAGTACCAAGGATCCCACAGTCCTCCTCCTCCTCCTCCTCCCCCCCCTCCTCCTCTCCTCCTCCTCCTCCTCCTCCTCCTCCTCCTCCTCCTCTCCTCCTCCTCCTCGACTGGAATGGAATTCCTGCAGCATCTCAGCCAGTAAATCAAAGCTTCCTCATTAAGGCCGCCTGCTTGATGAACCTTTAGGCAGAAATTGGGCTCCTGGGGATAGGATTCTTGGGTCATGCATTAGCCTGGGGCTGATTCCATTTGACATATTGGAGGTGAATTGATTTTCTGTCTTTCTCTAGGTCCAACTCCAGTGAAAGATGCAGCAGGTAAGTATGCATCCAAAAATCCATGCTATAGGTCAGGTTTTTTAAAATTTTATTTTATTTTATTTTATTATTTTATTTTATTTTATTTCATTTCATTTCATTTCATTATTTCATTTCATTTCATTTCATTATTTCATTTCATTTCATTTCATTATTTCATTTCATCATTTCATTTCATTTCATTTCATTTTATTTTATTTTATTATTTTATTTTATTTTATTTTATTTTATTTTATTATTTTATTTTATTTTATTTTATTTATTTTATTTTATTTTATTTTATTTATTATTTTATTTATTTTATTTTATTTTATTTTATTATTTTATTATTTTATTTTTTTTATTTTATTTATTTTATTTTATTTTATTTTATTTTATTATTTTATTTTTTTATTTTATTTATTTTATTTTATTTTATTTTATTTTATTTTATTTTATTTTATTATTTTATTTTTTTTATTTTATTTTATTTTATTTTATTTATTATTTTATTTATTTTATTTTATTTTATTATTTTATATTACTGCCTATTCACACATGGTGATTCAAGGCGGCTTACAAGAATATAAAAACATCATATAAAAAACAATAAATAAATTTCCAATATGTCACATAGGATCAACATCATGGAGCACGAGGTATTTTCCTATCTCCCTTTTGTATGTTTCTTGAAGAACAGGTTGCCCTGCCCTCAACCTTTTCTTTTTTTAAGATGGCGACAGCAGCTGTGTGTGTTTGTAGATGGTGTCCGAAGTGCTGTGCAGAGAGGATTTTTGGAAAGTGTGGAATGCAGAGATTGTTATGTGGAAGTGGAGGAGTGTTCAGAGCAAGGCAAGAGGGAGACAGGCATGATAAGCTTCCTGAGAGGCTGGAGATTAGCTGGAGAAACGGAGAGGTGGAGAAGGAGAAAGGCCGAGAGCTTGAAGAGTGGAGAGGTCGGAAAGGGGCAGTTGGAAGGTGAGACGGAGCAGAGGAGGCAGGCGATGTACGACTGTGGGGCTTCCCTGGACTCCCCCTGGGCTTTGTGAAATGTCACTGGGGCGGGGTGGAGGCCGACTGAGATGCTGGTGTTCTGTCCCCGTCTCACACACGCACACAAACAGACAGCCGGGGGTTAAATAAACTGGCAGACAACCAATTCTTCTGATAAGAAGCTTGGCAGCAACCCAGTAGCTGCTTGCCAAGAACTTTACTCAATAAACAAAATACACACAGTCAAGAATTGTCCATTTCGTAAAATAAATCCAAGGCCGATAATGTTGTTTCCAAAGATGCAATGTGACTCGATAGTAGTTAGTTTTGTCTGTCACAGAGTCTGAATGGCCACCTCACCCCTTTTATACCCTGAGGGGTGTGGTCCAGTGACTCAGCTTAATCTCGGGCACGCCTTTTCTTCTGTTGCACGTGCTTATCTCTGCGATGCTGCCGAGGATCCAGCCAAGACTCATTTCCCTCATCACTGTCCACCTGTGGCTGTGTGGACATGCTTGGCCCCGGCCCTATCTCTTGCCCTTCGGCGGACACCGAAGGCATTGCCAGAGCGGAGGGTCCTGGAGAGGGAGGCCTTGCCAACTCCTCTCCTTCACTCTCGGAGTCCTCTCCTGCCGATGACACAGGCTCAGGTAACGGAGCCACAACAGCTGGTGGGGTTGTTGTTTTGTGTGTTTGCCTGAGGGATAAACAAAATAGTCTTTCCTTCTTATGCTTCTAGGGAAATCAACTTTTGATACCAAAACAGCTGTTATTCTCTGGTCTTCCACAGTCATGTTCGCTTCTTCTGCCATCTTGTGCACTCTGTGTAAGTTCAACGCTGTGGCACGAAAAAAAAAAATCCTTCATAGCAGTGCTTCCTAACCAACTGCCGCACATGATGCATCACCACACAGTGTTCTAGATCATGAATACAAGGAAAAATGAAATAGGGGATGAGTTTAGCTGGTGCAATATTTCATGTCTCCATGGGTTGAGTAGAATGTGAGGCAAAGAAATTAGAGATTAGGAAAGCAGAGAAGTAGAAAAGGTGCACAAAAAGACACGAGGAATGGGAAATATTTGGGGGAAATCTCAGAATCCTCAGTTTAAATTAAATGTTTAAATGTTCATCTCCTCCCTTTTCTAAATATATAGAAGTTGTGTGAGAAAGTTGTGCACTTTCAGGGATAAAGAAAAAAAATTGAAACTTGATCTCAGGGCCTCACCATAATAATTGGAGATGTGAAATGTTTTCTTCAGACAATATATCCTGATTTGCTTCTCCAATATCAGTGAGAACATTCTCATCCACATATAATAGTTTACACTATACATTATACGGCTGCCAAATTATATGGGCAGGAAAATAGGCATACAAAAATTAATTTAAACATATAAACTGAAGTTGCAATATGTTACAACATTAGTGCTTTTTGCTGCATATAGCAAGCAGAATATAAGAGTAGCCTGAACAATCAATGACAAATGGGGGAATATGTCTTGGAATATGTTCTCCATCATCCCCATTGCTTCTTGTTCTACCCTCAGGTGCTTTGAAGAATTATTATTATTATTATTTTTTAATTTGATTTATATGCCGCCCTTCTCCGGAGACTCAGGGCGGCTTACAATGTGCTCAGCAATAGCCTTCATCCTTTTGTATATTTATACAAAGTCAGCTTATTGCCCCCACAACTGGGTCCTCAATTTACCTACCTTAGAAAGGATGGAAGACTGAGTCAACCTTGAGCCTTGGCGAGATTCGAACCTGCAGTAATTGCAGGCAGCTGGTCTTAATAACCAGCTTAATAACAGGGTGCCTTAGACCACTGTACTACCAAGGCTCTATATAATTATTAGTATAATTATTAATTATATAGAATTATATAGAATTAATAATTATAATTCTATATATAGAATTATATAGAATTTTGTTTCTTTCTTTCTTCTTTTACTTATATAGATCTATGAATTTCCCACCCTTTAGCCTCAAAAAAAGTGTACATTCTAACAGTTAGGAACCTTGGTGATCTCTGTGAGCTTCTCAACAAAATTTTAATGATGAGAAAAGTAAGGTTCTACATTTAGGCAAATGCATACAGTAGATATAGAATAGGTGGTACCTGGCTCAACAGCAGTAACTGCGAAAGGGATCTTGGAGTCCTAGTGGACAATCACTTAAAGATGAGCCAGCCATGTGCGGCAGCTGCCAAAATAGCCAATGTAGAGACATAAAAGTCTTCATTTCTGACCTTGGATTTCTGCTTCTGGATGAAGTGGTCAGGCACTGGACTTTTGTACATGTCCTGTCTTCCACTTGATGTCTATTGAGATTCTCAACCATCCAGGTCAAGGTTGTCCTACGGGTGCTTTTTCAAGAGGCAACTGGACTTTCTGGTTTTTCTTTGAAGAGGTTTCGCTTCTTCTCATCCAAGAAGCTTCTTCAGCTCATTCTTCAGCTGTATCCCGCTTGTTCCAGACAAGTTTGAGAGCCAGATGCCCAGTTGGAGACTTGCAGGCTTTGAGGTGGGGTGGGTTGTTGGGAGACGCAACTTCCTCAACTGTCTCCTCTCTCTCCCTTTTCTGCATTAGATTACGTTTACTTAAATAAAATCACTCAGACAATTCAGTCTATGGAGACGATTCGATCGTTTCTGACTATTGGAAATTATACGAATGAAGAAATGAATGGTAAGTGGCGAGTTGCGGCTATCCTCTTTGGAGAGGGCTTTTTTGTTTTGTTTTCCAGAACTTTATTATTATTATTTAGTTTTCAAGCAATATCAGTTGACTACATTAACATAAATCCAAAGAAGCCCATTTGATAGAATAACAGAATATCAGAGTTGGAAGGGACCTCGGAGGTCTTCTAGTCCAACGCTCTGCTCTAGCAGGAAACCTTATATCATTCCGAACAAATGGCTGTCCAATCTCTTCCTAAAAACCTCCAGTGAAGGAATACCCACAACTTCTGGAGAGAAGCCATTCCACTCATAAATTGTTCTTACTATCAGAAAATTCCTCCTTACTACTAGGAGTTCTTAGTTCTCCCTTTAATCCCTCCTGCGGCTAATGTTGAAGTAGAACTTAAATGCAAGTGAGGTTACCCTCTAGATATAGTTTGTAATTATATATAATTCTACAGAAGAATTATTGAGTCTGTCATCTGCACCTCTATAACTGTCTGGTTTAGCTCTGCAACCAAATAAGACCGATGTCAGCACTTCAACCTGCATTTACTCTAGTGCTGACATAAGAAGGAGAAGGGAGGCGTCTGGAAAGGGACGTTTGACTTTTCACCTACTTATTTTCCCTGGAGATAATATCCCCTAGGAGATGGGATGGGAGGGGGGAAATTCCTTTGAGCTGGAGCAGTAGATTAGGGGTAGAATGACTTGGAAGATGGCCAATGAGTGCAGGGGAGTGGGGAATGGAAAGGGAGGGTTTGGGGTCTGTAAGTCAGTGTTGGCTTCGATGGAGTCGGATTTAGAATGTCATGCTTAATAAATAGGAGTTTTTCTTCAAAGGCTTTGTTTGAAATGCAATTTATTTGAGACGACCTCGAAACCTGACAACAAACACAGACTTCAACAGATAATTAGAACTGCAGAAAAAACAATGGCTACCAACCTGCCTTCCATGGAGGACCTGTATACTGCACAAGTCAAAAAGAGGGCGGTGACCTCTCGCGTCCTGGACATAAACTGTTTCAACTCCTACCCTCAAAATGACGCTATAGAGCACTGCACACCAGAACAACTAGACACAAGAACCGTTTTTTCCCCAAACGCCATCACTCTGCTAAACATATAATTCCCACAACACTGTCAAACGATTTACTAAGACTGTATTACTATTATTTTTCTCATCCTTCCTAGTACCTATCTCTTCCCACTTATGGCTATAACCATGTTCTTGTATCTTTACAATTTATATTGTTTTATTGTTTCCTAGTATGATTTGATTGCTTCTTAGTGTCTTATGACTATCACTAAGTGTTGTATCTTATGATTCTTGATGAATGTATTTTTTTATGTACACTGAGAGCTTATGCACCAAAGACAAATTCCTTGTGTCCAGTCAACTTGGCCAATAAATAATTCTCTTCTCTTCTCTTCTCTTCTCTTCTCTTCTCTTCTCTTCTCTTCTCTTCTCTTCTCTTCTCTTCTTAAAAATGACAGATGAATAAAATATGAAAAGAAAGATAAAATCTCAGCTGAAAAGAAAAAATACTATCTTAACTGAGAAAAAAATGAAATATCAGCTTGTAGTTAGTGTAAAAGATTCTGGAAAAATAGTTGTTTGTAATAATACAGAAGATGTTTTTTCTTTTAAAAATGTTGTAGTCTTTACAATTTGTAATCCAAACTATAAGTATAGTTTAATTAGCATAAATATAGTATAAATATAAATGGATGGATGGGGGTAGAAAACCAAAAGTTGATAGAGATGCCTCCTGACCTGAATTTCCCCCCCAACTGTTTAGATACAGCTGTATTGGGTGTAGCTTTTGCATTGGTAAAACAGCTGGAATCCACTCTCAAGGAAATGGAAGAGATAGAAGAAAACATGGGTAAGTTACAGAATAACTGGAGTCAAGGGGGAAGCTAGGAAAAGGCTTGATTTGATTTTCATCCCTTCACTTGTCTGCTGTTACCTATTCAGGCTTGAGTAAATTGCTATTCTCATCTAGCTTCCTCTCTCCCCTTCTCCTTTTCCCTCTCCCCTCCCCCTCTGGTTATAAGTCGAGGTCTACCTGTATTTCTTCCTTCCGTTATTTTAACCTGAATGCTTTTTACCACATTGCCAAGTTTATTCCTTTAGATTTATGTCAATACAAAAAATGAAAAAAAAAAAAAAACACACACACACAAAAAACCTGCATCTGATAAATCCCTTTTATTTATTTATTTTTTTTTCCTTTCTGGGGTCACCCTTGGCATGGCTGAAAGAAATGATAAAGGAGAAGATAAAATCAGGGTGGAAAGGTTTTCAAGGTCATCTCTATTATATTTCTGAATCAACCATGATATATCCTGAAGCTATTCTTGAATGTGAGGACCTGGACTCCGTTTTGGCTCCAATATTTGACCTCGAGACAGAAGTAAGTAGAAGGATTCCCGGTCTTTTCCAGCATAATTAACATTTTGAGAATATGTCATGAGAGAATTGAATTGAATTGAATTGAATAACAGAATTGGAAGGGACCGTGGAGGCTTCCTATACTATTTCAGACAAATGGCTGTCCAATCTCTTCTTAAAAGCCTCCAGTGATGGAGCAGTGTTTCTCAACCTTGGAAGCTTGAAGATGGGTGGACTTCAACTCCCAGAATCCCCCAGCCAGCGCTGCTGGCTGGGGGATTCTGGGAGTTGAAGTCCACCCATCTTCAAGCTACCAAGGTTGAGAAACACTGTATCTGGAGGGAAGATGTTCCACTGATTAATTGTTCTCACTGTCAGGAAATTCCTCCTTAGTTCCAGGTTGCTTCTCTCCTCAATTAGTTTCCACCCTTTCCTTCTTGTCCTGTCCTCAGGGGCTTTGGAGAATAGCTTGACTCCCTCTTCTTTGTTGGAGCCCCTGAGATATTGGAAGACTGCTGTCATGTCATCCCTTCTTCTCATTGAACTAGACATACCCAATTCCTGCAACCGTACTTTAACTTCAACCGCAACATTAGCTTCCCCTAATCCTCTTTGTCGTTCTTCTCTGCACTCTTTCCAGAATCTCATCATCTTTTTTACATGGTGGCAACCAAGACTGGATGCAATATTCCAAGTGTAGTCTTACCAAGGCATTATAAAGTGGTATTAGCGCTTCATGTGATCTTGATTCCGTCCCTCTGGTAATGCAGCCGAGGATTCTGCTGGCTTTTTTGGCAGCTGCCATGCACTGGTGGCTCATATTTAAATAATTGTCCACCAGGACTCCAAGATCCCTCTCACAGTTACTACTATTGAGCGAGGTACCATTCTATACTGTATCTGTGCATTTTGTTTTTCTTGCCTAAATGTAGAACCTGACTTTTTTCCACATTGAATTTCATTTTGTTAGATAGCTCCCAATGTTCAAGTCTGTCAAGATCCTTCTGTAGCTTCAGCCTATCTTCCGGAGTGTTGGATATTCCTGCCAGCTTGGTGTCATCTGCAAATTTGATGAGTTCCCCATCTATCCCCTCGTCCAAATCATTAATAAAGATGTTGAAGAGTACTGGGCCTAAAACAGAGCCTTGGGATACCCCACTGCATACTTCCCTCCGTGTAGATGCAGTTCCATTGAGGACTATGCATTGAATGTGGTTGGTTCCGCCAGTTACGAATCCATCTGATATCATGTGATGATGGTGATCAGTCAATCAGAATAGAGCTGGAAGGGACTGTGGAGGTCTTCTAGCACACTCAAGGGGAGACCCTATACCATTTCAGACAAGTGGCTGTCCAGACAGTTATAGAGGTGCAGATAACAGACTCGATAATTCCTCTGTAGAACTGGATCAGCAGCTCCTTGGGCAGTTTGAGCTTTCTGAGTTGGCGCAGAAAGAACGTTCTTTGTTGTGCTTTTTTGATGACGTTTTTGATGTTGGGTGTCCATTTTAGATCTTGCGATATGGTAGAACCTAGAAATTTGAAGGTCTCTACTGTTGACACTGTGTTGTCTAGTATTTTGAGAAGTGGAAGTATGGAAGGGTTTCTCCTAAAGTCTACCACCATTTCTACGGTTTTGAGTGTGCTCAGTTCCAGATTGTTCCGGTCGCACCACGAGGCTAGTTGTTCAACCTCCCGTCTGTATGCGGATTCATCGTTGTCTCGAATGAAACCGATCACTGTTGTGTCATCTGCGGACTTCAGTAGTTTAACAGATGGATCATTAGAGATGCAGTCATTGGTATACAGAGAGAAGAGAAGTGAAGAGAGCACACAGTCGTGTGGGGCCCCTGTGCTAATTTTACAGGTATCTGATGCGATTCTGCTTAGCTTCACCTGCTGCTTCCTGTTTGCTAGGAAGCTTATGATCCACTTGCAAATGTGTTCAGGTACCTGTAGCTGGTTTAGCTTAGTTAGAAGAGTGTCTGGAATGATGTTATTGAATGCTGAACTAAAGTCTACAAAGAGGACCCTTGCGTAGGTCTTTAGAGATTCAAGATGTTGTAGGATGTAGTGCAGAGCCATATTAACTTTTAAGAGCCATATTAACTACTTAAGACATAAATGTCTTAAGTAGGCAACTAAGTAGTTTTGTCTTTTTTGCAGCACTTTGCAGAATTTATGACTAAATTCTCAAGAACTGGTGTGTGGATTGGACTTCAGAAGAAGAAAGAGTGGACATGGGTTCATGACAACTCAACTTTGAAAACAGGGTAAGTCTGTTCTTGGAAAAAGACACTTTGCATACTATCTGCATAATATCACTCAAAGCCAAGATTACCAAACAAAGGCTATCACACTTCGGCCACGTCGTGTGAGCGGACTGGCTCGGAAAGTCAATCATGCTGGGAGCGATCAGTGGAAAAAGAAGGGACTGGCTTAGTACCCATTGGCTGGACACTATAAAGCAAGGTTCCTCAAACTTGGCAACTTTTAAGACTTGTGGACTTCAATTCCCAGAATTCTTCAGTCAGCCATGCTGGGAAATTCTGGGAATTGAAGTCCATAAGACTTGAAGTTACCAGGTTTGGAGACCCTTGGTATAAAGCAGGGGTGTCAAACTCGATTTCATTGAGGGTGCATCAGGGTTGTGTTTGACCTCGGGGAGCCGGGATGGGCATGACCAGCTCGACGTCATTCATGTTGGGGACACCAGTGGTGGACCGAGCGCTCTGCCAGTGAAAATGGGCTCCCGAGCTCCTTTTTCAGCTGTCATGGCCTCCTGCAACCCTCTGCCAGTGAAAACCGAGCTCCGTTTTTGCTGGCAGAGGCACTGAAGGCCGGTCCTTCATTGTTTCCAGAGTGGCCTCGTGGGCCAGATGTAATCATCCCGCTGGCCGAATCCAGCTCGTGGGATTTGAGTTTGATATCCCTGCTATAAAGGATGACACCAGGATGACCATGGATCTGAAGCAGGGGTGACATGCTCCCGGTTTGGACCGGATTGCCGGATCCGGTAGCGATGGGGTGGGTGGTTCGGAGAACCGGTAGCAAAAATCCCTGCGCCCCCCCCTCCCCACCATGCCCAGCTGAGCCGCACGATCATCAGAGGCTTTTTATTTTTACTTTTCAAAGCATTTTTTTCTACAACCTCTTCCGATGAAAAAATGCTTTTAAAAGTAAAAAAAAAATAGCCTCTGATGATTGCGCGGCTCAGCTGGGATGGTCAGAGGCTTTTCAAAGCATTTTTTTTCTGCAACCTCTTTGAAGAGGTGGTAAAAAAAATGCTTTGAAAAGTCTCTGACGATCCTAGCTGAGTTCCCTGATCGGCAGAGCGGCTTTTCAAAGCATTAGAAAAAATGCTTTGAAAAGTTTTTTTTTTTTAAAAAAGTTGGCCACGCCCACCCAGTCACATTACCCACCCCCACCAAACCACGCCCACAGAACCGGTAGTAACAAATTTTACATTTCACCCCTGATCTGAAGAGGTGGCGTGAGACAGAGAGACATGCTGATCCATACAGTGGCTGAGGGTTGGACATGACTGAATGGCCTGCGATGACAATAGTGCACATGTACAGTGTACCATGCCATATTTACCCATTGCAACTAAAGTCTGCTCAAGTAGACCTGGTAGCGCAGCAGACTAAAGCACTGTTATTAACATCAGCTGCCTGCAATTACTGCAAGTTCAAATCTCACCAGGCTCAAGGTTGACTCAGCCTTCCATCCTTTCTAAGGTAGGTGAAATGAGGACCCAGATTGTGGGGGCAATAAGCTGACTTTGTATAAATATACAAAAAGTATGAAGGCTATTGCTTAACGCACTGTAACGCGCCCTGAGTCTCCGGAGAAGGGCGGCATATAAATCAAATTTAAAAAAAAAAAAAAAAGTAAGGTCCGTTCCATCAAGGGTTTTCTGTAACTAGCGCCTCCAATGTCAACATTCTATTGATATGAAATAATTTGATAACAGTTTCCTTACAGCTTTTCCAGAGTGAGGCGACTGCCTCTTGGCAGCCTGGCCTGATCAGTTGTGTGTTTTTCTTTATTTTCTGTAGTTTCTGGAAAGGAGGAGCACCAAGTTCCAAGGAAATGTGTGTTGAAATTGAAAAAGATTGTACCGACAAAGGAAAGTGCTGGAATAGCATTTCTTGTGACCAAACCAAACATGCCCTTTGTAGACTGGATGCAAATCCACAATGGATATCTTAAGATACGGTTGTCCCAATCTCTACGCAAAAGCACCAACCCATGAAACTTTCATATTTTTTTGCAAAACCAAGAGCTAAGCCATTTAGGTTGCCACCTTGCAGATAAGAGTGCCATCCTGCTGCTTTTCCAACTGGCTTCTTCCATGCCGCAAAAAAGATTTCTGTGTGAATTGGTGAAGTGCAACAGAGGAGGCCTCACGAGCACAAAGGCTTCAGTCAAAACACATGTTCTGTTGCCAGAGATTGGTGCCAGAGATGGAATCAGATGATTGATTAACATTGGCTTCCTCACATTCTCCTTCTCCAAAGACCACCCTTTCCTTCTGATCCAACTTCTTAGCATTAAAAGATGTCAAAATGCATAACATTTTATTTCCATTGAAGATGGCATACGAGGTTCTAAAATCTTCCCAGATTGCCTGGATTCCTGGTCCAGAAGACCCCTCAAGCATCTGAGGAAACAGCTAGGCAATCTTTGGGGAGAAGCTGAGATCTTTGCCTACCTATGTGACATATGCTTCCAAACTTCCCAAAAGCAAGTACTTGGGCAGAAACAGACAGATCCTATTCCCACCCCTGACCCGCACAATCCCCAATCCCCACCCATCTTTTTCAGCTATGTCTCAGAAGCAATATTTTGTTGGGTATCCAAGGCAGATTAGGCACATGCTGAGAAATGATCAATTTGAGGAGCCCCCCCTCCCCCCTCCCCCATTTGTTGGTTGAGATTTGAAGTTGCTACTTGTTAGACCAATCTGACACATAGTCGAGGTCTTTTTGAAGGGTAGTTGCATTGTCGGTGGTGTTGAATAATTTAACATCATCAGCAAAGAGAACACAGTTGCTTTTAATATGATCACAAAGGTCATTTATGTAAAGTATGAAGAGTGTTGGACCTAAGACACTGCCTTGGGGAACACCGCTATTAACATGTACTTTGATAGAGCACTTCCTATTTTGACCACTTGTTGTCTGTTTGACAGGAAGGCAGCTATCCATTTATGTAGGAGTTCAGAAATGCCATAGGATTTTAGTTTTAGAAGTAATTTGTTGTGTACCACTGAATCAAAAGCTTTACAGAAGTCTATGTAAACTGCGTCTATTGCTTTGCCCTGATCAAGATGTGTAGTCCATATATTTTTGCAAGGTAATAGATGTAGATTACAGGATAATTTTTTTCTGAAACCAAATTGTTTGTTAGAAAGTAGGTTGTTTGTCTCTAGGTGTAGATTGGTTAATGATTGATTCCATGACTTTGCAGGTGATGCAACATAAAGAGATTGGTCTGTAATTTTCAACTAGGCTAGGCTCTCCCTTTTTGAAGATAGGAATGACCCTGGCTTGTGTCCATTGTTAGGGCAAGGTACTGGTACGGAAAGATTTTTCAAAAATTATGCTTAGAGGTTCTGCAATTGCAGTGGAAAGCTTTTATAAGAAGTATGCACATAGTCCATCAGGTCCAATAGATAGAGATGGTCTTAGATTGCGTAATGCCTTTTCAACGTTGTCTTCTGTAAAATCAATATGTATAAGATCACCATAATCGTTGTAATTGTCTGTAGTATGGCTGGGAAATATTGGGTATGTGTTGTTGCCGTTTACAAAGACTGAGCCGAAGAATGTGTTAAAGAGATTGGCTTTAATGGTTTCGTCAATACAATCTTCATTGTTTGGTCCTTTTAGGGGTGGGATGGATCTCGAGTCTTTAAGTTTGTTGTTTACAAAATTATAGAAGGCACAGGTGGATTTTGTGCGTAGAAGGTTTTCTTCTTGCTTGATGTGATAATTGGTGCATTCAATCTTTATTTGAAGACCCTGTTGTTCCGCCAGGCAGGGCTATCAACATAATAATTTTAAATTGGGGTATTTAAAATTTTTGGGGTTTTAAATCGGCCAAATCTATTTAATTATTTTAATTTTTAATTATTGTTGTGTCCTGTGTTTTTAAATTGGCTGTACACCGCCCTGAGTCCTTCGGGAGAAGGGCGGTATAGAAATAAAATTATTATTATTATTATTATTATTATTATTATTATTATTATTATTATTTATTTATTGGCATAAGTTTTTGTAGCAGTTTTTGAAGTTAGCTACATAGTTTGTTTTGTTTTTTTGCCAAAGAGATTTTTTTCTGGATTGTAATTTCCTTATTGTTATTGGTAGTTTATGTCCCGTATTTTTTGTGCACTATCACAATCCCACCACATATGTTTATATGTTCCAACCTCTTTCTTGCACCTCCAATTTGTATATTTACCATCTATTTGATTTAATTTATGTGTTGTTAGGTACCACCTCCATATCTCTTTATATCCATTTTTCCTTAACTCTAACTGACATATTCTTATATACTCCTCTATTCAAAATATTTTTCCAATCATTATCATTTATTTCTCCTAAATCTGATTCCCAAATTAATTTTAAACCTTTTGCCTGCCCTTCTAATTCAATTAATATTCTATATATTTTCCCAAAATGTTTAAAAAAAAAAAACACCAAGAAAATCCAACTGCCTTTTAAAAAAACATTATTTTACTGGGAGAAGGTTTGTTTATTTGAATGTATATTTTGCCTTTTCTCCAGAACGTCAAAATCCCTTAAAATACTACTCTCTATTTGTAATTCCTCCTACACCCTTGTCCCAAGTCACCAAGAGCTTCTTTGGCAGAGGATGACCCTCCCGATCAGGTGGGACTCGGGAGGCAGAGAATAGATGGGGGCAGGGCCAGTCAGATGTGGTATTTACCGGTTCGCTGAACTACTCAAAATTTCTACTATTGGTTCTCCAGAACTAGTCAGAACCTGTTGAAACCCACCTCTAGCTTGAACCTTGTTGAGGGTAACAACTACCCTCAGCATAGTTTGCAACGGACTGGACAGCAAAGAGATACGTTGCTGGTTAAACACACAGATACTCACAGACTCTGAACGGTGAAAAAAAACGTTCTTTACTCTTAGTGAAAAAACAAACTTGGTTTCCCAAAACAATGATAACACGTCTTCGAATAATCACTCTCCAACACAAAACATAGTTTGCTTACAGTTCTCTTCAGTCACACACAGTCCCTCATCAGGAGATCAACCATCAAATAGCAGGAGCAGGAGATCCTGGGCTTCCTGTCTACTTTTATGGCTGCCTGATAATAGCACAGCCAATCATTCTTTCTTATATCATTTAAAGTCACAAACATAGTTTTTCTATATATTACCTACCCAACCATAGGATAAATATCCAACAGACCTGCTTCTGTCTCTTGCAATAAGTCCGTCAAGAAGAGAAAACGAGAGTTGAAAGACGGTTCTGCAAGAGCCATGATTCTAGCAACCGAGTTCATTGTTTATTTTTTCCCAACAGCCAGACTTTCCTTACAAACCCAGTTTCTCGGTTCATGACAGTTGGCATAGATCCAGTTGCGACTGCCCATTGAAGGATTGATCAAAGTGCAGCCACGATCCCCTTTTCTGGAGACTTTTGATGGCCTGGGATGGTGTGACCAATACCTATTGGGAGGAGAGGAGGAAGGTTCCTATTACCTAAAAGGAAAACTCCGGAAGAAGATGCTAAGTCTACTAGGCTTGAGTGTGCTACTCTTTGAGACCAGGAATCTGCTACTTGTGGATTAGAATCAGAATAGAGCTGGAAGGAACCCCCTGTGTTTCATACTAGGTTCACATACATGAACCCTACTAGGGAAATCATCAGTGCTAGAAGGAAGTGGGGTTGAGGAGGAGGAGGAGGAGGAGGAGGAGGAGGAGGAGGAGGAGGAGGAGGAGGAGGAGGAAGAGGACTAGGATTGTAGGGTCTTTAGTGCTCTCTGAGCTTGGTTGTTTTCTTGCACACATTTCACTACCTCACTAGGTAACATCATCATTGTTAGAAGCAAGTAGGAGAAATAGCAACCCCCCCTTTCTTTTTTAGCACTGATGATGTTAGCTAGTTGGGTCATAAAATGTCTGTAAGAAAACAACCAAGCTCAGAGACTACCAAGGATCCCACAGTTCAGCCTGTGTTAGGTCAACCTGTATGTCTAGTTTAGACATGAGGAGCAGGGGGTGGTAGGGGAGTTGTTAGAATTCAGTATTGCTGGCTAACTCTGCAGTATTCTATTTTGTAAGGGGCTGCCACAAAGAAGGCCTTGACCTATTCTCCAAAGCACCTGAACCAGGGGTGAAATCCAAATTTTTTTTTACTACTGGTTCTATGGGCATGGCGTGGCAGGTGTGGCATGGCTTGGTGGGCATGGCAAGGGAAGGATACTGCAAAATCCCCATTCCCACCCACTGCAGGGGAAGGATACTGCAAAATCCCCATTCCCACCCCACTGCAGGGGAAGGATACTGCAAAATCCCCATTCCCACCTCACTCTGGGGCCAGCCAGAGGTGGTATTTGCAGGTTCTCTGAACTACTCAAAATTTCCACTACCGGTTCTCCAGAACCTGTCAGAACCTGCTGGATTTCACCCCTGACCTGAACGCTGGTCAAAAACCAGTGGATGGAAACTAATTAAGGAGAGAAGCAGCCTAGAACTAAGGAGGAATTTCCTTGCGGAACAATTAATAAGTGGAACAGCTTGGCTCCAGAAGTTGTGGATGCTCCAACACTGGAAGTTTTTAAGAAGAAATTGGACAACCATTTGTCTGAAATGGTATAAGGTTTCCTGCTTGAGCAGAGGGTTGGACTAGAAGACCTCCAGTGTCCTTCCAACTCTGCTGTTCTTTTATTCTGTCGCCTGGTTTCTACCCCAGGTGCTCTTAACCATTGTCCCAAACTTCCTCTTTTGTCAAATTCCTTCCCACTCCTAAATTCACTGGGAAATGGGGGGGCAGAGGACCTGGTCAATCCCTCTTCCGACTGCAAAATGGAATAGCTGGGCTATTTGAGGGTGCTTCAACAGAATGATTCCACTGGTAAGAGATTATTTTAAGATATTTGAGCCCAACGTTTTTATTGCTAAGCAAGACATCTGCTAAGTGAATTTTGACCTCATTTTACGACCTTTCTTGCCACAGTTGTTAAGTAAATCACTGTTGTTGTTAGATTAGTAACATGGTTGTTACGTGAATCCGGCTTCCCCATTGACTCGGCTGGTCAGAACGTCCCAAAATGTGACCACATGACCTCGAGACACTGCAACCGTCAAATGTCTGCATTTTGATCATGTGACCACGGGAATGCTGCCATGGACATAAATGTGAAAAATGGTCCATGTCACTTTTTTCAGTGTCGTAACTTTGAACGGAGACTAAATAAATTGTTGTGTGTCGAGGAATATCTGTATTGCAAGAAAGGGTGCTAGCAGCCCAGTGTCGGAACATCCTTTCCTGGAGTTCAGCTTTATTTATTTTATTTATTTGTTTCCATTTCTATACCGCCCTTCTCCAAATAGGACTCAGGGCGGTGCACAGCCAAAGTAAAAACAGAGCATACAAAATTTAAAAAACAGTATTAAAATAATTAAACATTTTGGCCGTAAATTAAAACAACCCAATTTAAAATCAATTTAAAATTTAACTCAAGCCAGCCCAGCTAGTTGAAATAAATGGGTTTTCAGGGCCCGACGAAAAATCCGGAGGTCTGTTATTGTACGTATCTCTGGGGGGAGGTTGTTCCAGAGGGTGGGCGCCGTTACAGAGAAGGCTCTCCCCCTGGGGGTCGCCAGCCGACATTGTCTGGCGGACGGCACCCTGAGGAGGCCCACTCTGTGCGAGCGTACTGGCCGGTGGGAGGCTATTGGCGGCAGAAGGCGGTCTCGTAAGTACCCCGGCCCTAAGCCATGGAGCGCTTTAAAGGTGGTCACCAACACCTTGAAGCGCACCCGGAAGACCACTGGGAGCCAATGCAGCTCGCGCAGGAGAGGTGTCACATGGGAGCGCCTTGTCGCCCCCATAATTTAAAGACTCACTCAGTGATTAACTTGGATCCATCCGACCATTCCCAATTATCGCCCTTATTTGCAGTTGAAAGGCCAATCCAAGATGGCTCACTGAGCTGGGTGTTGAGATAATTCTGCAAAAATATGCCAAACACAACATTTTAAGGAAAGCTTTACAATTGAGCACATGTGAAAATTTGGATGATGCTAAACTCTACTTGGTTTGTTTTCTAATTTGTATGCTACATGCAGGTTTTATGATTCTATCATTAATGGGACTAGGCCAGATAATGGAGTGAATATTCAAACCCTAACAATTATGGGGAGGGGGGGAATGGACAATAAGAGCTCAGAAATTCAGAAAAGCAGAAATTATGCTTTTGGGGTTCACCTTGAAAGGACTCCTTCTCAAATTCCATTGAATGTGGAACAAAGATTGCACATATATTCAATGAAGCATGGGTAACTTAAAAAAGAAGTGCAATGCAAATAAAAATAATAGTAAAGAAAGAGCACATTAGAATAATAGTAATCCAGTCTGAGCATCTGATTGATGGTGCAATATATCATAAGAATAATAAGAATGAAACAGACAGGCATCTGCCACATAACAACCCAGCTTTAACAATTGTCCCTAAGAAAGAAAGAAAAAAGTCTGAATAGTGGACAAGGAGATAGCAGGATAAAAGAAAAAGAACTAGAGAAAATATACAAAACATAAAGACCTGCAAATAGAATTAGAACGATTGTGGTAAAAGAAACAGAAGATAATATCTATAATAATAGGTGACTCCAAAACAACTAGAGCTCTTGAGCACTACTGGCATTGACAAATTCACCATCAGTCAATTGCAAAAGGCAGCTTGACCCAGAACAATTTACATCCCGCGACGATACTTCTAACCCCATCAAACAACAACATCTGCCTATCCCAGGTCCTTTGGGAAGGACTCGAGAGGTGGATAAAAATGCCAAATCCACTCTGAACATCTGGCTGACTGTGCAACCAAGCATAATAATAGTAATAACAATAATTAACACCTGCTCTTCATCACTTAGGATGGAGGCCAAATGACTTTCTCTGGACACACAGAAGTTCTCGGCGTCGTACCAGGTCTTTTTTCCTTTTGAAATGTAGTACAGATTCATTCCAGAAAGATTCCAGCCATTTGCAGCCTTTGCAGTTTTTTGGAAGAGAGCATCTAAAAAGAAGAGGTGTAAAGAGATACGTTAAAAGTAGCAGGTATTCTTTTAGGAGGCAAGATGGATGCCAATTTCTACTCTGTCTTCTAGATGAATTTCCAGTAAAAGAGAGTATGTGAAGCTCAGGGTTGAAATGAGGGATCCTTGGTGTTTTCTGAAATTGGTTGTTTTCTTGTAGACTTGACCCAACTAGGTAACATCATCAGTGCTAGAGGGGGGTGGGGATTGTGGAGAGGAGAAAGAGGTGGGAAATGAGAGGAGGAGGAGGACGACGACTGTGGGGTTCTTAGTATTCTCCGAGTTTTGTTGCAGTTTTCTTGCAGGTATTTCATGACCAACTACGTATCATCATTGATGCTAGAAAGGAGCGGGGTTTGCAGAGAGGAAGGGAAGGAGGACTTTGGGATCTTTGGCAATCTCTGAACTTGGGTGTCAGTGCCCTGCTGATGTTTCTTAGTTTGGGTAATGAAACATCTGCAGGAAAATAACCAAGCTCGGAGAACTCCAAAGACTCCTCAGATGAATCTCCTATTTGGCCAATCCTCCTCCAAAGAGTCCCTCAAAATGGATACATTAGTCCTTATAATTTTCCTTATCCTTGTTCATGCTATCCTTTGGTTCAATTGGGACCCCTCAAAGAAGCTGTTCATACAGTATATTGATGGCTCTTTCGAATCACTCGGCTTGAAAGGGGAGAGAGAGAGATCACCCACCATACATACATGCCTATGGCGTCGTTCCCTTTTCATAAAAGAGCTCACTATGCAAAGCTCAGAGAAGAATAAGAAACACTAAGCACGGGACATCGGAGGCAGGAATAAGAATAGCGTGAAGCGTTTGTCTTGCTTTATAATGCTTTGCTAAAACCACACATCAGGGGTGGGTTCTAAATTTTTTTACTACCGGTTCTGTGGGCGTGGCTTATTTTGTGGGTGTGGCTTGATGGTCATGTGATCATTCTTTAGGATTTAGCAGAGATACTGGTCTACCAGGCTTTTTAACTGCTTGCAGAGCTGTACCGGTCTACCCATTTGTTTTTGCAGGCACCGGTCTATTCATTTGTTTTTGGAGGCACTGGTCTACTCATTTGTTTTTGGAGGCACCGGTCTATTCATTTGTTTTTGGAGGCACTGGTCTACTCATTTGTTTTTGGAGGCACCGGTCTATTCATTTGTTTTTGGAGGCACTGGTCTACTCATTTGTTTTTGGAGGCACCGGTCTACTCATTTGTTTTTGGAGGCACCAGTCTATTCATTTGTTTTTGGAGGCACCGGTCTATTCATTTGTTTTTGGAGGCACCGGTCTATTCATTTGTTTTTGGAGGCACCGGTCTACCCATTTGTTTTTGGAGGCACTGGTCTACTCATTTGTTTTTGGAGGCACCGGTCTACTCATTTGTTTTTGGAGGCACCGGTCTATTCATTTGTTTTTGGAGGCACTGGTCTACTCATTTGTTTTTGGAGGCACCGGTCTACTCATTTGTTTTTGGAGGCACTGGTCTACTCATTTGTTTTTGGAGGCACCGGTCTACTCATTTGTTTTTGGAGGCACTGGTCTACTCATTTGTTTTTGGAGGCACTGGTCTACTCATTTGTTTTTGGAGGCACTGGTCTACCCATTTGTTTTTGGAGGCACTGGTCTACTCATTTGTTTTCTTTTAACACTGATCAGCTGTAGGGCGGCCCTTTGAAGCCCCGCAGCAAGAGTTTAAACAGTTTTTTTCCTTCTAGCCGATCAGTTGCGACTCAGGAGGGAGCCATAGATTGGGAGTGGGGCCAAACGAAAGGTAAGAATAACGCGGGAGGGGTGGGGGGCAGAACCGGTTCGGTGACGTCATATCGTCACCGCTACTGGATTGGCGGAACCGGGAGGAACCGGGAGGAACCCACCACTGGCACACATGGAATACTGCGTCCACCACAACACAGAAAAGATGTTGAGACTCTGGAAAGAGTTCAGAGAAGAGCAACAAAGGTGATCAGAGGACTGGAGGCGAAAACTTTTTCCTTTCCACAAAAGGACCATGTGAGCCTATGAAATCGGCCCTTACAGATCGGAGGGCCTTTTCTCACCTAAACCACTCCCAACGCTGACATAATGTGTCAAGCGTGATGCTTCAAGATCTCAATACTTACAATAGCTTTTCCTGTGATCCTGGAGTTTCTTGTCAGCATGTTTGATATATGCAGGCAATTTTATAGCTTCCTCTGCTGTCTTCTTGGCTGAAAGCATTACCAGAGAGACTGAGATGTTTTCTTTGCACATATCCAATCAAGCGGCTTGTTCAGACAGTTACCGGTAAATCCTCTCTCACCAAATAGGGCACCCAAGTCATCTTAGGTAAGTGGTGAGAAATGATCAATTTGAGAAGCCCCCCCCCCAACCCATCCCATCTCTCTTAGGAATTTAAAAGTACAGCCGCGGTCAACAAGATAGCCCAGCACAAGCCACCAGAACCACCTGGGAATCGTTTCAAGCAGAAGCTTTTTTGTTGATCACCTCTGAGGTTACAAGAATCTCACCAGACTGACTACATCCCCTTGGGCACAATTAGATACGGCTTTGGTGATTCACCACATTACAAACAAGGGGTTGAGGCTTTGGAAAAAGTGGAGAGAAGAGCTACTAGGTTTTTATTTATTTATTTATTTATTTATTTATTAAATTTGTATACCGCCCTACTCCCGAAGGACTCAGGGCGGTGAACAGCCAAATAAAATACAGGTTGATTAAAGGCCTGGAGACTAAAATATACAAAGAACGGTAGCAGGAATTGAGTTTGGCCAGTCTAGAGAAAAGAAGGACTAAGGACATGTCAGCAGTATTCCAGTATCTGGGGGGCTGCCCCAAAGAAGAAGGTGTCAATTTATTCTCCAAAGCCCCTGAAGGCAGGACAAGAAGCAACGGGTGGAAACTAATCCAGGAGAGAAGCAACCTGGAACTAAGGAGAAACTTCCTGACAGTGAGAACAATTAACCAGTGGAACGACTTGCCACTAGAAGTTATGGATGCTCCAACACTGGAGGTTTTTGAGAAGAGACTGGACATCCACTTCTCTGAAATGGTATAGGGTCTCTTGCTTGAGCAGGAGGCTAGAAGATCTCCAAGATCCCTTTCAGCTCTATTCTAACTGTTTCTGGAGGAGGTCAGGTCTGTACCGCTCTCTGCAGTGCAAGCACTCCAAGCTTGGTCCCCTCTTAACACCTCCCTCTTGTCTAGTTGGATATTCACCCGCAAATTATGGGGGAAAAAAATCAAATGTGTCTCTTTCCTGGACTGGTTAACTTTTAGGCCCATGAAGAGGGGAAGGTGTCAGCGTCCCAGCACTGACATATATTAGCAGAGGAGAAGCTTGAACTTTTGCCTACTTAATCCCTTTGAAGATTCTGTCTCCTCGGAGACAGGGGAACATTCCTGTGATCTGACGGAGGAGGGATGAGGAAAGTGGCTTGGAAGATAGCCAATGAGACGCAGAGAATTGGGGGTTGGAAAGGGAGGGATTGGGGGGGCAAAGGTCAGTCCTGACCGCGCAAGAGCCAGGGTCGGATCACTATGCTCAATAAAGAGAAAATTTCCTTAAAGATCGGCAGTTTGGAAATTCCTTTATTTTGAGATAGCATCGAAACCTGACAGACGGTTGTGTGCCTGTTTGGAGAATAAGTCTATAAGGTTCGCCTGAGGAGGAAAATTATTTTTTCAATTGTGGTAAAGACATCAAAAAGATGGATGCCATCATGAAAAATATGAATAATAAACCTAACAAATCTGAAAAACAATATCCTGTAGCTCTGGTAGGGCAGTGTGTGAATTAAACCATAAATCAGTGGTTAGGGGACTGAAGAATAAAACGTATGAAGAACGATTGCAGGAATTGGGAATGTCTAGTTTAACAACAAGAAGGACTAGAGGGGAGATGGAACCAGTCTTCCAATATTTCAGGGGCTGCCACAAAAAAGAGGGTGGGGGGGTTCCAATCTATTCTCCAAAGCAGCTGAAGGCAGAACAAGAAGCAACAGATGGAAACTAATCAAGGAAAGAACTAACTTAGCACTAAGGAGAAATTTACTGACAGTTAATCAGTGGAACGTCTTGCCTCTAGAAGTTTTGGGTGCTCCATCACTGAAGGCTTTTAAGAAGAGACGGGGCAGCCATTTGTCTGGAATGGTAGAGGGTTTCCAGCTTGAGTAGGAGGTTGAACTAGAAGACCTCCAAGGTCCCTTCCATCTCTGCTATTCTGTTAGTTCAATCATGCTGCACTTGACCTGCCAACTGAGGCATCTGGTTTTCCTTTTTTTAGCTCTGCCCCCTTCCATACTTACGAGTATTTAGCTTGAGTCCGGGGTCTTTGAGAACTTCTTCTAACCTTTTGCCCAGATGTTCCAGTGGCTTCTCAATATGGGGTTTACTCTTATCCATGAATAGCTGTTTACCTAAAGTGATTGAGAAGGAATAAATTTATTTATTTTATTTTATTTTATTGAATTTATATCCCGCCCTTCTCCCCAAAGGGACTCAGGGCGGTGAACAGTCGAAAATTAAAATAACATACAATATAAAAGTTAAGATAACTAAAAATAAATTAAATTAATCGGCCTCCCAATTTAAAACCCCAAGCTATACAATTAAAAACTAACCCATAAAACCTATTCAGGCCAGGCCGGCTTGCTGAAATAAAAACGTCTTCAGGGCCTTACGGAAAGTTCAGAGATCCGGAATCAGCCGTATTCCGGGAGGTAGCTCGTTCCAGAGGGCGGGTGCTCCCACAGAGAAGGCTCTCCCCCTGGGGGCCGCCAGCCGACATTGCTTGACCGACGGCACCCTGAGGAGACCCTCTCTGTGAGAGCGTATTGGCCGGTGGGAGGTTATCGGTAGCAGAAGGCGGTCTCGTAAATACCCTGGCCCTAAGCCATGGGGCCAAAGGGTCCAGTTTAAATGCCAAAGGGTCCAGTTTATTTGATTTATTTAGCATATAGCAATGTTATATTCACCAGGAGACGATAAGGCTAATGCAGACTAGAAGTTTGGCTGCCTGTTTACTAGCTGTTTGATACATGCTTGCATACTTCCCAAGGTGTGCCACAGGAGGGCGAGCTAGCTCCGCACCAGAAAGAAAAATAAGCAGCTTCTCTTGCAGCAGCATTCAAGGTCCTTTCTCTCCACCAAAGCCTCCTCAGAAACCAGCATTGTAACGGAGAAGGTTCAGAGCCAGCAGAGATTGGACAACCATTTCTCTGAAATGATGTATGGTTTCCTGCCAGAGCAGGGAGTCAGACTAGAAGACCTCCAAGGTCCTTCCAACTCTCTTCCAACCTTCCAACTCCCTTTTGGGAGAAGGGCGGTATACAAATACAAATTAAATTAAATTAAATTAAATTAAATAAATACAAATTAAATTAAATTAAATAAATAAATCTTATTCTGTTAAGAAATTTAAAATTATGGAAGAAAAATTGAGCCTCGATAGCTCAACAGACAGAGCTCTGTAATTTAACACCAGCTGTCTGCAATTAAAGTAAGATCGAATCTCACCAAGGCTCAAGGTTGACTCAGCCTTCCATCCTTTCTAAGGTAGGTAAATTGAGGACCCAGTTTGTGGGGGCAATAAGCTGACTTTGTATAAAATATACAAAAGTATGAAGGCTATTGCTTAACGCATTGTAAGCCGCCCCTGGAGAAGGGCGGCATATAAATCAAATTAAAAAAAAAAAAAGATAAAAATCATTGGATAAAGGGTTACAAATAGAGACACATCGTGGCGCTTACCCAGGCATTGGAATATAGGAAATAAGAATGCAACGTATATCAACATCATATTAAGTGTTTTTCAGTTAAAAGCCCATCGCAGGACAGGATTTTACTTACATAGAAAGATCATAAGGGTCAAGGTGATGAAAGAGCTTAAAAAAAACAACCCAAGAAGGGGCCATTTGAATTTTCCCCAAAAGACATCCTTCACATTCTTTTGGCTTTTTGAGGTAGTTTTTGGAGTTTTTTTCTTTGCTGCCATGGCTCTGAAATGAAAGGAGAGAACCCTTGCTGGGTCTGGGCACCGTACCTGGATGAAGTGCAGCAGGTCCAAAGAGTGAGCTCAGAATGGTCAAGTCAACAGTTGCAATGGAACGATCCCAGGTCTGCTCTCTTTTTATTGATTGATTTTATTTATTTAGGAGATTTCTTTTGCTGCCTATTCGCACAGGGTGACTCGAGGCAGCTTGCAAGAATATAAAAACATCATATAAAAAACAATAAAACTAATAAAAAAAGAGAATCATATCAATTTAAAATTGGGGTATTTTAAATTTTTATTTATTTATTTATTTGTTTGTTTAAATTTCTATACCGCCCTTCTCCAATATAGGACTCAGGGCGGTGAACAGCCAAAGTAAAAACAAGACATACATACATACAAAATCTAAAAATTGATTAAAATAATTAAATATTTTGGCCGTAATTAAAACAATTCCAATTTAAAATCAGTTTAAAATTTGACTCAAGCCAAATGGGGTTTTAAATCGGCCAAATCTATTTAATTATTTTAATTTTTAATTATTGTTGTGTCCTGTGTTTTTAAATTGGCTGTACACCGCCCTGAGTCCTTCGGGAGAAGGGCGGTATAGAAATAAAATTATTATTATTATTAAAATTATTATTATTATAATAAAATGAAATAAGCCCCCACACTCTGCCTCGGCGACAGCACATCATACGAGCCATTTAATGGGCTCCATCCCGCTCTGCATTCCCCAGGCCCACTGGCAGAACCGGAAGGTCTTCAGCACCTTCCGGAAGAGTGTGAGAGCGGGGGCCATTCTAAGCTCTGGGGGAATGATGTTCCAGAGAGAGGGAGCCACCCAGTAGTGGGTTGCAAATGGTTGCATGGGCGCTTGTCCGGAACGGACGAACAGCATCAACTGGCTGGAGTTGAGAGCTGTTCGACTCGCCCTGAGGCACTTCCGCACTACCTTGGACGACCAGCATGTGTTGGACGGACGGCCAACATCACAACCAAAGCTCACGTGAATTGCGAAGGGGGCATTCGATCCAAGTCCCTGATGATCGAGGCAGAAAAGCTTCTGGCCTGGTCAGAGCGCCACACAGCATCACTGAAAATGGACCACATTTCCGGCCTGTCAAACCCTTCTGCGTCCGGGCAGGTTGGCAGATCCTCCCGCCGCTGCCGCTACCAGTTCACTCGATCCAGGGCGAACCGGTAGCAACCCACCACTGGAGCCACCATGGAGAAGGCCCTTCTCCTGGGTCCCACCAGGTGTATCTTCCTAGGGGATGGGACCGGCTCTGGTGGGTCAGGTAGATGTGATTGGGAAGAGACGGCCCCTCAGCTAACCTGATCCCAAGCCATGAAGGACTTTAAAGGTGACAAGCAGCACCTTGAATTGCACCCAGAAGCAAATCGGCAACCAATGCAGCTCCTGCAGGAGAGGTGATACATGTGCACACTGAGGTCTGCACAAAACCATGCGGGCCGCTGCATTTTGCACCAACTGGAGCTTCCGGATGCTCTTCAAGGGCAGCCCCATGTAGAGCACATTGCAATACTCAAGACGGGAAGTGACTAGGGCATGAGTAACTGTGAGTAGGGATTATTGGTCCAGGAAAGGGCGTAACTGGTACAGAACCCGCAGTTGCGTAAAGGCCCTCCTGGCCACGACCCCCACCTGCTCTTCAAACAGGAGTCGCGATTCCAGGAGAACCCCCAGATTACGCACAGGATCTGTTTTGGGTAGTGCCACCCCATCCAAGACCAAAGGTGGCAATTCTCCTTGGGCCAAAGATCCCCAAACCTGGAGACACTTGGTCTTTCCAGCATTTAATTTCAACCCGTTGCTCCCCATCCAGCCCCGAACAGCCTTCAGGCACTGTGAGACGGAGGACATGACACCACTTAACTCACCACAGACTTTTTAATTGTCCTGATGCACCTAAAAGAAGGGATGAAACTTTGATCCTCCCATTGCAGTGGCCATCGTGACCATTTGGTCTGCACCCCTAAGGGAGAGGAAGGAGGAGGAAGCTTGGAGATAACTGAACAACAGAGTTTGAAATGACCTCAGAGGTCTTCTAATCTAGTGCGACAAAAATAAAAAAATAACAACAACAACAAAAAAAGCTTCTTCCAACATGTTAAAATCAAGAAAAAAGTCAAGGAAATAATTGGTCCATTACTGGGAGAAAGTGGCAAGAAGGTGACAAGCAACAGGGAGAAAACAGAACTATTTAATTTGTTTTTTGCATCTGTCTTTACACAAAGGGAAAAAAACAGTCCAACCTATCAAAAACTGCACCAGGAACACAAGTTAAAATAGGGAAGAAAATGGTAAGTGAACACCTGTTTACCCTAGACGAGTTCAAATCACCAAGACTGGATGGATTACACCCCAGGGTTCTGAAAGAACTGACAGACGAGATCTCGGGACCCCTGAACTATATCTTTCCAAAATCCTGGAGCACAGGGGAACTGCCAGAGGACTGGAAAAGAGCTGATGTAGTTCCCATCTTCAAAAAAGGGGAAAAAAAATAGATCCAGGAAACTACAGACCTATATAGCCTGACCTCAATACCAGGGAAAATTCTGGAAAAGATAATCAAGCAACAAATCAGCGAACACCTAGAAGCAAACAAAGTAATAACCAAACGCCAACATGGGTTTGTCAAAAACAGATCATGCCAGACTAGTCTCATTGCATTCTTTGACAAAGTGACAAAATTAGTGGACCAGAGGAATGCTGTCGCTATAATTTACTTGGACTTCAGTAAGGCATTTAATAAAGTAGACCATAATCTACTACTAGATAAAGTAGAAAAATGTGGGTTAGACAGCATCACCACCAGATGGATTCGTAACTGGCTGACCAACTGCACTCAATGCGTAGTCCTCAATGGAATTGCATCTACATGGAGGGAAGTATGCAGTGGGGTATCCCAAGGCTCTGTTTTAGGCCCAGTACCCTTCAACATCTTTATCAATGACTTGGACAAGGGGATAGATCATCAGATTCGCAGATGACACCAAGCTGGCAGGAATAGTTGACACTCCAGAAGATAGGCTGAAGCTACAGAAGGATCTTGACAGACTTGAACATTGGGAGCTATCTAACAAAATGAAATTCAATGTGGAAAAAAGTCAGGTTCTACATTTAGGCAAGAAAAACAAAATGCACAGGTACGATATAGGTGGTACTTTGCTCAATAGTAGTAACTGTGAGAGGGATCTTGGAGTCCTAGTGGACAACCAGTTAAATAGGAGCCAGCCGTGTGCAGCAGCTGCCAAAAAAGCCAACACAGTTCTAGGCTGCATAAACAGAGGGATAGAATTAAGATCACGTGAAGTGTTAGTACCACTTTATAATGTCTTGGTAAAGCCACACTTGGAATATTGCATTCCCTTTTGGTTGCCACAATGTAAGAAAGATGCGGAGACTCTAGAAAGAGTGCAGAGAAGAGCAGGAAAGAGGATTAGGGGACTGGAGGCTAAAACATATGAAGAACAGTTGCAGGAACTGGGTATGTCTAGTTTAATGAAAAGAAGGACCAGGGGAGACATGAGAGCAGTCTTTCAGTATCTCAGGGGCTGCCCCAAAGAAGAGGGAGTCAAGCTATTCTCCAGAGCACCTGAGGGTAGGACAAGAAGCAATGTGTCAAAACTAATCAAGCAGAGAAGCAATTAAGAACTCAGGAATAATTTCCTGACAGTTAGAACAATTAACCAGTGGAACAACTTGCCTCCAGAAGCTGTAAATGCTCCAACACTGGAAGTTTTTAAGAAGACCTTGGATCACCATTTGTCTGAAATGGTGTAGGGTTTCCTGCCTAAGCAGGGGGTTGGACTAGAAGACCTCCAAGGTCCCTTCCAACTATTCTATTCTATTCTATTCTATTCTATTCTATTCTATTCTATTCTATTCTATTCTATTCTATTCTATTCTATTCTATTCTATTCCAATCCTCTTTTTTAGCAGGAGACCTTTTACCATTCTGGACAAACGGCTGTACAATCTCTTCTCAAAACACCCCCAGTGATGGAGCACCCACAACTTCTGGAGGGAAGCCATTCCACTGATTAAATGTTCTCACTGTCAGGAAGTTTCTCCTTAGTTCCAGGTTGCTTCTCTCCTTGATTAGTTTCCATCCTTTGCTTCTTGTTCTGCCTTCTGGTGCTTTGGAGAATAGCTCGACCCCCTCTTCTCTGTGGCAGCCCCTCAAACATTGGAACACTGGTATCATGTCACCCTAATACTTCTTTTTATTAAACTGGACATTTCCAATCCCTGCAACCATTCTTCGTATATGTTAGCCTCCAGCCCCCTAATCTTCTTTGTTGTTCTTTTCTGCACTCTTTCTAGAATCTGAACATCTTTTTTTATATTGTGGCAACCAGAACCAGATCTGATCTTACCAAGGCCTTATGAATCAGTGTAAAGAGCTCTATGGGTCCATCAGCATGTTCCTTTTCAGGATTCACGGTGCCTCTCTCTCAGGATGATAGTGAAATCTGGTCCTAGGCTTCTCCCCTAGCATGCACAGATCCCAATTAAGCAAACCCAGGACAGGAAGATAATTTTATTATGATTTAAAGATAGTCCTTGACTTACAACAGTTCGCTTAGTGACCAATTCAAGTTGCAAAGGCACTGAAAAAAGTGACTTATGACCATTGCAGCATCCCTGTAATCACATGATTTACATTTGGATGCGTGACAACTGACTCATATTTATGGCAGTTGCAATGTCCCCCTTTTGTGATCTTCTGACAAAGAAAGTCAACGGGGAAACCAGACTCACTTAACAACCGTGTTACTAAGTGAACAATTGCAGTGATTCACTTAAGAAATCTGGCAAGAAAAGTTGCACTACAAAAACAACGTAGCAGAGGTCTCCTTTCCCTTATTTCATCTGCCTTTTATCCATCTGGCAACTTTCGACCAGGGCTCTGCAAATATTGGTGGATCTTGAGCCACAGTGGCGCAGTGGTTAGAGTGCAGTACTGCAGGCTACTTCTGCTGCCTGCCGGCTGCCTGCAATTGGCAGTTCAAATCTCACCGGGCTCAAGATTGACTCAGCCTTCCCTCCTTCTGAGGTGGGTAAAATGATGACCCAAATTGTTGGGGACAATATGCTGACTCTTAGTAAAGCACCGTAAAGTGAAATATAAGTCTAAATGCTATTGCTCTCTATCTTACACGAACTTATTTAATAAGCTCCTCAGAGATCTTCTTCCCCTTCTGAGCTGCTCCCCCTTTATTCAGTGCCAAAGGAAGTGATCAGTGGGGCTTCTGTGATTCATTCTGTGGAGCAGTTTCCCACGCGAAGGGCATCCCTATTAGGGTTCAAAAAAGCCACGGTGATGGCTGCAACCACCTTCACCTTTTGAAACATATACAGGTAGTCCCCCACTTACAACAGTTCATTTAGTGACTGCCTGAAGTTACAACAACCATGAAAAAAAGTGACTTACGATCATTTTTCATGTATGATCGTTTGCAGCATCCCCATGGCCACGTGAACAAATATTGAATAGTGACATAAATAGTGAATCCTATTTATGATGGTTCAATCTTTTTGTGTCATGTCATCAGCTTCTGCAATTTTCCTGTTTTTAATTTACTTTTATACCTTGTATTGTTTTATCAATGTATAGAATACAAAGAAAAATAAAAATAGGAAATGAAGAGAAGGAAAAAAAAAGAGGGAAAAATATCAGGTAGAAGGGAAGAAAGAAAAAGGCGTTGACTTCCAACTTTTTTTTAGCACAGTACAAGATAGCAACATTACAACATCCACTGTTTATTTTTACACATTAGTATATAACCAGCCCTTTCTAAAACAATAAATTTATCTAATTGGCAAAAATCAAAGTCAAATGTTCATTTTTTTCCCCCATCATGAAATCCAGAAGTTGTATCAGCTTCTGTAACTTTCTAACAAGCATAATCAATGGGGAAGCCAGATTAATTTAACAACCATGTTCCTAACTTAACAACTGCGGTGATTCACTTAACTGTGTCAAGAAAGGTCGCAAAATAGGGCAAAATTCACTTAACAAATGTTTCACTTTGCAACCGAAAATTTGGGCTCAGTTGGGGGTAGTAAGACAAGGACTATCTGTATGTCTCCATCACTGTCAAAAAAGAGGCCTCCTGTCCAAATGATTGGGAAATTTCTCTTTCTCCTGGAGAAATTTGGAAAGTTCTCCATCCAGTTTCTCTCCCCTGAAAACTGAGAGATGATTTGAAACAGGAGCTGGCATCTGAGGGGCCTATCCTGCTGTTTTATTGGCTTATTGGTATCGGGCTCAGGAGTAGTAACTGTGAGGGATTGTCCATTGGAATCCTAATGGACAATCGCTTAAATATGAGCCAGCAGTGCATGGCAGCTGCCAAACCAACCAACACAGTCCTAGGCTGCATTAACAGAGGGATGGAATCAAGATCACGTGAATGGCTTAGGACCTGGTTATCTACGGGACCGCCTACTACCACCAATAGCCTCCCACCGGCCAGTACGCTCTCATAGAGAGGGACTCCTCCGGGTGCCGTCAGCCAAACAGTGTCGACTGGCGGCCCCTAGGGGGAGAGCCTTCTCTGTGGGGGCACCTACCGTCTGGAATGAGCTCCCCCCGGAGATACGGAGGATCCCGGATCTGCGCACCTTCCGCCACGCTGTGAAGACCTTTTTATTCCATCAGGCGGGCTTGGCCTAATCTCTTCCCTTTTTTAAATATGTAAATTTTAATCTGTTTTTAAATTATCGGGGTGTTTTAATCTGTCTGGGCCAAAATGATTTAATTTGATTTTATCTGGTTTTTAAATTTTTTTATATCTATGTATTTTATTGTTTGGCTGTTCACCGCCCTGAGTCCTTCAGGAGTAGGGCGGTATACAAATCAAATAAACTAAACTAAACTAAACTAAGTGTTAGTACCGCTCTATAAGGCCTTGGTATAGGATCTACTACTTGAGCAGCAGTTTCGACTAGAAGACCTCCAAGGTCCCTTCCAACTTTGTTATTCTATTATTATGCTAAACGCTGTTTCTGGTCAACCTTGTTGATCTTCTCAATCTGTGTCATAGAATTCTCACGTCTCCTCTTTTCTCTGCAGTCAACTCAGTTTCTCTGCCTCCCAGTTTATAAGCATCCTGTGACTCCTGCTGTTTACTGATTGGCTCACCGTGGTCCCTAACCAGACATCCACAATCCCCAGCACACTTACAGCTGAAAGGGGAAGTGGGATTGTGACATCGTGGATGGGCTAGAGCAAAGACAACAAACTTTGGCATCCATGACTGATGAAGGTGGGAAGGATTGTCATCCTCCCAGGTCATGAATCCAAGAAGGTGGGATATATATAAATATATATATATATAGTGTATGTATTGAGTGGTACAATTATGTATACAATTATTTTTTTTATGTATATAATATGAATGTAGAAATGTAAAACAGTAAAGATATAATCAAAATATATAGATCTTTATAGGGGGAAAGAGGGGGAGAAAAAAAGAGAAGAGAAGAAAAGGAGAAGGAGGGGAAAAAGAAGGAGTATTAGACTAAGAAAAAGGGGAGGAAGTATAAAATATCAGATGGAAAATCTCTATGAAACAATGCTTAAAAAGGATAAGCTATTTATATGTCGTATGTTGTGTAAATGTCATATTTGTGTTTTAATAAAATTTATAATTTTTTAAATAAAAAATAAAATAAAAAAGGGGAGGTTACAATCGTCTGGTCATTTCAACACTTTGCCGGCATCATTTCCATCACTTCCGAGTTTCTGAGATTGAAGGAGAGTTTCTTTGATTGTCTCCCTTACTTGTTTATGTTGTCTGTTCATGCCTTTACCACAAGACAATTAAAGTAATTAAAATAATTACTAATAAAATAATAATTAAATATTAAATAAAATTTATTTAATAAATTTTAAATAATTAAATTAAAATTAAATAATTAAATAAAATAATAATAATTAATAATTAAAATAATGCAACAATTGTTAGAGGAACTGCATCGCTTTAAGGAAACAAAATATGTAAATCACCAAGAGACTCTGTGGATTTAGTGTCATGTAAATTAAATCAATAAAATGTTACCACGGGCCAACCAAACTCAGAAGGACAGTGGAGAGCAAGGGAGTCTGGCCAGATATGGTCCACGAAGAGTCAGACACAATAAGAGCAGTAAAAGGAATCCAGGCCACCAAAGGACACAGTGGTGGATACCCTCAAAACTGACACCAGGCAGAGCATAGAACAATTTAAAGAAGTAAGACCTTGGCATGACTGAATGGGTTAGAACAGAACAGAACAGAACAGAACAGAATAGAATTTTTTATTGGCCAAGTGTGATTGGACACACAAGGAATTTGTCTTCGTGCATACGCTCTTGGTGTAAATAAAAGAAACATTCGTGAAGAATCATAAGGTACAACACTTAATGATAGTCATAGGGAAACAGTCAATATAAATTGTAAGGATACAAGCAACAAAATTACATACAGTCATAAGTGGGAGGAGATGGGTGGTGGGAACGATGAGAAGATTCATAGTAGTGCAGACTTAGTAAACAGTTTGACAGTGTTGAGGGAATTATTTGTTTAGCACAGTGATGGCGTTTGGGGAAAAACTGTCCTTGTGTCTAGTTGTTCTGGTGTGCAGTGCTCTATAGCGTCGTTTTGAGGGTAGGAGTTGAAACACTTTATGTCCAGGATGTGAGAGGTCTGTAAATATTTTCCCAGCCCTCTTTTTGACTCGTGCAGTATACAGGTCCTCAATGGGAGGCAGGTTGGTAGCCATGGTTTTTTCTGCAGTCCTAATGATCCTCTGAAGTCCGTGTCTGTCTTGTTGGGTTGCAGAGCCAAACCAGACAGTTATGGAGGTGCAGATGACAGACTCAATAATTCCTCTGTAGAACTGGATCAACATCTCCTGGGGCAGGTTGAGCTTTCTGAGTTGGCGCAGAAAGAACAGTCTTTGTTGTGCTTTTTCAATGACGTTTTTGATGTTGGGTGCCCATTTTAGGTCGTGAGATATGGTAGAACCTAGAAATTTGAAGGCTTCTACTGTTGATACTGTGTTGTCTAGTATTGTAAGAGGTGGTAGTATGGAAGGGTATCCTGTTCTAGTCCAGATACAGTCAGTAGTGATTGGAGAGGACAGATCCCACCCGGAGCAGCTGCTATGTGGGATACTGCAGAGTTTGGTCCTCTCTCCACTCATATTCAATATGTTCATGAAGCTGTTGGTTGAGATCATCCATTGTTGTGGTGTGAAGTATAATATCCAATTATATATCTCCGCCCTGGCAAATTAAGCAATGCTATGGACCTCTTATCTCGGCAGATGCACGATTCTATTCTCTTCCTGTTTTATATATAGTGTATATCTTTTTTTAAAAAAAAATCCAAATTTTGATGAAGAATCTAATGATGATCAAAACCATTAACCGCTTCAAACAACAGAATTTGCTTTTGTTAGAGGTCAAATCAGAGTCCGGGAACCTATCCAGAAGAAAAGAAGAAGTTGAAGCGGATGATACTTCTGCAGGTGCATCCTAGCAACATTAGACTGGTATGGTCAAAGTCAACATGTGGACAATTCTCAGAAGCTCATCATTTAAACCTCATTCATTCATGTTCCATAGGGCTGGTTCTTACATTACAGCCATCCCCCACCTCTGTCTTTTCTGAATTTCCACCTCTAGGGAAATTCATAGCGGCGCTTCTACCTGCTGCTGGATTCCCCACATCACAAAGGTTCCAAGAGCGATTGCCATCATAGCAGCTAGACAGGAAGATCATCAACTCAATGAAAGGCTGAGAGAAGTTCTGAGCTGAGTCGGGAAGATGCGTAATGAGGTGGGGTGAAGTGAGACTGGTTGAGCTACCAGCATCCTTGGGGCACTCTCCTTCACATGTGGCTGCTGATTATTGGTTGCCTAAGCCATTGTGATGTAATATGATACAATAAGTGAGCTCCACTTGGCCATTGCACTGGACAAGTGGTAGTCTGATTTCAATCTTCAGGTAGCAACAAGGATGTCCTCTGTGTCATCTCCTTCCTTTTTTCTTGAACCTGTAAGCACATCTAAAAATTACCGAATTGACTGGGCATCTGGGTGCATGCAGATGTCATGTAGGCTCACGGGAGAACTTGCAAAATGGTGGTGGTGGGGGAGATTGCAGACCAATTGTGGAAATGATTCAGATGTGGCTTACTAATGCTCACACCGTTTGAAAACCCTTCCGCTGATTTCTATGAAGGTTTCAGGGCTCAATTTCCTTGTCTAAGGATCCTAAACATTTTCTCCCATGTGGATGAAGGAGAAGGAAGACAGAGGTCCCAGCAGCCATTCTCTTTTTCACATGCTAGATAACGGGAGGGAAGTTACGGCTTTGCAGAAAAGGCTCTACGGTCAGTAATCAGCCAGAGTAAACTAGTCCAAGGCCAGTTAAGATAGTTTGAGGACCCAGCTGCATATGGGTTGGGTGGTCCATGCAGAGCTCTAGATTCTTCAGTTCTGGGTTTTTAATGACATAAAAGATAAAATTCCAGGGGAAGAAGTACATTGTATTTTTGAATATACTTGTTTTTTTTTTTAATTAACCTGTGTCATGTTCTAAAAACTCCAATACAGGATGAATGATCATTTGGACTAAGAAGATAAAATGGCACCCAAACCACCTCCCAAACCTCCACGTAGGTTGCTTATGCTCTTCTTATTTCCTACCACTTTCTACAAAGCGTTGCAGATGCTGCCTCCTTTTCCCTAACGTCTCCATCAAGGTTAAGTCCAGAGAATGTGTTCTCCCAAAATACTCAATTCCATAAAAAGATTATTTTAGGGGTCTAAGTGCAAGACCTTGGCAGTGCTTTGGATATTATCTTTTGGATGCTGAGGATGAGGATGGGCAGCTTTGCCTGGCATTGATTAAGGTTGATGTTCCATCTGCTGCCTTGTGCGCCATCCAGAGCTTCTGAGTCATACATACTACTGGATATTCCTGGATGCTTATTTCTGAAAAGCAACTTTACTTGCATTGCACATTAAACTTCTTTCTTCTTTCTCTTCTTCCTCCCATGCAAAGAAGTGAGACAAAAAGAGAAAAGGAAAGGCTTAGGAAGGGAGAGAGGGCATTTACAGATAGAGACGGAGGAGCTGCAATGAGAGCTGTTAGAGATGGGCCACAAGTAAACATAGGGGAGTCCAGTCAAAAGGAGACCTCTTTTAAGGAACACCTTCTTTTGACCTCCTGAAACCATCTAGAGCAACTCCTCCCTCCCTCCCTCTAACCTGACTTATGTTAAAAAAAGAATTCCAGATGTGAAGTCTTCCCATCGGTGGCAAAAGTAGAGTTCTCACCTCCCGGCATCTCACTGCATGGGCTTAGAAAGTTGCTCAACATTTCTGTCTCTGTTGAAGGTTGCAACACTTGGGCCATTTGGCAAAGGGAGGGGTCCTTTGCCTGGAATGCATGAGACCACCTTCCAGGAAAGGGCAGCGGTCAGGGGAAAAGGAAAGGTCAGCTTCACAATTGATTAAACGACCCATTTGTCTTCTTTCAGCACCAAAGAATGTTTTCGAGCGATTCAGTGACTACCTGGATTCAGATCGAGGCAAAAGAAGAACTACAATACTGGTTTTACTCTTCTTCGTTCTTGCTGTGGTAATGTACTGTATGTGTAAGTTGTCTTCTTACAAGAGATTGAGAAAGGTTTTGTTTGAAGGTCCTGTCGAATTTTCACTGATTTTTCTCCCCATTCCCAAAAGACTCTGTATTCTAGTGGTTTGAGTATAAACTGAGAGCAAACCCCACTTCTTACTAGCACTGATGATGTTATCTACTTAGGTCATGGAATGTCTTCAAGGAAACAACCAAGCTCAGAGAGCACCAAGGACCTCTCATGTCAACCCTGTGCTGCAAATGTTCTCCTTTATGGCTACCACCCATGGATTTCAACGAATTAGGCCAGGGAACCATTCAGTTTCTCTCATTCACACTCAGGAAAACTTTATTGGCTCTGCTTTGCCTGCTTAGGGAAAAATTAGTTTTGGTGATATTTTAGTAATTTAACTTCTTTGTAAATCAACATCCCAAATCCTCTGATACTTGTACCAACTAGAATGACAGAATTTCTCCTTTGAAAGGCATCCCAACTGAGGTGACTAATAATATCACAATGTACAGTAAGAACATAAGGCAGTAGTGATGAGCACAAAGAAGCATCTCTACAATGCACACTCATCCCCACCCTAAGTTACCAATGCCAAACATGGACACTTACGATAAAACATAAATGAAAGTTAGTCACCACCCGAAATGTCATGTTTGAGAAAATCTGCTGGAGTGACCAGAAGAGATAAAAACAGAAATGAGACCAGAAGAGAATTGGCACAGAGCCAATCTTAAGATACATTAAAAAAAAAGAACACAGCAAAAACAGTGGCTTCTCACTTGGACAGGATGTCGTAGGATTCCATACCGTACATGACATATGGAAAAAGAGGAGCAGGTCAAAGAACACGAGGCAGACCTGGAAGAAGATGGAGAGACACCATTAAAGACACAAGACAACAGCATTAAAAATGATGGTTGAGGCCACCAGAAGAGCAAGGAACTTCTTCAGTTCTGAAGAAGAGAACGAGAAGAGGAGGAGCAGAGGAACGTCTTCAAAGAAAACACCAAGAAAGTCCAGTTGCCTTTTGGAAAAAGCATCTTTGGGACAACCATGACCTGGACGACTGAGAATCTCCGTAGGGAGCTCAGGTGTAGGTGTCAAGTTAAGCTGAATATGAAAAGAGACTGACAAAGATCAAGAAACAAAAGAAAGCAAACTGAATGTAAAACCGAATGGTGGGAATTTGCCTAGAAGAGAAGCCAAAGCCAAGAAACATGAAACTCTCCAGAAGGAACATAGCAAGGAATTTCAGAGAGCTGTTAGAGGAGACCTCAAGAAGCCGTATTATAATGACATCTGTAAAGAGGCTGAAGATGGAAACAAACAAAGAAAAAGCAAGTCTTCCAAAGTTATCTCAACCCTTGAAAGATGTTTCAAACTCCAAATCATAACTGATTTGTTGCGATTGTGATGAGATGGGCAGCAAATAAATACATAAATTGATGAAATAAATAATAATATCTGATGCCACAGAGATCAAACAAAGCAGGAAGGAAAAGCACTGAGAGTCTGTGGACTGGAGGCGTCAACATCCAAGATACTTTAGAAGCTATTCCCCACTGACAAGCATTTCTACTACGAGAAGCAAGTTGAATCAGAAGGCTATAGGAAGCGATGGAATTCCCACAGAAATATTGTAGGCCACAGAACAAGAATTCGTAAAGGTCCGAACCAAACGATGTTGGCCAATCCTGAGAATGAGGCAGTGGTCAACTGATTGAGAGAGGCCAGCATACATACCAACCCCAAAGAAAGGAAACGTAGCTGATTATGCATCTCTAATATTCCATGCTACCATTGTGCTCATGGCCATCCAGCACCGATAAGAGCCTTCGATGGGAAAGATGAGGTTTCAGGTGCCTTTAGAAAAGTCCAAGGAACAGGAGACTTTTTTGGGCTCCGTGCTGGATCGCTGAGAAAGCCAAGGCCTCTGACTGTATTCATCATGTCAATCTGTGCTTAGAGACCTAAGAAGATTTTATTTCAGCAAGCCGGCCTGGCCTGAATAGGTTTTATGGGTTAGTTTTTTAATTGTATAGCTAGGGGTTTTAAATTGGGGCGGCCGTTTAATTTAATTTATTTTTAATTATTTTAACTTTTATGTTGTATGTTATTTTAACTCTCAGCTGTTCACCGCCCTGAGTCCCTTCGGGGAGAAGGGCAGGATATAAATTTAATAAATAATAAAATAATAATAAAAAGATCTTAGGGAATATCTCATGGTGCCCTATATACAAAACCCGCATACAGGAAGCCAGACCGGCTCCAGACTGGCAAAGGGATGAAAAGATCGTTCCACTGATTAATTGTTTTAACTGTGAATCGAAGGCTACCTGTAATAATTAATCAAACCAAAATTGGGCAATGATGGGGCAAGTCCACAGAATTATTCTCTTCAAGAGGTTTTTTTCTTTATACCTCTGGAAAAAGCCCAATGGAGGGAAGGTGCTGCACATGTCGAGAGTCAACCTATTCTCCAGGGCATACCGTGAGGCGTTGACTACCAGGTTGTCACAGATAATAATAATCAAAGTAATTGTATATTCAATTATAACCATTGGGATGGGAGCTTAACACCCGACTTCCTCTTCTTTCTCTGCTACAGACAAAACTGAATTGAATAAGGGTCAGGAACTTATAGTGGCAGTGGCTTCAATTCGAAAATTTGCTTTGGAATATGATCCAAGTTTATACGACAAAAATGGTAAGCAAGGAGCCAGCAGTTCAGAAACAACTGCTCGATTGCAGTACAACGGGGCAGCTTTTATGATCAGGCTAGAGAAGGTGCAACTTGGTTATGTCCAGTTGAGAGACTTCCTAGCAAAGCAACATCCTGTTGTACATGGCCCTGAGGCAAGAAGTCATGGAAACACGGTCCCTCCGTTGTATGAGCTGCCAACCAGAGGTGGGTTTCAGCAGGTTCTGACCAGTTCTGGAAAACCGGTAGTGGAAAATTTTAGTAGTTCGGAGAACCGGTAAATACCACCTCTGACTGGCCCTGCCCCCATCTATTCTCTGCCTCTCGAGTCCCAGCTGATTGGGTGGAAATGGGGATTTTACAGTATCCTTCCCCTGCCATGCCCACCAAGCCACACCCACAGAACCGGTAATAAAAAAAAAATCTGAAACCCACCACTGCTGCCAACGTAATATAGTTAATGTTTTCTGAGGTCAGCTCCCACCCCGATCTGCCCTTTGAAGAAATCATCCTCAAAGGTCTAAATTTAGAGAGATAATTATGCATGAGGACTTTGCAGATCTCATGTATGTTAACTGTCATTCATTCAAAATCTTCCAGGATTTCATCTTCTTCTCTCATGGTCTCCTTAATCTCCCCAAATCTAAAAGAATTGGGACATGACTTGATACTTATTGTAGATTTTTATTTCACATCTCTTGTCTTGAATTGTTTATTTATTTATTTATTTTGTCAAGCATGTATAAGATAAAAGTAATAGAACAGAATAGAATTTTTTATTGGCCAAGTGTGATTGGACACAAGGATTTTGTCTTAGATGCCTATGCTCTCAGTGTACATAAGGAGAATAAAATACATTCATCAAGAATAAAAAGATACAACATTTAATTTAAGGTACAACAAGTATAAACATGATTTTGAATACATGAAATGGATATGAATAAATGGGGGCAGTAGGACAGGGACGGTAGGCACGCTGGTGCGCTTGTGCACGCCCCTTAGAGACCTCTTAGGAATGGGGTGAAATCGACAATAGACAGTCTAAGGTTAAAGTTATTAAAAGTTAAAGTTATTAAAGAATTGCTGCATGTTTTTAGACATGGAAATTCTTGCTGCGGTTCATCTCCATACGTTGCATCTGTTGAACTGGACCTTAAAGAACGAAAAGCTACAAAACGAACTGGGTAAGTCAATCAAGTCTGCAATCCTGTAGAATAAGGAATCGGAGAGCATTTCTGCAATCTCAAAGTGGTCTATAATCTTTAATTTCAAACATCTAACCAAAGTTTATGATACCTGATGCTTCCAAATAGCTAGCAAGTTTTGTCTCTATGCCCACAGTTCCTTTTGCACAGATATAGTCTAAACCAGGGGTCCCCAACCTTTCGGATGAAATGAAGCAATGAAATTCACTTAACAGTAACAGTCTCTGCAGTAACACAGACATTCATTGCACGTATCTGTCCCAGGGACCATAGTTTGAGGGCCTCTGATTTAGTGCAATCCAAAAAAGGCAAATAATTTTTCTGAGGACCACCAAAATTTCTTCACGGACCACCAGTGGTCCTCGGTCCACCAGTTGGTGACCACTGATCTAAACCTCTGGGATATAATTACCAAGACAGCAACATTCAAGAATGCCAAATAGTAACCCTTCTATTGAGCCTGCAATAATACATACAGGTAGTCCTCGACTTATGACCACAATTGAGCCCAAAATTTAGGTTGCTAAGTGAGACATTTGTTTAGTGAGCTTTGCCCCATTTTACAACTTTTCTTGCCACATTTCTTGAGTGCATCACTGCAGTTGTTAAGTTAGTAACATGGTTCTTAGGTGAATCTGGCTTCCCCATTGACTTTGCTTGTCAGAAGATTGCAAAAAGCGATCACATGATCCTGAGGCACTACAACTGTCATAAATATGAACCAGTTGTCAAGCATCCAAATGTGGGGATGCTGCAACGGTCATAAGTCACTTTTTCAGTGCTGTTGTGACTTTGAACGGTCACTAAGTAAACTGTTATAAATCGAGGACTACCTGTATTGAGTTTAATTTTTATTCCGAGACATTAGTTGATAAAGACCACATTATCATAAGAGTCTTAAGTATCTGACTTTTCCATAAAAGTAACCTCTGAATTTAAGCATTTTGTTGAAAAATGGAACGAACAGAGGTAGCATTTGCAAATATTTATTAATCCTGAAGGATTGTTCAGGAGAAGAAAAACATTATTATTATTGGTTTATTGCACAGCCGGATGTTCAGATTCAATTTGGCATTTTTATCCTCCTGCTGAGTTCTTCCCAAGGACTTGGGATAGGCAGATGTGCTTGTTTGATGGTGTGAAAGAAATCAGCGCAGGATGTAAGCTGTTCCAAGTCAAGCTGCCTTTTGCAATTGGCCGATGGCCATTTTGTCAATGCCGACAGTGTTCAGTGTCAGGGCGCTGATTAATCCCATTCTGCCTTTGGGATAATCGCACCTTGATTAAGAGGAGTCGATCGAGACTTTTCCTTGCAAGCATACTTTAAGAAAACAAAACCTGAAGATATTTCTTCTAAGAAAACTCATTTATTTGTTATAAAGAAAATAAAACATCTAACTGATCTAATTAGTTACATTTTGAAAAAGTTCGTGCCGGCTATTTCTTAGCCGGACCTTTCTGGCAAGAGAACAAAGGAAAGTGTGTAGGAATGTGGGTGGACATGCGCAGTTTAGCTTACTGATAAGGATTCTTGGCAAGCTACGGAAAGTCTGATAGTCCAGAAATGATGAGCTCAGCTGGTAAATAAAAGAACGCAGTGACAATCCCCTTTTTTGCCAGTTGAGCGAATATCAGGTACATCATCAAATAAGGCACATCTTCTTATGCAGATACTCGTGTTGAGCTGCTGGAAGTGGAAGTAAAGGCACTTGTTGCGCTGGAGGTGCACCAGGAGCTGGCCCTGTTTGTACAGCTGGAGGCACATGTGCATGCATTTGTTGAGGCTGTTGCACTGGAATCTGCTGTGTTCCAGCTGCCATTTGTGCTTGAGCTGCAATATTAGCATGACCTGCTGGAGATGCAGTCATTTGCCTTTGTTGCATTAAGCTTTGTTGTGTTCCATCTAAAAGGACACCAGCACCACCAGGGAGTGCTGGAGATTGAGCCTGTGGAGACACTTGTTGCATTGCAGCCTGAATATCTGAGTGAGTTAGAGACATGTTTGCTAAAGTCTGCTGTAATAATTCAAAATGTTCATGTAGGCTGCGATGCCTTTCAGCTTTCTCTAGTAAATTACTTTCGCCAGCAGATGGTGCTGCACCTTTAGTTTCGGGCAGCTCAGCTCTTTCTGCTTTCGTGGCATTTGTAATTTGATAATAGGAATGATCATCATGTGACAAGAGGTCGATGGATCGTAACCATCCTCTGCTACCAGATGTCAGGGCGCTGATTAATCCCATTCTCCCTTTGGGATAATTGCACCTTGATTAAGAGGAGTGGATCCTGATAAGGATTCTTGGCAAGCTATGGAAAGTCTGATAGTCCAGAAATGATGAGCTCAGCTGGTAAATAAAAGAACGCAGTGACATTCAGGAGGTGCTGCAGTTTTTGTTTTATTATTATTTAAAATAATTTTAAAAAGTAAAATAATGGAACAGTGCGTCATGGAAGGACAATGGACCATATGGCCACTCAGAGTCACCTTGAAGCATGAGATAGGTGGCAGATAAGTTTAATAAATAAAATAAATACAGAAAATACAGAAAACTTGAAATACTTCCTGAAATGTTCGGAAGAGCACTGTACTCCAACTGAGGTATACAATTAACTTTGAATGGTAAATTAATTTTAAAAATTAGAATATGCTTGTAAGATTTTTGAAGTTACTAATGTAGTCCTTTTGTTTTTTCTACTGGTTCAAAGATATTCTAATTGAAATGCTTCCAGGCTGGCAAGCTTTCGAAAGTAATCTCTATTACTTTTCTGATATACGGAAATCTTGGCATGCTGCTCGTGAAGACTGTTTAGCAAGGCATACTGCAGATTTGGTTTCTTGTAGATATGGTGAAGAACAAGTGAGTACAGGCATATGTGTCACCATTTTTCTAAAATGGGTGTTTCATGAAAAAGTCTCAATTATTTTTCCAAAATGAAAATAAGTTGCCTGGTGGTTGAAAATGGGTAGAACTAGGAAGCTGCCTGGATTCCTAACACAGGAGAAGGAGAGTAAGTGAGAGTAAGAGAGGCAGAAGGGAGGAATAGATGCTGAATCTTTCTGGAGCCGCTTCTCTGTGTTGGCGGGCAGAGTGATAAGGGCAAGAGAGAAAGTGGGCAGGGGGCATCCTTGATCAGGTTAGGACCCAAAAAGGCAGGGAATTTGCTGAGAAGCGGAAAAGAGAGACAAACTGCTTGACTTAAGAGGAAATTTTCTTTTGAAAGGATGGATGAGAAGAACCCGCTCCTTCCTCCTGGGGTGCACAGAAAAGGGGGAACTGCACTGCATATTGTGCAGAAAAAAGGAAATATGGGGTGGGGGAGGGAGAAAGGAGGTAGATAGGTGGAAGGGAGAGGAAGCAAGGATGGAAAGAAGGGAGGGAGGGAAGGAAGCAAGGATGGAAAGAAGAACAGGAGGGAGGGAGGGAGGGAGGTGGAAGGAAGGAAGGGGAGAGGAGAGGAGGAGCAGGAAAGGAAAAGATAAAGTAAAGTAAAGGAGAGTGATGGGAAGGAAACAAAAAAAGGGAAGGGGGGAAGGGAGGAGAAGGGAAGGTAGAAAGAATCTGATTGAAAACCCTTCCTCATATTCTAATCCTTGGAATTGTGATCTGAAAACACAGCAAGAGTTCCTCTTCCATCAAAGGACCGTCCCCTGAGGAGGGTGTGTGTGTGGCCAGCATTATGGCAAGACAACAAGTTCCTCCACTCCTGGAGGAACTGTTGATATCCCAGCTGTTTGGGGGTCTTCATTGACATAAACCGACTCGTAGGGTCAGCGAACAAGAGAGGCATGGACAGACTAACATAGGGATTCCACTAAGAAGCTGGGGCAGCCGCAACTGGAGTGAGGAGTTAAAGACAAAGTGCATCATCTGGGTGAGAAATTGGCTCTTTATACTAAAGTTTCTTTTCATACCCACTTGGAATAAATAGAAAGTGAAAAAGTGAAACAGAGCAAAGAGGGGATGGAGAGCGGGTCTATGACATCTCTCCACTTCCGGTATTAGAGTGTCAAGGAAAGCAAATAAATCTAAAGAAAAGAATGAATTACAGAATGAACTGAAAGAAAGGATTTGATTTAAAAACAAGAGATGATAGAGAACCTGATTGAGTATTTTTTTGTTTTTGTATGGACAAATGAATTTAAATGAATTGGAACTGAACGGAGCATTTTGAAAACTTTAATTTTTTCTATTTTTGCTAACTGAAACTAATACTGCAACGCCATCTGGTGGCATAAGAGAAAAGACTTTAAATTGAAGAAAAAAATAAGACTGACAATGTTAGCTAGACTGATAAAAAACATGTTAAATAAAAAGAGAGGCTTTGGGAACAATGTTTTTAATGAAAGATAAATAGTGAACCTTTTGAAAGATTGAAACAACGAACTGGCTGGTTGATTTTGTTTTACTTTTTGGATTTCTATTTTACATGGTTTTTTTTTTGTTGTTCTTTTTTTTACTTTCCAACTTTCTTGTGTATACACTATTTTTGAAGTACTTTTTGGAACTTTTGATTTGACTTTATTGTTTACCATATATTGGTGGGAATAGAAGACCTTTGGACCTGGGATTTTTTGTTTCTCTCCTTTTGTTTGCTTTTTTTTTTTTTTGGTGACTTCAGAAAGAGGCATTTTGACTGGGTTTCACTACAGAGAATTGGGATTAAGGCAAGAAGAGCCTGAAGGAGGATAATTGATTTTCTTTTTTCCCCTTTTTCTCTTTAAATAAATGCTCTTTATTTTTTTATTTTTCTCTTCTTTTTGAGGTGGTTGTGGTGGTCTTATTTTTACCTATATTTTTTCTAATCCACCCAATTGGGGGGGGGGTTTAGATATTTGGATTACAAATTGAACCATTTGCGTATTACAAATTGAGTGGCTATCAAATTCAAGAAATGAAGAAATTTACTGCACATCTGCATTCAATGGCAAGTCTTTCCTCTGCAGAGTCACAGAAAACATCAGAAATTATGGAGCTTAAAAATATGATACAGATTTTTCATGAAGACCTGAAAGAAGACTTAAAAGAGGTCAAGGAGATGATGGGGAAAACTGAAGAAAGAATTCAAAAAATAGAGGAAAAAGCAGATCAGACAGAGAAAAAAATGGGAGAATTTGAGGAAAGAATGATATCAGTGGACAAAAATTACAAAAGGACAATTATTGCATTAGAAATGGATAGATCTGATTATTATCTAAGATTTCAAAACATAGAGGAAGAGATGGGGGAAAATTTGGCAGAAGTTATGGCAGAGATGCTGGCAGAAATGATAGAAGAACCTAAAGAGAAGATATTAAATGGGATTGATGAAATATTTAGTGTACGCACAAGATATGCAATGAGAAATAAGCTCCCAAGAGAAGTTCATGTAAGATTCACAAAGAAAGTGATAAAACCCGAAATAGTACAAATAGCAAGGAACACTCCAATTAAATACAAGGATAAAGAGATAGTAGTGCTGAGGCAAATACCCAGAAGAGTAAGAGACTTGAGAAAAGAATATCATTTTCTGACGAAGTTGTTAATCCAAAAAGGAGTGAGCTTTTGGCGGTTAATCCCAGAAGGAATATTGGTGACTTGGCAAGAACAAAGACATAGATTAGATTCTGTAGACAAAGCAGAAACATTCTATGAGCAGTTTTGGGGATCACTTGAAGATGGAAAACTGGAAAAAGCAAAAGAGACTAAAGACCAAGAAGAAACTGTAAAGGAGAAAGAAAAGATAACAAAAGGAAGAACACAAGAGCAGGAAGAGAGAGCAATAAGAGAAGGAGTGAGGGCAAAGGAGGCAAAAGAACAGAGAGAGACAAGAGTGACAAGAGCGACAAAGACTACCAACAAGACTATGGAAGAAGAAATAAAAGCAATATCAATAAATGTAAATGGATTAAATTCGGTGACAAAAAATAATAGAACTTTAAATAAATTAAACAGACTAAAGATGGTTATTATATGTTTGCAAGAAGTTCATATCAGGAAACAACATAAAAAATTACTAGAACACTCAAAATTGGGAATACTATTTACCTCATTGATAGACCAAAGTAAGAGAAGTGTAGTGTTATATATAAGGGGAAACTAGAACCTAAGCAAATTTTTGCAGATGAAAAAGGGAGAGGATACTTATGGTTGAGGTAACAATGAACAATAAACAAATGCTGTTGATAGCGATATATGCACCAAATGAGAACCAAGAAGAATTTTATGGGAAACTACATAGAAAAATATTAGAATTTGAGTATAAAAATATTTGCATAATGGGTGATTTTAATGCAGTGGTAGACGCAGATCTGGACTATAAAACAACAAAGATAAATAAGAAACCTAGAAAAATACTGCCAAAGACTTTTTTACAATGGTTGAGGAATTAAGTATACAAAATGCATGGAGAAAAAGACACTTGAAAGAAAAACATTATACTTTTTATTCAAACAGGCATATGTCATGGTCCAGAATACACATGATGTGGATGTCAACAGATTTACTAGTTAATATACAAGAAGTGAATATTGAAACAAGTACCTGGGCAGATCATAATCTGATTATAATTATATGGAAAGACCAGAAGAAAAGGCTGAGATGGACTTTGAATTCGATAATTTTACAGGAAAATGAATTTCAACAATTTCTGGAAAAGGAGTTGGTTTTTTTCTTTAAAATAAACAAAAAAGAGGATTCATCACTCCAAAATGTATGGGATACAATGAAAGCATACATTAGAGGGCTGGCAATGACATACTTGGGAAAAAAGAATAAAAAGAAAAGACAAAAATAGAAAAAGTTAGAAGAGGAATATAAAAAGCTGGAGAAAGAATTAGAAAAAGATAACACAAAATAAAATTAAAAAACAAATGGACTTGAAATGAATTTAATTGAACAAGAGGATTTGGCAAATAAATTAAGAGCTTCTAAACAATTTTTTTTTGAAAATGCAAATAAGCCAGGCTTATTCAGAAAGGAGAGGAAAATATCTGTGAAATTCGGAAATATTTGGAAAAGACAGACTTGCCTAAAGTCTCGGAAACAATGAAGGAAATTCTTAATGCGGAATTTACGATGGAGGAAGTAGAAACAGTTATGAAAGCACAGACGAATGGTAAAACCCCGGGTAGAGATGGCCTTCCAGTTGAATTATACAAAATAGTGTTTGACATGATAGGAAGACACATGACGGATTTATTCAATGCGGTTATGAAAGAGGCTCAGGTTCCAGTATCTTGGACTGAGGGCTTATATTTCTATTATCCCAAAAGAAGGAACTGATCTATCTCTTATTAAGAACTATAGACCAATATCATTACTAAACTCCGATTATAAGATATTTGCAGGGGTTCTTGCAGCTAGGCTTAGCTGCTTCCTTAACCAATTCATTCACTCAGACCAAAACGGCTTCCTTCCTAATAGATATCTACGAGATAATCTTAGAATTATCATGAATACACTAGAATTTTTCGAAAATCGCCTGGATAAACAATTAGCTTTAATTTTTGTTGACGCCCAAAAGGCATTTGACAGAATCAGTTGGGAATTTATGATTTCTCAATTGGAATATATAGAGTTTGGTGGGAATTTTATTCGGGCAAGTTGGGAATTTATGATTTCTCAATTGGAATATATGGAGTTTGGTGGGAATTTTATTCGGGCAATTCGAGCTATCTACCGGGAGCAGACTGCAAGAATTCTCATAGATGGAGAGGAGACGGAGAGAATTCAAATTCGTAGAGGTACAAGACAGGGATGTCCCCTTTCCCCATTGCTATTTGTATTAACTTTAGAGCCCCTGCTTAGAGAAGTGAGAGGAAACACGGAAGTAAGAGGAATGAAGATTAGGCAGGAGGAAGTTAAAGTTCAGGCTTATGCAGACGATCTTGTATTTATCTTGGATCAACCACTGGACTCGGGCCTGAAATTATTATGCTTGATTAGAGAGTATGGGAAGGTAGCGGGGTTAAAGATGAATGAAGAAAAAACTAAAATCCTAGTGAAAAATATGACTCAGATGCAAAGGCAACAGCTGGAGCAGTTAATGGGTTTAAGAATAACAAATAAAATTAAGTATCTGGGTATATGGTTGACCGCCAGATGTTCCTCCATAAAGGAGGATAACTATCTTCCTCTTTACAGCCAGATGCTCAGAGACTTAGAAAGATGGAAAAATCTCCAGCTATCAATTTTGGGAAGGGTGGCAACCATTAAGATGTGCGTGTTACCCAAATGGTTATTTCTATTCCAAACAGCCCCGGTAAGGTTGAATAAAGAGTTTTTTACAAATTTGGATAGGAGTATATCTAAATTTATCTGGCAGGGAAAGAGGCCGTGGATTAGACTTAAAATGTTACAAGAACCCAAAAATAGAGGAGGATTTGGACTCCCAAATTGGGAGCTCTATCACCAAGCAGCGAACTTGATTTGGGTGAAAGAATGGATGGTCCTACAAAAGAGACGACTTTTGACATTTGAGGGAGCCGGTCTTCAACATGGCTGGCACTATTTTCTATGGCCGGGAGCATCCGGCCGCCCTAGACACTTTGATGATCACTATTTACGTAGGACGCTTGGGTACACTTGGGAAAAGGTTAGAAGAAGAGTATACACAAAAGTTCCATGTTGGATTTTGGCACAGGAAGCTCAGGTTTACCCGACATTGTATAAAGGGGAGAAAACCTTGACGTATGAAGGTTTCTTGGATGTTCAGGGTAATCCGAAGTCACGAGAATTATTAAATCTTCAAGGATATAAGATAGACTGGTGGTCTTATTCGCAAGTGCACTCCAGGTATAAAAAAGATTTACATAGTGAAGGAATCTATCGTAAAAGACAAGAATTGGATAAGATCTTATTAGAAGGAGGGAAAGGGATATTATCTAAATGTTATGCATATTTATTGCCTCTGCAGATAGGACAGGATGTAGTGAAGGATTGTATGATAGCATGGGGGCGAAATTTTGGATACCCCCTTGACTTCCAGCAATGGGAACAGATTTGGTTGAAAAATATGAAATTAACCATGGCCTCCTCATATAAAGAAAACATATATAAAATGATCTACCAGTGGCATCTACCCCCGGCGAGATTAGCTAAAATGTTTTCCGGGACATCTGCCTGCTATTGGAAGTGCGGTTACAGCAATGGAACCTATTTTCACCAATGGTGGACCTGCCCGCAGGCGGTTAAATATTGGAAAAAAAATACGGCAATGGATTTTGGAAATTACACAGATTAATTTGGAATTAAGACCTGAGATTTTCCTATTGGGGGCAAAACCTTTGAATGTTAAATCAGATATATGGTTCTTGTTGATTCACATTATCGCTGCAGCAAGATTAGCGTATGCGCAGGAGTGGAAAAATCAATACTTACCGATAGATTTGAAAATAATATATAAAATTAATGAGTGTGCGGAATCAGATAGACTAACTAGATTGATCAATGGTAAAAAAGATTCAGAATTTTATAACAGTTGGAAAGTATGGTACGATTGGGTCCAGAAAAGGTGGGATAGAATAGATATATGATGATGTATATATATATGGTGGCAAATATGTATGTATAAAGGAATGATTTTATACTTATGGACAATGTAATCATATTATACCATGGTGGCAGGATTGTATATTTTATTTGTGTATTAGTGTATAGAATATATTAATAAAAATTATAAAAATAAATAAATAAATAAAGTATGGGGCAATTATATCAATGGTTAGAGAAGATATAGATAGATAGATAGATAGATAGATAGATAGATAGATAGATAGATAGATAGATAGATAGAGATAGAGATATAGATATAGATAATTGATGAATTAATATAATTAATATAAAACATAAGAAATTTGGGAAGAATGATGTAACAATCTAAATGAAAATATAAAGGTATGATAGAAATATAATATGAAAATGATGGAGGAGGGAATAGAAGACACAAAATATGTACTCAGATGAAACACTGAATGATTAAGGATGTATTGTTTGTTTGTATGTTTGTTTGTTTAAAAAAATAAAAACTTAAAAAAAAAAAGACCGTCTCCTGTAGTGGAATATAAGAACTCGCACAGGACAACTCACCACGGCCAACGTGCCACGAGAAAAGTTGCGTGGGGCAATTCAATTTAATTATTTAAAATAATTTTAAAAATATTAACTGTGGCATCGTAGACCCCCTGTGTACCTTTGTTTTATACCCATAGATGCTCAAAGTCCCTGAAGCTTCAGAAACGCTGCTGGTTGGGAAGGGGAGAGGCTCAGTCAGTCCTTAGTGGGGTCAGGGGGAATCGGGGCCACATATGTTCCTCCCTTAAACCTTAATTTGCCATAAACTTTATATTACCTCTCTCTCTCCCCTCTCCCCCTTGACTTCTCTCTCATTGTCCCGTCTGTCTCCTTCCTTCATCCATCTGAAGGAGTAAATGAATCAATATTGGCTATTTGCTTTTATTATGAATTGCTTATGCTATGATATAATTGTTACTGACTAAATCAATATTTGCTGTTTGCTTCTGATATGATATACTATTAGAAATCACTTATTGGGAATTAAGCCTGGTTATTGGCTTCTGCTTATATTATTGTATAGTGTCAGAAATTAGTTGTTAGGAACTAATTCTAGCTTAGTAAATTGTAACCTCTTTAAAAAAAGTCAATTCTTTTTCCATATATTGTTGGAAATATTTTTCATTTAGTAATTTTTGATTTAATGTCCATCTCATTCTTCTTTTTTTCCCTTTCTGTGTCATTATTATTGGATTGTGGTCTGCCCATACATTTATTCCAATATAAATTTCTTGTATTTTAGCTATTAATTCTGTTGACATCCACATCATGTCTATTCTTGACCACGATAGATGTCTATTTGAGTAAAATGTGTACTGCTTTTCTTTTGGATGACTTCGCCTCCAAGCATCTTGTAGACCTAATTCATCTATCATTGTGGAAAGTTTTTGGCAATGTTTTTCTTATTTTCTTATTTAATTTTGTAGGTTTATAGTCCAACTCATTGTCTATTATTGCATTGAAATCCCCTAATATACATATCTCTTCATATTCATATTGTATTATTTTTTTATGTAATTTCCCATAATATTCTTCTTGATTATCATTTGGAGCATATATTGCCACTAACAATGTTTTTTTTTTTTGATTCAAAGTTATTGCAACCATTAATATCCTTCCTTCTTCATCTTCAAAAATCTGTTTAGATTGAATTCGTTTTTTTTAATATATAATGCTACTCCTCTTTTACTTTGACTGGCAAGTGTTGTATATAGTGTTCCTAATTTCTTTTGCTCCAATAGATACTTATGCTGTTTCTTAATATGAACTTTGTAGTCATATAATCTCTAATTTTAATTTTTCTAATTTGTTAAATGTCCTTCTTCTTTTTATTACTGAATTTAGTCCACTTATATTCACTGATATTACTTTTACTTTTTCTTCCATTTTTTACTTGTTTATTTGTTTAGTAGATCTAGTCACTCTTGTTTCTCTTTGTTCTTTTATCTCTTTTGCCCCCTCTCTCAATGCTCTTTTCTCTTGTTCCTTGGTTATCTCCTTTAGTTGTTCTCTTTTCTCTTCCTGATAGCTTGCCCTTCTTCTTCTCTCACTTTCACTTCTTCTTGTTGTTCTATATATTGCCGATAAAATAGCTCTGCCTTTTCTACTGTATCCAATCTGTGCCTTTGTTCTTGTAAGTTCACCAAGATTCCTTCTGGTATCAACCATCTAAAACTCACCCCTTTTTAAATCAAATGTTTCCTCAAAAATTGGTATTCTTTTCTTAAATCTCTCACTCTTCTTGGAACTTGTTTCAATGCCACTATAT